GGCCAGCTCCAGCTCACCAGATTCCAGATTCCAGATTCCAGATTCCAAAACTAGTGACATCTTCCACCGAGTTCCCCTCAATTGCCAACTTCCTCTACATCTGCGTTCTTCTCATCCTTCATACTGTGGCCCTGTCGATCTTCCCAAGAGGAGGACGGGACCCAGTGAACCGACTTACGAGCGACACTTACTTCTTCATAGAGCTGATCAACTTGCTCCAAAGTGAGCCCCTTTGTCTCATAGATGAAGAACCAAACAAATGCAATGCATAGGAAACAGCAGCCGAACCACACAAAAAAGATCTTGGACTGCAAGTTTGCATTTCCATCGCCATAATTGACCATAAACGGGGTGGAATAAGCCAGAGCCCAGTTGAGTAGCCAGTTTGTAGCGGTCGTGATGCTGAGGGATTTGGCTCGTGTCTTAAGTGGGAAGATCTCTCCGGTCACCACCCAAACGAGGGGACCCCAAGTAGCTGCAAAGATGGAGATGTAAATGCAAACAAAGGCCACAGCCGCTCGCTGCCCGCCGAGGTTCTTGATAAAAATCTCGCCGTTATCGTACTGCCCGGTAGACAGAGTGCCACAGACAGCGACAATCAGTTGAGAGATAGACATGCCAATTGCACCCCACAGCAACATGGGCCGGCGTCCCCATTTATCGATTGCATACATTCCGGGCACCGTCGATGCAACATTGATAGCTGAAGTGATCATTGAGATGACAAAGCCACTAGACACACCCGAGTTTTGAAAGTATTTGGTGCCGTAATAAAACTAGAAGATTGTCAGTGGGCTTGAAGCTTCTTAGAAGTAACTTTCACTGAACTTACGATGAAGTTGATGCCTAAGGAAACAGTCAGAAATGTTCAAGAAACGTCAGGAGTTGCCTGAGGCTGTGGGAGAGATGGAATAGCGCGTGTTGTGCTCACCTGTAAGCTGCTGTAGCGCCTGAACGCCCATACCCGTGAGTTGCCTCTTGAGCATGGGAGGCTTAAAGCATTGGAGATATGAGGACTGCCCAAGACTCATCTCGAACTCATGGTTTGCTACAACCTCATTGAGTTCATTTGCGACTTCTGGGGAATCAGCAGGCAATCTTCGAAGGCGGCTGAGAGCCTTTGCCGCCTTGTCCATCTGGCTCTTCTTTACAAGGAAGCGTGGAGTTTCTGGAAGAAACAGCAATCCGCTAAAGAGGATAAGAGACCAAGCGAGTTGGAGCGCGATGGGGATTCGATAGGAGCCTGAATCATCCCGTTTCGCAGTCGCGTTGTTTACGACGGCGGCGAGAAGAAGGCCGATGGTGATGGCCCACTGGTAGGAGCCAACGATGGCACCACGGATCCATTTGGGTGCTGTTTCAGACTGATACAGAGGAACTTGAGGAGAGTTAGCCGCTGTACCACATGGCTAAACATAGTGCATACTAGTAGCAGAGATAAGACCAACACCGAAGCCAGCAAAGAAGCGGCCTGCCAGAAACAACGGAATGTCAGTCGCGATAGTGTGCAAAACAACTCCAAGGTTGAAGACCCAAGTCGAGATCATCAAACCAGGGCGGCGACCAAGCCAATCAGACAAGAGAGGCGAGGCGAGGGCACCGAAAAAAGTGCCTGCAGAGAGAATAGACACGATGGCTGATTCTTGAGACGAAGTGACGTTGGGGTTTCCATCAGCATCAACGTGACCTGTGCTGAATTCACGCTGCCAGTAAGGCATGGCCAGGATACCGCTAATGGTGCCAGTATCATAGCTATAGAACAGGTCAGTCACCTTGGGCTTGTCGAGAGAGGGAGGAGGTGGCAAACCCAAAGAGAACACCACCAAAGGCAACGAAGAAGCCGACGGCGATGGCAGGCCACGCTTTGCCAGGTTCATCTTGGGGCCTTGGAAGAGACACTTTGCCGATAAGTCCCATCGTCAAAGTGATGAAGTGTACCGAACTACTGCTGAGATAGAAGATAAAATAGTCAAGAAGAGGATGTTTGGCCGCTGTGAGTAGAGGAATTCCTGTTGTAAAGATGATCTGGGTTGTGGAAACAACCACCCTCTTATAGATTCTTCACAGTTTTGAGATTTATCTTATCTTTGGCCGAATTCTGGAGATCGCGCCTATGGAGAAGCTGGAGCCTGTATTGGTGACTTTGCCAATCTTTTTGATTGCATCTGGCTTTAGGAAAGACTAAGACGAGTCGGCGACGTTCTTCTCACATGTCTGCCAAGCCATTCATTGGGATCCACTGTGATTGAACTTCACTCAAGCTGGTGTTGATAAGCTTTGAGAAGCATCGCCACAAATCCCGGAGATATCGAAGCACGACGGCGCCGAATAGAGCCAATCATCTCTCGCACCACTAAGTAGTTCATCCGTTGGTTCAAAGATTCTACAAATGAGCCAGGATTATGCGTGACTTCGACATGGATAAGCAGCTGCTACAGCGAAGTCGGGCGATTTTGACCCTAGAATGTTTCTAGAATACGTCGGCCAAGCCGGGGCTAACTTGAGCGATCAAGTCTCCGTCATCTGCATCTCTGCCCGCAACAATGCAACTGTAACCGAACTTGGAACTGGGGATAGCATCATGTTGGGTGCGGGGTTGGGCTGTTGGCTGTTGGAGCTGAGCTATCGTGCGGAATTCTTTGCTTGGCCATCGCTTATAAATTCCCATAGATCGACAGACATTAGGCCATTTTGGGTTTAGACAAGAGCTATTTTACCTTCCCTATACGGAGTAGATGAGGAGTCTAAGTGATGAGAGAAGGCTGGTAGGAGTAGGGTAGCTACCTGCAGCGTCCCCCTCACGGAAGTGGATTTGCTTCCTTGCAACCCCCCCGCACAATCAAGTTATTCCCAATGGGGGTTAACACGCCGTTCAAAAACAAGCTTGATCGACACAATTTCGAATGTCGCCTTATCCCTACCAGTGATTGTCCAGGGGTGTCATTTGTCGCGCCGGCAAGAAGGCACGATGTAACACTGGTCCTTGCAAGTGGACTCCTCTGACGCCTAGAGGTGTCATCCCAACTTCCATTCACCTTCCAGAAACCCGCTGGCAGACACATCGCTTACTAGCGTCTGCATTGATTCCAGTCGAAGCGCTGCGTTGCATTGCGAGAGCATTACCCTAGTACCATGACGGCTCCCAAGTCGGCTAGTCCACATATGGTATTTTGAGAGTCCCATGCATTCCGTAATCCGTACTTCCTTAGACGATAGCCTCAGCCTAGACAAGGTTAACTGTCTGAGTTCAAGCCTGTTCTGTCCTTCCATGCATATTCCATTTCCACTATCGAGCCTGACATCCTTGCGTGCTGATCGTCATTTCCCGTTTGGCCTGACCTATTGTATTGGAGAACATAACACATGGAGCTCCCACAATGGATTGCTGGCCCGGAGTTGTTGCCCATGTCCGTGTTTGTTTAGACTCGGCCAATGCACTAAGCGCATGGTCAAGGCTCAACGGGCGACTCTGAGTGATGAATCTCGATGCTTGAGCAAGCAGTTGATCCGTGCTTCACCTCGTTTGCGAGAATTGTCAAAGCTCTGTCAGAATTATGGCATGTTAAAAACGACCAGGTTGTGAGGGGATTCAGGTCCGGCAAGGATCATCTTCCGTGGATCTTACCCCCACTTCGAATCATCCGATAATACCGTATGAATGGCTTTGGCTCTACGTACCACCCGCCATATCCCCGACCGTGCATGCGTGGAACGTCTTGTGCTGTGCTTCTAGACTAGCTCTAGCTCATTAGACCCTAGTCACTGTTCTCGGCATGCCTTCTCCACAACTCTATCAGTCAGGAAGTTGGTTTTGGCCGATGTACTCCAGACTCATACGCACATTCGGTTCAGGCCATGGCGCCAGAGTGATAGTATTCCGAGGTTGCGACTTGCGAGCTTTGCACTTGAGGTACGAAGGCTTCCATGTAACTGCACTTAATGAAGGAATGATCAGGGCAAGTCCAGCAGTTGCCTAGATCTGATTCTCTCTGTCCCTCTCCTCTACTTCCCCCTCAAGTTATCATGATCTACTCGGCTCTTCTCTCATTAACCGCCACCTTGGTCGCTGAAGCTTCGCTCCCTGAATTCAAGAATTGTCATTCCAAGAGTTATCTAGACCCTGAAAACCCCGGTTTCGATACTGGCGATCTCAAAAGCTGGAAGGTTATTAGTGGCACTGCGTTCAGCAAGGACTCTATCTCTAGTAATGCATCCTACCGGGATAGTCCCTTTTACTAAGATGGCAAAAGACTTCTTCTCGGCACCAAGCAGGCTGGTAAGAAAGCCGTTGGCGAACTCAGTCAAGCACCTTCAGAGCCAGCTCTGCCCTGAGTTTTCTGATTGGATGAGGCTATGACCTTGATTACCTCTACGTTGCTCTTATATGCGACTTAGACGGAAAGCCCCTTCTAAAGCAGATAGCCACTAATAATAAGGCTCTCGTTTATATCACCTAGGATATAAGTAAGTGGCAGGGTCAGAAGGTGCATATCCTCATCTACAATAGCAGCACAGCAAAGTCCTGGGGCCACATCAACATCGATGATATACATGTTGGCTGCCATGTTCTTGGGGACGGCAAAGGCCTCTCGTTTAACATCCTCGGTTAGGCAAACCAAGTCCCTCAGAGCTACTCCGCTTGCTCCTCCTACGCCGCCGACTCCATCAGACCCCAGTACCACTGATCGACGACCCCGCAGGTTTAGCTGGGTTCCATGGGGCTCATCACCTCTTTAGTCAATATAACCCAGAGGCTCTGCTGTGGGGTCCGATACGTTGGGTATACGCTAAGAGCACTGATGCGGTTTACTGGCGCGAATAGCCGGTTACTTTATATCCTGCTAAAGTGAGTAATCTGAGTGATGACTCTGGTTGCTTTCCTGGGAGTGGAGTTATTGATAAGAAGAAGAATGAGCTGCGGCTTATCTTGACTGATTATATTAACCTCGCTTATGATTGTGGTGCGGTCCGGGAGAGTGTTATTATGGCAATAAGCAAAGATGGAAAGAAGTTTGATCTTGCCAAAGAACCGGTCGTCTCGGGCCTTCCTAAGGGAGAAGATCCATTCTTACGAGACCTCAAGGTTTTCCGTGATCCGACGGATAACACAGTGGAAGATGGCTGTTGGCGCCACGAACGGTGAAAATGGCCAAGTCCAGCTGTACGAATCCGACGACCTCGATTCCTGGTCTTTGATGCGGGCCCTTCTACCTATGCTATGCAGTGGTACCAGGACGAAGCAGGTCATGATCTAGCCATTACCTGGATGGCGAACTGGCCTAGTCCCAAGTGGCCAAGCCGCGTGAACGGATGGGCTGGGCAGCAGTCAATCACCCGCGAGATGTTCACCTGCAAGGATGGTGGTTCGGGTCAACATCCGATTCTACAGCTGAAGACCCTTGCATCTGGCCGGACCAAGAAGATTAGAACGGCAAAGGTTACTCGGAAGGGTCTCCATATTAATAGTTCCAACAAGTGGACATCTTCCTTCATAAGTCTGTGCTTGAGATTTTCGCTAGCGATGGGACGGTGTTTTCGGCTACTATCTTTCCAAGGTATCAGGAATCGCAGGACATTAGCCTAGCCTAGTCGCGAGTGGTGGTGCTTTGGCAGTGAAGTCAATTGCGCTTAGGCCACTCGGCTCCAGCTGGTGCTGATTGACCCAGTTCCGGGCTGTTGGGAAAGGGGTGGCGTGGTTTTGTTTGACCCTTGTACATCTGAGTACCATAAGCAGAAACAATGCCGCTTTGAATGGGCTCTCTCATACAAGTAATGTCGCGAAACATGTGCAACGAATGGCGTGGCGCTACTCGATTTTGATTTGATTCGTCGCGTGCGATGTGATGAGGTGTGACGAATGCTTACTGTTCTCCTCGGCTAGTTTAGTCTTCCCAGGTTGGCCGTTGACTCGTGGACCTGCCACCCGGAAACTACAAAGAAGAAACCAAGAGTACGTACCCCCCCCACTCCGTCGTCGTAGCGTTGCATTGAGTAACCCCGCGACAATGGACAAGCTAGCTAGATGCACCATGCACCGGTGGCGTGGGGATGAGCAAATTAGTGGCCTGCTAAGGCCCTAGGCCTGCACCTCGACGAACCCATCAGAGACTAGTGGTTCAGCAAAGGCGGGGTAAAGGTCCTGTTGATCTCTATTAATACTGTCTCGTCTCCACCCTGAGCTATTCTCTCGTTTCTTATCGCTCGGTTACCCACAGAACCACTCTCTTGTTCATCCATGCTTTAGCCTGCTGTGTCACAATGTCAGTTCCCGGGGCATGGCCCTCGAGCCCGGCGAAACTCACCTTGGAAGCTTGGTCGCAAGGCTGTATGATTGGGGCTTTGATCATCATGATTGGTATCACCTTAGCTAATATGCGGCGCGGCGTCTTGTTACATAAACTTATCTTGATCGAGGTGAGCATCTTTATCGGTATCGCATTAATAAATAACCATCTCACAAATCTTATAAGCTCCTTCTGGCGATGCCAAATGGATTCTTTACCTTTTTCGACCCTCCGGCCTGGGGATGGTATCTTTCCTCGACTGTTATTTTCCTCATCATCTCATGGAATCTGCATAACGTCATCGCCTGGATGAAGAACAAGCCCTTCCTTTCAAAGCGAAATAATGCTTTATATATTGGCACTATTGTACTAGTCCAACCCTACTGGGTCCTCGAGATCTATGCCAACTTCATCTACTTTAACACTCCTGATAATCATCTTTTCGCCTCAACCCGACCGCTTGAGGCCGTCTGCCGGTACGCATCACTACTAAGAAATACTTAGCAATTTAACTGATATATATTAGCGATCCTTGGTGGATCTTTACGGCCATCAACCTTTTCTGGAATATAATATACCGTTATGAGTTCAGGCCTCTAGAAATTATCCGCATATCCCCCCGTTTCGGTCTTTTACTATTGAGCATGTCTCTCAGTATCATCTTCATCATTGTCGATCTTCTCTCCGTCACCCCTGTTATCCCGATTGGCTATATCAATCCATTTTGGAAATTTGCATTTATCTTCAAATGCTTCACCGATACGATCATTCTAGACGACTTCAAAACCGCACTAGATAAGCTAAGTCGGTACAAAATGGATCAGAACTATCCGCTTCCTTTTAGCAGACCTAGCAGTCGGATACAGAACCAGATGCCAAGGCCAAGCGTGGAAATCTTCCATGATAGCTGCTGTCCTGAAAGCTTGGGCGTGACAGTTGAGCATTTGGAAGAGGCCGACGATTCTATAATTCCTGCTCCGGCACGAGTAATGAGGAACCCCAATGCTGGGATTTTAGGCAAAACGCCTTCATAACGCCCCAGGATCACCTATGGTAGCGGAATCACGCTCAACCTCGCTAGAAAGTTTAGCAGAAATGCCATTGCCTTCATTCTCTGACCGAAATCCATGTGGTGATATGAGCCACGCTGCCGGGGATAATGAGATATGTGTAGTCTCGACCAATGAGCTGTACTGTGTGAACAATGGTTAAGATCATTCAAGGCGGATTGTGCACCAGATTCGTTATACCAGGGAAGAAGCGCCAATGCGAGTTCAAATGTAGCATTTGAAGGCAACTTGAGTGGACTGCGAAATGATGAGAACGAGCTGTAAACGAAACAAAGCCTGGTCTCGAATATTAGCCTGAAGATGTCTAGGAAATCAACTCCAGCTCTGACTCGGATGTCTTGGATACAGAAAGCGAGCTCGACACTGATTACAACAAACTCACCGGTGCTTTTTTGGAATCAGATGTCTACTCAGCCAAGCGTTTCTTGGAGAGGAACTGGGGATATACATGCGATTGCAAAGGAGGGCGAGAAGAAAACGAAGCAGAACACGCCAACTGGTGTGAACAGCAAAGATATCGTCTACTGGATATGACCGAGCAATGGCGGAAAATTGCGGTACCAGATTCAATTGTTTACGCATCCCCCCTCATACTGAGGTAATAAAAACGACCCTGCTCAGCTAGATTGGTACTCGATCTTGAGCGGTGGAGATAACCGTCTAGAATTAGATAACCAAGTATCCCAGAGAAGCACCCCTGATATTCAACCTACCTGGGATTCGGATTGCATAATTTCCTGGGATTTCCGCCAAATTTTCCTGGTCAGGTCTTTGGTAGTAAATGGAGGTCCAGGGCGTACAGAAGCTGGTCACTGCAACAAACACGAGCATAGCAGTGAGAAGAAGCCGAGAATCCGGTGATGTAAGAAGCTTCTTAACTTTACTAGGAGCGGCTGAGACATGGCCGAAATTATGGCGTGCAAAGCGCCCTACACTCTGTCGAACCCGTTTGGTAGTGCAGGAAGCTGGACCCATGGTCGCTATCAACTAAGGAAGGTCTATCATGTATTGTGCGGGGAATGAGGGATTTAAGAAGTAGATGAAGCAATTTGTATGGTCAAGAATCATTTGATCAAATTGCGTGCCAATAATATTGATCAGTGCGCCTCCGACGTAACCTCAATTCGTGCCCATTCAGTGGATGGAACGTAGACCTGGATATCCTAACTTTTAAACGCAAAGGAGGCCAAGGGATATTTGACCCACTCCTGCATGTCATATTAGGATATTATGGGGCACGGAACAGCTTATCTATATTCACAGCAGGTGTTAGCAAGGATGAATACGGGTATACAGAATCTGGCCCACAAAACCATGAATGGGGCGCTGTATGGTTCTGCTTCTGACGCCAACAGATACGGACATACTCCACAGATGCGTATCTGATAGCGTGGGCGGTCATCCCATACCACACGCCGGCACACCTGGTCGCCGATGTATTCCTCAATGGCTGTTTCCCCTGAAACCAACGGCCTTGTCCTTCTGGGGCCGCCTTGAGCATGGAACCGGATGACAATGGCATCGCCTCATTGCCTATAAGGATTTTTCCCTTATTGATGGATGGTTGCGACCTTATCTTGCTAGAGGGGGTTCCCTTCACAACTCTTAGATGTGGATGACCTTGGCAATAATGTTCAACTCGCCATCAAGCTCGATCATTGTATAAAGCCCGTGTAATCGTACCCAACGATGCCATTATTTATATTGTTGGAAGTCAAGGGTGTTAGAGGAGGGCTTTTCGGTGAGGCGAGAGGCGATTACGGCGGATCACAAAAATCGTACCGCGAGTTGCAGAGCACTAAACGAATATCGTCACGTTAATATAATCGATAACGATGAAATAATGTAGTAATAGATAACTCTATTGCCCCAGCAATGCCAGATTGTTCGTGGTACTAGTTGTAAAGTGCTTTAAGTATGAAACTGAAAAGCCTCATACCGAGCGAAATACTTCGGCATCTGTGCATCTGAGAAAGAGATAGCCCTGCGGAATCCCGAAAAGCCGCCTGACTGGAGATAGCTTTACATTACTCGCCACACACTTGAGGGATGAGAAGCCTAATATCACGACTTGTTCAACAGTCCGTCGAGGACGAAAGCACTGATTCGTATCCACCTTTTCTTGCCGCCCTGCCCCTCCTCACCTTCCCTTTTATTTGACTAGACCGCAGGAAGATATGGAGCGAATGGTTTCTATGCATCCAAGTGAGCGGCACGACCACCCCAGTCTTTACTCTACCATTTTCCGCGGCGCTGTCGGGAGGTATTGTACGAACAACTAGTAAATACTCTCACACGCCGCGTAGCTAAACGACACCAACGTCAAACTTCCTGTATCCGACACAACCCGAACGCCGTTGGCCCCTTGATTCGGATAAATCAACCCCGATAACACTGCTACACCGTCGTTCACGAACACCTCCACCGAATTCCAATCCACGTATATAACCAGCTTGACCGTACTCCCTCCTGAAGGATACGGCGCTGTGCGCACGGTATCGTACGCCTGCTTCGGACCCGCCGCCATGGAATCCGTCGCGGAACCGTCGGAGTCTCTGACCAGAAAAGCCTGGGAATGCAGGAAGTCGTAACCGACAGTCGTGCTGAAAGTCCCGTCGGATTTGATGACAAAGCGGACCTCGTTGCCCTTGTCGCCGTCATTCTTGGAGATCGTGGCGCGGATGATGTACGCACCTTCCTCCAGTTCGCTGGGGAGGGATGCAGACGCAGGATCCTTTGTGATGGTCTTCTCGCTCACGGACTTGGAAGATGCGACAATGTCTTCATACCCTCCTATTGGGATGCTGACCAAGGTGGGAGAACCGTTGATAGTCTTGAGCTTGACCTCCCGGACCAAACTGTCCTGGCCAGCGAAATCCGCGTAATAAGGCAGCGAAGCTGCGTATTCCCAGTTATTCATCCAGCCAATGGCATAGCGGCTGCCGTATCTGTCATTAGGATTTTCCCAGCTGACCGTGGCGTAGAAGTCAGGCCCGTCGTCCATCCATTGCGGAAAGCTGTTTGTGGCTGTGAAGCCATTACCGTCCCATTCTCCGGTCCAATATGCGGTACCCGTCGTCCTATTGTAGCGGTAGCCGTTAGCGCCTAACGTGAGAATCCAGGTGCGCTTTGTGCTGTCTCCGTCTAGGTCGATCTGATATAGATCTGGGCATTCGAGGATGCCCAGGTCTACACCGGCGTTCTCAGGCTTAAACTCGGAAATATACGCCCAGGTCTTAAGATCTATAGAGGTGTAGAAACCAATCTTGCTACCCTCTGCGAGAGACATAACCCAATGCCCCGCTTTGCCATCCCAGAAGATCTTGGGATCTCGAAATGCAGGTTTTGCACCTGGGCTTGGGTTTGGCATCACGGGATTGCCTTCATAAGGGATAAAGCTGTACCCATCGTCGATGGAATAGAAAAGAGATTGCTGTTGCACCCCATCTGCCATCTGTGTAACAACGGCCACGACGGCATTTCGGCCAAAGCCAGCCGTGTTGTTTGTGTCGACCACGGAGCTGCCGGTTTCGATGTCACCAAGGACGATGCCATTGGGAGGGTTTGGTTTGTATTTCTCAATCACTACGCCCCGGCGAGTCCAGTGCACCATGTCGGTGCTCGTGATGTGGTACCATTCCGTCCCCCCTGAACCGGGGTTTGAGCTATCGAAGTTGGAGTTGTATAGGTAGTAGAGATGCCATTCGTCCCCCAGGAAGAATGGACGTTGGGGATCATTCATCCATTTCTTTTCGGGCGTGATGTGATAGCTGGGTCGAGTCTTGGTGGCAGCAAGTGGTACTGCACTGGCATACAAGGTGAACAACAGCAATGAAAAAAGACGGATCGCCAGCGTCTGCGGGACGAGTGTGAGAAATCCCAGCATGGTAACGATGAATGTATAGGCCTTCAGAGTGTCATGCTACCTGGCAAGCAAATAACGTTCAGATCTTCTCATTGTTCATACTTATATATAGGCTGTTCACATAAGAAATGAGTAATCTGACTGAGGGCCTATTCGACGTCAGTCTCCACGAGCCAACGTAGTATACCCCCGCCAAATCAGATTGAGTCCCGGCATATGACTGGTAGGGCATAACACCAATGAGCGGCCGTCGTATGGCCACAACAAATAGCGAAATCCCGATTCCTTCCATGCGATAAGGCGCCTAAAGGTGACTTTTACCAAGCAATACCATATTAAAGCCTGCGCACGCGTGGTACAGTAGTACTTCAGCCTTAATGATCCGGGGTCGCCGCCCAGCTAGGTGCAGCTGCTGGAACCCGCGAAAACTACGAAAGGGTTGCGGAGATGCGGGGAAGTGATAGAAGAGGAAAGAATGCGGGGGATTAATATACCGGGAGAGGGTGTGGGAAAGTGATACAGGAGAGAAAAGGAAATGCAGTAAATCCTGTGCGCCTGGTTACTACGAAGGCCTAGGAAAACTCTCACTCCTTATTGTTCGGACCATTTGGGCAGGTGATAAGACTCAATCTCATCGCACCTATCGGACAGGTGTTTCGCGCTGCTCAAACCGGCGAACGTAAGTTAGGAAGAGCCCCGTCGGTGTCGTCATCTGTTGAGTGTATGACTTGTACATACATACTTCAGGCTGGCGCGGGGCCGCCCGTCGGGTGGAAAGGTTTGGCTGCCACGCTAGTAGCTAGGTGCAGTAGTTGGGGTCTCGCGCATTTCTGGAAAGCCGCTAGAAGGTTTAACAGTACTTCTCGAAGCCCCCTACAGCCCCCCCGAGACGCTAGAATGGCTAGAAGCGAACGGATTGCCGTGGACCCTTTTCGCGTCATACTCACCTTCCTCATGCCCGAGCATCGAAAGAAGGAGATTTCTTAGTCTCTCATAGACCGCTAATTCCCATTCCTCACTCCCATCAGTGAGACAGCGTATAATATCGTATTCCTGACTCATATCAATGCCTTAGGGCGACAAACACTGGGTACAAGGCCATACTTGACTGATTCACATGGCGGTGCGCACCTATCGTCACTAAATACACTAGCCTAGCCGACCTGGTCTCATCAACAAGGGAAGAGGAGATACCATCGTCGTGGTCTTTCTTCCCAACTCCGCATCAATTCAACATAAATGCCTCATATGAGTCTTGTCAACTATAGAGCGCTTGCGCGATCAGAAACAAGTGTACTAACTGAACCAATAAGATCGAAGTGATCATGGCTACATATCAAAGCGACATGAACCGAAAGTGGCATGGACCTTGGGTGAGAGCCCACAACCCTTGTGATCTGAAAACGGAAGGTAAAATACGGTTACCAGGGCCCGCATTATCCACAGATTTCGCCCGACTATCAAGCCACCTAGACTCAGTCGAGAAGATTACTGAAGCTTTCTACAGAGGCGCCAGGGCTTCTGGATATCTGCCAGTGTGGGTACATCTTACCATCCAATTTCGACCAAGGTGCTCTTCCATCTTGGTACGCAGCTACATCTGTAATGAGTTCAAATTTAATCGCGCATCGTCCGAACCCATGAAAGAGCCACCAATTACCATCGATCAAGATGGCATCGGCCCTTGCTTCGATACGATCAGGCCACAACAGCTAACGGACAACACTAAGTCCTTCACGTCCTAGGGTGAGACCAAAAATCAGTGTGATCCGCCACTTCGATCTCCCAAGACCTAATGAGAAATGTATAAATCTTCCATGATTTCTTCGCCATTCCACTGTACAAGAGTCAATTCAGCGCAGTCAGTCAAAGATGCAACCTAAACTCTCCCTTCTTTTTCCTTGCTTGCTGGCAACCGCCAGTGCGACATCCTACACCGAGGACTATCGTCCTCAATATCACTTCACCCCAGCCAAGAACTGGATGAATGACCCCAATGGCCTCATCTATCATAAAGGGAAGTATCATATGTACTTTCAGTACAACCCCACAGGCGACGTCTGGGGAAATATTTCCTGGGGCCACGCAGTCAGCGACGATCTGATGCGCTGGAAAGAGCTACCTGTCGCCCTCAACGCCTTCAATTCTCCAGCAGGATCGTTAAATGAACTGTATTACTCCGGAAGTGCCGTCTCCGATGACGCCTTGACTTCAGGTCTTGGAGATGGCAAGAGACCTCCTCTGGTGGCCGTCTATACATCGCATTATACATCAGATATGACCCTACCGAGCAATAAATCCGTCCGCACCGGCCAGGAATCTCAATCAATCGCCTTCAGCACAGACAATGGCCTTTCTTGGACTGAATATCCTGACAACCCAGTCATCCTAGAGCCTCCCAGCCAATATGCCGACGAATATCTCAACTTCCGCGACCCATTCGTCTTTTGGTACGGGCCAAGTAAGCACTGGGTCATGACCGTCTCACTGCCCAAACTTCATAAACTGCTTATCTATACTTCCAAAAACCTGACGGCCTGGGAACATGTCAGTGAATTTGGCCCTGTCAATGCAGTTGGTGGCCAGTGGGAATGTCCCAGCTTGTTTCAGCTTCCTGTGGATGGTAAAAAATCCAGAACCAAGTGGGTGATGGTAATCGGACTCAATCCTGGCGGCCCGGCACATGCCGGTGGATCAGGAACCCAGTACGTGGTCGGCACTTTTGATGGAACAACATTCACAGCAGATGCCAATAATATTTACGATACGTCTGCTCCAGAAGACAGTGTGGTGTTTGAAGATTGGAATGAAACCAGCTTCGCCGAATCAAGCTGGAAACCAACTGATGACTTCGTCGAACAACAGCCTAGCAACGGCCAGGTGCTTACGTTGTGGCAAAAGGGCGACGAAACTGTTGGATCTCTTAGCTCCAAGAAGTTTACTGTCTCCAAGAAATACATTGCCTTCAAGATCGGCTGTTGCAACAATCCGTACAATCCAGAGACGTATGGAACGACAAAGGATCAAGAGACTGCCATCAACCTGATTGTGGATGGACAAGTGGTTCGATCGACCACTGGCGTCAACGGAGGCGATGTCATATGGGCGAGCTGGAACGTCGCCAGCCTCATTGGCAAGACTGCATATATCGAACTTGTCGATCGTGCCACGGGAGGTTGGGGCCATCTTGACGTAGGCGAAATTGTCTTCACAGACAAATCACTCCCGCCACAAGCTAACTGGGTGGACTACGGTCCTGATTACTACGCCGCCGCCACCTACAATGGACTGTCCAATTACGAGCGTGTGGCCGTCGCCTGGATGAACGATTGGGCCTACGCAGTGGACATTCCCACCTCCCCATGGCGAAGCGCGATGAGCATTCCCCGGGTCTTGACACTTGAGACCGTCGACGGGAGGGCGCGCCTGATACAGAAGCCACACCCTAACCTGCAAACTTTAGAGGGCAGGAGGATGTTGTATAAGAACCAATGGCATTCGACTCGCACGGGCAATTTGACTCTCCCAGTGTCTGGGAAGGCCTTGGATATAACCTTGACCTTTGCTGCTGGCGCAGAGTCCAAAATGCTGGGCCTGAACGTGCGAACGGACGGCAGAACATACGGCACCGCTATCGGCTATGACTTTGATACCAATGAGATGTTCGTTAATCGCGAATCTTCTGGTGATTCTTCTTTCAGCGCCTCGTTCCCAGGCGTATACTACGCTCCGCTGCCTATCAGGGATGGAAAGGTTAAACTACGCATTCTGCTAGATTGGTCATCGGTTGAGGTGTTTGGTGGGCATGGCGAGGAGACGATAACATCACAAATCTTTCCTTCGGATTCAAGCACGGGTGTGTCACTGTTTTCTGTCGGCGTTTTGAAGGATGTGAAGATAGAGGTGCACTCGGTATCGTCTGCGTGGAGAGGATCGTATTAGTAGTAAGCGTTGAAGAGGGTATATGCAATGGGAGCAGACTAGAAGAATAGTGGCACGTAACTCCTTCCGTGGCCATCAATACTAGACAATTCGGAAGATCAGACTTCATATGTACATGCGATTCATCTTAAATGTTCTTGCTACGGGCACCTCTATCCTTCCCAATACTCCAACACTTCACCACATCTCGCTCCCTGATTCATACTGTGCAGAACATAAGGGCGGTCCATGAACATTTTTTAACCCTTCAAGTCTCTTGACGGTAATCCAAGAACGGCATCAAGCACTTAAGGTAGTACAACAATAGCTACAACCTAGAAGCGAAGCACTTTTGTCTTCATTTCTATTTGTTTGGTCGCTATGTTCTTTTACCACTTTGATCGAAGACGGAGCCTCGCTTTGAGGCTCGTGCGCGCCGGCAATGCTGGGCAGAAGGCGGTCTCGATGACGGCGACCTAGCCGCCGACAGCTTCCTTAAGCTTATGCGGCGCCTGCGCATAGTACTGTTACAAGGCCTGGTTATATTGCAGCCTCGCTACCCGCCGCTACCCTTCTTCGCCTACGCCCCTTTTACCGGGCCCGAATTGGATGAGTTCGCCATCGTCGACGAGTTCAAACAGCGCCGCCGGCGAGGCCAGCGCCAGATACAGGTATAGGGTACAGGTAGGGACCGCTTTGCCCGATGACGCAGGCCCGGGGCCAGGACCAAGGCCGATTCGGAGCCAGGACCATGGTCATCGGGGGCGCCGGACTCGGCTAGGGAGGAGGCGGACCGCCCCCCGTTGACAGTAAGCCGGTTGTCAAGTAGGAACTTTATATATTTCCATGGTGATATCTAGCCTGTATGTATCAATCTACTTAGAGGTCATATTTGTAATGATTAAAGAGCCGCAGGATCAGTGCATTACTATCTCGTAGTCCTTACAATGAAGCCTAGCCCCCCTTATCCCTCCCAGGCACTGCATATAAAAATATCTCGGCGCCCGGTATCCTATAGGTCGCTGGTCTTGAACCAAACGCACCGCCAGAGCGTAGCAGTCCCCCAGCCCCGGAATGGCCTCGATTGGGCTACAAAACATTGAGTTATTCGCCTATGCTAGCTCTCAAGCCCAAATACAGTCAGCAATCCTTAGTCTGCAGTTATTCACATGCATAGAGTGTTTGGTTTTCGTTAAGTACATGCTTATGTGAGAAGCCACAAGTCGGTGACGTCGCACAAATGCTACATCTGGGAGAAACCCAGACCCGCTTGCCTATGTATGTTTGGTTTCGGATACGCAGGCTTGGTTTCGGCCGGCTATCAGGACACGGAACTCTTTACTCGATCTAGTTACGAGTTCGTAGGTGGAGTCGAGCATGGATAGATGTTATGGCAGTGCAATACTTCAGCTGCAGCACAACAATTTTTCTCGCCGATATGCTGACGGCCATCTCTAGTTGTCATACCCTGGACAGAGAACATCTGGTATCAGCTTCGATTTTCTACGGCCATACGATGCACATTCTTCAGGGTAGAGCTTTAGGACAATGATTTTCTATAAGATGGTCGAGGCTTCCCCAAAAGAATATGTCTACAGGAGCAGAGACTTCAAACTCATCGAACATCGACTCTTCCTATGCGCACAGTTAACCTCAGATATCTTACTAGGTGTTTCTTCAATTACATATCCAAATAATGGCTCGCTATATTGATGGCTTCACTCACCACTGGTGGAACGACTTTCAAGGCGATGCAGACTGTTTTCCAGATCAGAACCCGTGGGAGATCGTTGAGAAAGGAGCAATGATAGTATGGGTTATAGAAACTAGTTAATGTCATATACCGACACAACATTTGTTGGCGATCTGCTGCACCCCCTTCAGCAGTCCATCATACCTACTTGGAGGTAAAACCGTTGTGATGAACAATTGTAGGCTCGCCCTCGAGGCTGTCAGTCTTCATCTTGCCCTCCAGAACATCTTCTCCCTTCTCTCTATGGGAGACCGAACCAAACAAGACATCGATTTCTTCGAGAGGAACACCCTTTGTCTCTGGAAGAAAGCTAAAGCAGAGATAATATGTGAGCCAAAGATGATAAAGAGACAGATGGGGATATGACTTACAAGAAGACACCGACGAGCAAAAGTGCGTTAACCCCAACGAAGAAGAAGAATGTGTAGAAACCACAATTCTTCAAGAATGTGGGGAAAAACTGGTTGAGGATGGTCGAAGCCACAGATTGTGACTGGGCGCCAATGGCGACACCGTGAGCTCGCACATCTGTCGAGAAGATTTCTGAGGTGTAAACCCAGACTGTAGCTCCCCAAGATGGCTTGTAGAAGAAGATAAAAAGGAAGAACATGGCGGCCACAGCCACGCCCATGCCGTAAGGCCGGGTTCCATCCGCACTCTCCGGGACCTTCATTCCAAGGATGGCGACAACCAGGAGTGAGATACACATACCGGCTGCACCAACCATGAGGATGCAGCGTCGGCCCACTCGGTCAACGAGGAGGGTGCAGCTAAGGGTAAAGATGATAGAGCAGGTTCCTGACAAAGCGTTGATGAGGGCGATCGTCTCGGTACTCTTGAAGACAGACTTGTAGATCAGGGTGGTGTAGGCATTGAGAGAAGAGCTACCGGAGATCTGCTGGCCGACATTGATGAAGATAACCACAAGGGTGCGACGGAGAAGAGAGGGCTCTCGAACCAAAGTCCAGTCTAGCAAGAGAGAATTAAGTTAGATCAAAGTCAGGTTCACTATAACAATTTCCAGGCAGCAGCAAAGTAGGGTGTCAACGTACAAGGTGCCCACCACTTGTCCCAGTGCTTGGTGGTCGACTTCTCGTAAGCGACAGCCGTCACAATATCGGCCACCTCCTCGTCGATCTGATCGTTCCGGACGCGGGTCAGCGCAGAGCGAGCATCCTCAACACGATCATTCTCGACCAGCCATCGCGGTGACTCTGGACAGAAGAAGATAGAAACGATAATAAAGACGGGGATGGGGATCTGGACAAACAGCGGAATGCGCCATTGCCAGATACCCATGTCAAGCGTGGTCCTCTGGGCTCCGTATGCTGCCCAGTACACTATAAAAGCACCGATAGTATACCAGACTACACCCATCCGTCAGCAGAGTATTTGATACAACAGGAAGAAACGGGGTAGAACGTACGCTGCCAAAGGGAAAGCATGATTCCACGAATCTTGGCGGGGGCAATTTCGGCGATGTAAGTCGGACCATTGTTCATGCTGATACCTTTACCCAGGCCCATGAGCACTCGACCGGCGATAAAGCACACAATGTTTGGCGCAAAGGTCTGAATCATGACCGATATCAGGACAATGGAGGTGCCAATCTGAATCGGGATCTTGCGGCCAAACTTCTTGGAGATGGTGGGGGAAATCAAGAGTCCAGAGACAATGGCACCTACGTGGTAGGCTGTATAGTTGTTAGCCCTGAAAGAGACAGAGCAGTACAGAGAGAGGAGAGCCGTCCTCGCGGTTCCGCCATGATGGACAAACCTGTGTTGATACCGCCCAGAATATTTGGCTGAATTGCATCGTCTCCGGGTTTTTTGAAGTGGTTGATGAAGGTTTCGAAACCCTGAATCGAATTAAACGTCGATGCGTCGTATCCTGCAAGAGCCTGTTGTAGTAGATTGTTAGTGATATTGGCTCATGCTCGCATGATCGAGAGGCGAGATGTGACTCACCATGACCATGGCTGCGGCCGTGGCGGCAAACCATGCCGTTCGTTCCTGGGGGGTCATGTTGGTGGTATGAGGGCTCTCCTTGTTGTCTCAGATGCTGGGTCAAGATCGATGAGATGAGGCATATGAAGACTGGCATCAAGATAAGACAGCCAGAGGTGGCCTAGATAGATATATCGCGGGCAAACCAATGGCCAGATATAAGCTTCAGTTCTCCGCAAAACAGACAATAACCGACTCTCCATTGTCGATCCGGGGTAATCCTCAGAGCAGGAGAAACGGCACCCCACATTCCCCGCGTTTCAGTTTAGCAATAGGCCGTGTGGCCAATTCCAATGTTCCATTGTTCAAACAGGTCAGGCTCTGGCTGTCTCGGTTCTCGGTTGCCTACCGTGGCTTTTGCCATCTATTTGCCGTGATTCCCGGTGTTCGCCAAGGGGATTAGGAATGTCTCGGCCCGGTTTGGCGGCAACTTGCCGGTATGGTTGGCTTGGCAATTTCGGGCATTAGTATGAGGTGGGGCAAAATCGATCCACATCTCATGGTGCTAAAGTGGGCTTGGGGTCATTGTTCATGAACAAGATGGCGTACCCATACAGTACCTGAGTACATACACATAGTCCACCATTGCGGTCGGGATTATGTACCAGGTGGATCTTTTTAGAATCCGTAGCGTTACGCAAGTCAAAGAAATCCGATACGTAAATTGCATCATAGCACTCACCGACTGCCTTGCTTCTGTACCGCATTATCTATCATACGCGGATATGGTCTGGTGACGCTAGGCTTAGCTATTGAACAGGGGGGGCAGCAGGACTATACAATATGACTTCAACGCGCTGCAAACTCGAGGTCGGGACCTATCAGTTCATGTTTCCGACACAACTAATCAAGCCACAATCATGCGTCTTACCGCTCTCTATGCCGTCATTACCGTCGCCGTCGACCGACTTGGAGCTCTAGCTGAAGGGCTGCCCGTAGTCATCAACGTCCCAAGGGTTGCTTCTGACGACGCCGCTTCATTGGACCCATCGCCTGTATCTTTCTCGTACGCCACCAACTCAACAAATCTATCTAGATTGATATTCAGAAAATTGAATTAACTCAACGCTAGGTTGCCTTTTGCTGGGCTGCCGGGTTACTTTCCTGGTATACCTCTTACTCTGAAATGTCTTGGCACTTTCAAGGATGTGAGCAGCAAATGGCCTCCTATTCGTATAGGAGGAACTTCTGAGTAAATATGGCGGTGTGAACCCTGGCTGGCTGACGGCTGCTGACGACTCATTCAGGGACTATGCCACTTTCGACCCCAATCTGGCTGTTCCTAATGTGATCACGGGAACCGCGCCCACAGGTCAAGGTATCAGCACCTATGGACCTTTGCTTATGCAGCTTGTTGCAGATTACCAAGGGCCAATTGTTTGGGGTGAGCCTACGACTTTCTCTTCGTTATATCTCGAGATGTTGACCACTTTATTTTATTAAAAGGCCTCAATCGAGGTGGCAACAACATCACCAACACCATCGCAGCTGCCAAGGCTGCAGTCAAGCAATTGCCGTCCTTGTATGCGTTGGAGCTTGGTAACGAACCTGTAAGTCCTTTATGCAATTTATCATATCAAAGTTGATGTAAAGACCTAATCTAGCAGTAGGACGGTAAGATGACACCCACGATCGATATACGACAATGTGAAGTAGAGTCTTTGGCCGGTAATTGACCATTTTGTTCATCTTGTCAGTTTTCGGGGCTATCAAACAGCCAATTGCTTCGACTGTAAACGAATGGACGCCGGAAACAGACGCAGAGTCCGAATCCGAATGGCAAGCGGCCATTGGTCAAGCAATCAACCGCAATAGTATCTTCCAAGCGGCCAGCTACTACCAGAACCCTACCCTAGAATGGTCAGCGGCCAACTATTTCAAATACGCCAATGCTTCCGCGGATACGTATATCAGAGTCTTCTCTCATCACAACTATCCACAGTCTGCTATTTCCTCCCAGGAAGATCCGCCCAATGCCGATGCCCTGATGAGCCACATCAATGTCACCAAGAATGTCGGTCTTTACAAAGACGACGTCAAAGCAGCTCAAGCCAGGGGATTTGATTATGTTTTCGGCGAGACCAATTCTGGTATGCTGCATACTCAGAGCAGTCCCCTATGAATTGTAATAGTCGCTAACGTGAGCGAACTCTTAGTCTCCGGCAATGGAAGCCCTGGACAAGGTGAAACGTTTGCAACCGGTCTGTGGGTCCTCGACTATGCTTTACAGGCCGCCAGTATCGGTATCAAGCGTCTCTACTTCCACCAAGGTACGGCAGGCAAGTCTTACTACGTTTGGTTCAACGAAAAAGGTGTCCTGTCACCTTTCTATGGCGGTTACGTCGCCGCTCAGGCCATGGCCGGGGGATCTCGAATTCAAGCGCTCGACGGTGGAAGCACAAACTACGCTGGCTACTCCATCCACGGTTCCAACGGCAAGGTCAAGAAACTCGTGTTAATCAACACCGACTTTTTCAACGGGAACGGTACTCGCTCAACTCAAAAGTTCGTGCTCAAGAACCTGTCAAGCAAACGGGTGAGCGCCATGCGCCTAACAGCAAAGAGCTCTCTTTCTCGACAGGACGATGGAGAAGCGCCCACATTTGCCGGAATCTCGGTCGACGATAGTACTTGTCAACCCTCGGGAAAGACTGCGGTTGAGACGGTAGATGTCACGGGAGGCAGCGCCTCATTCAACTTGGCCGCGTCAGAGGCTCTATTGATCACCCTGTAGGTAATCGACTGATTAGGTGCGTTAAACTGAATGAATACGAAGGAAGAATGCAAGATTATTCATGTATGCTCAAGGGTTGAGTTAAATTGTTTTCGCTTCATATTTAGTATATGTTGGATACGCAGCTATACGATGAGGTGAGTGTATTAAGATGTGGAGCAGAATGTTGTGATTGTCAACTTCATTCTCTAATCAGTCCGTCAGGGAGGGGTTAGTTCAATTCCTCCTCCTCTTCTGGATACAAGAATAATATTTCGATACAGGAAAGCAGAGCCCAATCCTGTTGGATTAGTGATAGCGCCTCGATAAAAGAAACGTGTATTTTGAGGGTCCCTGAATTATCAGATTGGCGGCTGGGAATGGCTCCACTTCCCTTATTGCAATATTATTCATGTATCCAAAAGAGGGCTAAGACCCCTCTCGGACAGATTAAGAATCCAGGAAAAAACAAGCAATGACATCACCACATTCTGGTCCACACTTGGGTACACTAACCCCATCGTATTCGTGCATATCTAACACGGATATATTAATACCCAGTGGCAGGGAAAACACCTAAAAGGACAGAACAGAGACAGAAGAAAAAGGAACAAGCTCCTGGGGACTAGCTTGATCCTCAAGTGTAAAAATTAGCACCATTTTAATTAGACATCAACCCTACTCGCGTATCCAACAATTCCCAGCCGCCAATCTAACAGTATTCTGCCCCACCCTAGATCAACATCATATTCAGAGAGAAAATAAAAGACAACAAGAATGATAAGGATGTTATCAAAAGTAAGCCGGTATACTATAGCTATTACAGCTCTTAATGCTCTTATATATTATTTTTCTTTAGTAGCTATCTATGAAATTCCTGATGCTTTGTGTGTGTATTCGTTTCAATGAACTGGTCATCGTATTTGTCAATACGTTATCTGATTGCATCTCCCAATATACGCGTATAGATGCAGGGTGGGCCTAAGGTTGCGTACCGTACACGTACCCCTGGAAATCTATGGACGCCTGATTGGTACAAGCTATCGACATTTCTAACCAGTATTAGACTGGGCGGGCTATTAGCAATAAAATGGAGTCTTCGTCCAGCACAGCCAAAGGGACAAAAAAAAACACTAACATTAATTAGTTACTCTCAACAATGTGGCACCCCTAGACATCGCTGGGGGCGCCCAATCAAGAGCGTTTCTGATTCCGTTGCGCAACCCCGCACTTTTGATTGGCCTTCGCCTCTGAAAACCCAATACTAATAGGCGACCAACCGGAAGATGTAGGTCTTTGTAGCATTATCCAACCTCTGGTCAGCTTCGTTGATAATCCAAGGCAGACAATATGTCTGGCTCGAACATGGCAGCAAAACCCTTGAAAAGGGCTCGACAAGGCGAGGCAGATGAGCAAGAAAGAGTCGTCAGGAACCGCTCAAGCGTTGCTTGTCAAGCGTACGTACATTACTCAAAACCCGGACTGGAGACCTGAGATAAACGTGCTTGGCTCACTTGGGTATTCCCGACGATAGGTGTCGATTGGTAAGTGCGTCTCCAGCGTTGTTACCATACCAGGACGTCTGAGCTTACAGCGCTTCCGCCTTGTAGGCCAAGACCAGGTGCGACATCAACCCGTTCGCGCCTCCGTGTACGCGTTGTGCTGCTGCGTCAATTCCCTGTCACGTCCCAGAAAGCCGTAGAGGGCGCATGAAGGGGAGCAAGAAGTGAGTGCACTATATAGACCTCCCATGTCCCAGCCAGGCCTGTGATAACTCAAGCCACAATCTGATAGTTTCCGAACATGGCAGCAAATCTTGGACGTCGAACATACAGCAACATCCGAAAGTTCACACGAGCAATCCGATCCCCACTCGCACTCGGGACCCGACAATGTGGGACAAGATGGCGGCGAAAGTTCAGAGCCTCACGGACCGGGAGCAATCACGCCGCTGGATCCTCATAACTTGATGAGGAGCCTCGATCAGAATTTGCATGGCAACTCGAGCCGTTTCACGAGAAAGCTGCTACGATATCTGGGGGAACAATTTCCGGTGGGTAATGAAAGAGAGCCACAGAATATAAATGAGGTATCGGGTGGTTTCCAAGACCTGTTACCATCCATCACTAAGATCGCCAAGCAAGGATGGGTGCTGGACGAGAGTGGACTGGCCAAGAGAATTCGTCATGTCACTTCGCTACCTACCATCGAGTTACCACTAGAGGATGCGCAGCTGCTGAAGCACTGGACGCCGCAGGCTCTACAACAGGTTGTTGGTGAAATGACGAGGTACTTCGAGTATGGCCTCAGGGGCTCTAAGCACGACGTAGCGAGGGACATTGACCCTCTACAGAGAGGCATGATAACCGAATCCAGGGCCACGGCATTGTTCAAAGCGTGAGTAGATCATACATGCATGCACTGCGGATGGCTTCTGACTCAATTCAGATACTTCAAAATGGTTCATCCTCAGTGGTCGATGCTTGATCCCAACTTACACACGCTCGACTTTGTCCGCCATCAATCTGCCCTTCTCACTACCACTATCTTGGCACTTGGCTCTATTGCCATCGCAACTCTGCCAGAAAGCGATGACGGCCACGTTGTTGAGGCTCTGAATTTGCGTGCTCACGCCGAGAAGCTGAGTCTAGTCGTCTACTCGACAGGTGCGCGCTCCTTGGAGATAGTACAGGCTCAAGTGGTGAGACGAGGCAGCACCCGTCAGAATCTGTTTTATATCTCGGCTGATGGTTAATGGCAGTTACTATCCCGATTTGGGGGGTCCTCAAAAACACGGCTAGACGAACAGCGATGGCTCCGTTCTGCTATGATTCCACGCATGGCAGCTGAGATAGGACTTGGCGGATCTGGTTCACGCGGTCACTGTGAGAATTCGCCTGACCAGGTGGCGGATGATCACTGGAACGAGTTGCGAACTCGAGCATTCATGATACTAAATGAGTATCGGTAGGATACTTCTTGCTCCCCTACCTCACCGCTATTTATGTAGGCAAGCTGATGTCCTTTTTCTAAAGATTTTCCACGTTTTCTGGCCGTGCTCCCCTGGACATGTCCTATTTTGAGCTCCAAGAAGCTGATATACAATCTATTTCTGCCCTTGGTGCTGATAACCCATCTTCAAGTCTGCCAGCATTGTATCATCTCTATCTCTTCCAGGTAAGGGTTCTTCCCGGCCACCGTGAATGCTTCACGTCTTGTACTGCTTTACTGAGTTCTATTATTAGAGAGAAGTCGGACGAAGGCTTGGAAAAGCCTCCTCGGCGGCCTCTTCCACCGCTTTGCAGCTCGAGGCCGATTTGGCCTGGGTTGTGCATTATACCGAGAAATGGGTCGCAAGGTGGTGCGTTGGAAATTCCAACCCTGGTGTCCGCTGGCATCTTGTTCATGATGCACTGAGCTGCCAGCTTCTTATGTCATCTCGCATTATTGGCCGACTACCGCAAACTGAGGGACAGGCGGCCCATAAGAAATATTTGCTGGATATAGCCATCCGCATTTTCCAAGAAGCCCTCGACGCTCCTCAAGGAACGCACATGACGCACCGGGCTAGTATATTTCCTTTCGCGGGTGCTCTAATTCTTCAATGCAGTGATAGGCGTGACCTTGTCCTTCGACTTGCCCTTCGAATGGCCGGTCGCCCTGACAAGCAGTATGTGCCTACCTTTATACGAAGTGCTGGCAACCAGCTGCTAGCCATGCTTTGGTATGCTTTTGCCCATTCAAACGCTTGTGCTTATCAAGATAGCCACTGCGTATCCGCTCGACGTACCATACTTATAAGCAATGCAGTTCAAATCATGATCAGCCTCGGCCACGGACGCAGCCAGTGAAGAAACCGTTCCAGACACCCAACTTTGAGAAAGAGAGCTGTCCAGGGGATGAGGCACGTAAAACGGAACATCACGCAATCCCTCGAGATTATGTTCAAATCAACACCCAACCTTCAGGCTCTAAGTGTAGCTCAGACCTTGATACTGACTTAGATCTGGCTCCGTCCTCGCAGAGCCATGGCTTCGAAGTCGCCCGAGAGAATGCAGTATCATCAGAGCGCAGTCGTGGAGCTACGCTACGGACTGACGAGCACAATACACAGGCGACTGGGCTGCAACAACCAGCAGAGATGCCGGAGTCCGAAGACTTGGCAATCAATATGGCAATCCCATTCTCCCAAGAGACTGCAGCCAATACCCAGGAAAACATTCACCTCAACACGGCTCAGACTCATACCGGAGACTTTCTCAGCCTTGATACCTGCTGGGATTTTCCGTATGCCCCTACCACGTTAAGCCCAAATGTACCTCTCTTCGTTTCGCACGAGCCCATTACGGACCTTGACATGTTGATGAGCGGGGGCAAAGTTTGGTCTTATGAGGACGTGAGCCAGCAACAAGATGCATTTGCTTCCATAGCCCCAGCTGAAACAAGCCCACCGATACAGCAATACTTGGGTGTCTTCTCAAGGTCTGGGGGGAACTTTTTTACCAACGAATACGTAAACTTGGCACCAGGTGATGGCGAGTTTGGAACAAGGCCGCCAAGATGGGACACCTGTTCCCCTGTGTACATCGACCCCACTGCCGGTGGTGATGGGCAGCAGACGTTGGAAGAGCGTCAGGAGTATCGACAGACTCTTTTCCAGACCATCGGTCGGCTCCTGGAGATAGCATCGGCATCTTGACTGATTGGAAAAACTGAAGCCAAAGCCTTTAGATACTGTCGGGTATACAAAGGTCAAGTAGTGAAGATTACCAGCGCGTAGTATATGTATATTTGTATGGGTATATTCAGTCTAAACTCATTAGACCATCAGGTTAAAGACCCTTAGTATAGATATCGCCCTGTTCTAATGCGTTGAGTAACGGCTGGTTGTTTTTGAACCGCCGGATGTTGTCACAGATGATCTCTATAGACCGAGCCGTGCGATCTGGCATTCCCGGCGTCGAGTGAGGCGTGATAACCACATTGGGTAACTTCCACAGAGGGGACTGCTCGGGCAATGGCTCAACTTCGAATACATCAAGTCCAGCTCCCGCAATTTCGCCAGCCTTCAGGGCGGTTACCAAAGCGGTTTCATCAATCAATGAGCCTCTCCCCATGTTAATGATGACAGAGGATGGCTTCATCTGCCTGAACTGAGTCGCTCCAAACAGATGATATGTCTCGTCGGTGAGGCTAGCTGCGAGCATTACAACATCGCACCCAAGAAGTCCCTCTATACTGTCTCCATTCTCGGTACTCAGCATGACGTCGACGTTATCAGGTAGCTTGGAGTCGCCACTGAGCTTTCTTCGTTTAATAACGGTAACGTGCATGCCAAAGGCTCTGCCCAACAGGGCCATCTCCTTACCCGTATTGCCAAAGCCCAGGATGCCCAAGCTCTGGCCCCAAAGAGCACCCCGCAGGCGCAGCTCCTCACGTCCATTATGCCACTGACAGGACACCTGACGCTGGAACAAGCCCCTGGAGTCGTACCTTAATGAAAGAGCGAAGAAAAAGGCATGCTGAGCAAGTGCAGGTGATGAGCGGCCCGCTGAACTGGTGATGACTAGGCCTCGCTCAAACACCTCGGGGCGGGCCGATTTGTTGAGACCAGCGTGATCACAATGAATCCAGATCAGATTTGGCGCATCAGAAAGCATGCCTGGGGTGACGTCGCTGGCCAATATGGCAATTTGGGCACGCTTAATGGCCTGGTCAAAAATGTGCTGCTCGCCTCTGCGGATATGAACAAACTCGGCTGGCTCAAATGCTTTTCGAATGATGTCGATTTCTTGAGAGTCCCACTGGACAGTGGCCACGACCACAAGATCCTGATTTAGCTTCGACATGGCGAACAGGGGCGGATGAATGGAGTAAACGACTCTGGAAGCGCCCTGCAGATACACGAGACTTCTAGATGATTGGTGTGGGCTAGAGGGAACGGAGGGCTGGAGTGTTCAAGGTAAAAGGGTTACATATCTTGTTGCGCGGCTCTTCCTCGCCAAGATCTATCATCTCTCAAGTGTAATTGTTGGTAAGCAAGATTTTGTGGGTTTTTCTATTGACGTGTCATCTGTTTGCCGTACGTGCCGAGAGCCGGTGAAGGGGTCAAGATCCGCAAATAGACCCCCCATAAACTCGCACAGCGAGCGCCTCCACACCTGAACGCGTAGGCGTGCGGATTGTGTCAGCCTACAATTTGGCCTGTTGGAATTGCGCTGTAATGCAGTTTTTACTTTTGAGAATGCTATAATTTAAAATGTTTATAAAATTTTAATTATTTACCGGAATAAATGGCCTGCTAGGCCTTACCATCTGCTGCCGCCGCCTCCTAAATATCATATATACCTCCTCTGCTAGAAAAAGGTCTGCGAGAGGCAGTAGTGAAAGGGTATCCTTGTTCAACGTACTGGAAAATTGCCTCGTTATATGAACAGTTGTGTAAACAGCCGTTTTGGTGGTAAGGAATCGCTATAGTAGCTGCCTGGAAGAAAGCCTGTAACCAGCAGCTGCTGTGGGCCGGCTAAGGCGACCGAAGAAGCTGCCGGTTAGAGCGAAGCTGGGGGTAAGTATTCAATACACCAGCTTCTGCCCAAAAGGTTAGTGAGATCAGTTAATCCACCAATCAATTAAATAGCTGAAAATCTCACAGCCCGCATCACTGCTAAAAACGCTTTTCATACATGCATATGGCTTATATAACATTTTATACACACGGCTGGTTATGCGTTTAGGGGCTAACTAGGGTTGGGCAGATCTTCGTAAGTAGATTAAACATTGAAAAGTGAAAATATAACCTCGTCGAACTATTGTGGTGATAATCTCTTGAAATGCCATCTATTCTGTAAAGGAATGTGGGGTAAATTTTAAGCAAATCTTTATCTTTTTATCCTCTTATAATATCTTTCTTAGCTAGATCATATTTATCCCTCTAAGATCGTTTATGCATAACTGTTGCAGCAGCCTTATATATCTCGAATTAGTATCTATGCGGTACTCTTGGATGTTAAAAGAAAGAGGAACGTTGTATACCTGATGATTTGGAAAAATTAGAGAATCAGCCAGAACCACATTTTCTCTTCTGCCAGCAGCAAATACAATAACCTCTGCAATATCATCTGGAGTAAGAGGATTATAACCACTAGAAGCCTGTCAGTCTGACATTGATTGAAATATACAAGACAGGTTACGCACGCATAGACTGCATCAGCTTTGCTCTTGTCACCATAAAACCTGACAATAGAGAATTCCTAGTTGCATATCAATCAGCCTCATTATTTCATTGATACCTCAGCATGAGAGTCTGAGCTCACAGTCTCGACTTGACCAGGATCCACTCCAATGACTCTGATGCGAGTGTCAATCAGCTCGCGCCGCAAGGCGTCTGTGAATGATCGCACGGCTGACTTTGTCGCGCAGTAGACACTGCCACCTTGATAAGGCTCTCGGCCTGCAATACTGCCGATATTGATAATATCGCCGGAGCCGCCTCCGGGCTTCCGTTTGAAGATGGACAACACTGTCTGCGTCATGTTGATCAACCCGGTAACATTAGTCGTAAACATGGTCTGGATATCTTCCAAGGCAATGTCGGGGGCCCGGGCAATGCCCTTGACGAGACCACTGGGCAACCAAAATCATCAGTAAAGCAAGTATGGGACAAGGGTCGAGAAAGACATACGCGTTGTTGACAAGAATGTCAATATCTTTGAACTCATCAGGAAGTTTACCAATAAAACTTGAGACATCTTCGGACTTGCTCACGTCTAGTTTGATAGGCAAGATTCTGACTCTATCGCCGACCTCGCTGCGTATCTCATACGTCAAGGCCTGCAGCGATTCGAACCTCCGTGCAGCGAGGATGAGCTTCAGGTTGCTTGAACATGTCCTCGCAAACTCTTTGGCCGTACTTCGACCGATGCCGGATGACGCTCCCGTTATAAGAATTGTTTTTCCGGCGAGACGCTGGCCCATCGTTGTTGCCATGCTTGCGTTGACTGGGTCGTTTGCATGCACAGCTACCTAGGGTCAAGCAAGGTCTTGTTTGTGTTCAGGACTCGTACACTGATGTGATGGCACGTAGCCCGCCAAACTCAACATCTAGGCTTGCCTTTTATTATGTCTACGCATACTGCTTTATCCGTGTTTCAATTACAATTCCCACTTCTTTAGTCAATTAGGCTGGTTCTGACCAACGGCACTGGCCGGTTATACCGGCTATTAGATGGCAACTAGATGGATCAACATCAACCGCCCGAACCAAATCAGATGACCCACAAATTTGGCTACTTGATTACGCGGGGGTTGGTGCAGGGATCTCCTATGCACAAGTCGACCAAGGCAACATAATTTGTCGCGCTTATATATTAACTACCAGTTAGCCTGCCGTTGGTAATTGTCCAGGCCTTTCCTGACCTATAGTTCATATCGCAAATTTTAGGTTGAGTTTTCTGACAGCGGCCAGATACAGATCATCATCTCATTTGACTGTGCCTTTATATCCTATACCAATATTCATGAGCGCACCGACCAGAACCATGACCGTCGCTGCACCGACTCCTCACCAATGGTGGCACGAGCCGTTCTCGGTTGTCCAGACCAACCTCCGCGAGATTGACGCGGGAATGGACGTCGACGACGTGGCCCATTGGATCAAGGACTTTGGCGCGACAGCTTGGCTTTGTGGAGTGGGCGGCATACAGGCCCAATACCCCTCTGACCTGGCATTCCAGACGCGCAATCCGAACTTAGCCGAGAGGGCCAGCGGCGACCTTGTCGGCGATGCTCTCGCCGCAGCCCATGCCAAGGGGCTCAAGTTCCTCGCCCGCATGGACTTCTCAAAGGTTGCCCCTCACGTGGCTGCCGAGCATCCTGAGTGGTGTTATGTCTCTCCGCTGGGTAATCTTCAGGAACACACAGCCGGCCTCGTCTCGGTTTGCCCTTCTGGGGGTTATTATCAGGAACACATTTTCGATATCCTCCAGGAGGTGACGGAACGCTACAAGATTGATGGCATGTTCTTCAACTGGGCCACCATGAACGAGGAAGACTATTACAAGGTGTACCACGGCGTCTGCCATTGCGTCAATTGCCAGTCATTATGGCTCGAGTTTGCACGAGGTCTTGAAATGCCAAAAGGACCACAAGATATCAATTACGGGATCTGGCTTATCTTCAGCCGAAACATCATAGATGATATTACGGCAAAGATACGCGCTTTTATTGCTAAGAGACTCCCTGAAACAGCCCTTATCAGGGGGAAAGCAGCTGATATTATCTACCAAGAGTCAAATAACGAAATTGGCCGAGAATTTTGGCATCATTCAACCTCGGAATGGGTTAGCTCTTGGATATCTTATCGGCCAAACGTACCCGTATTAGCTAATTCGACGTGTTTTATCGATATGAGGTACCGCATGGCCGGAGAAGAGCCAGCCCAGTTTGCCCAATACTTGATCCAATGCATTTCTCGCGGGGGTACACCCTCTACCTACATGATGGGAACACCAGGAAAGATTCCATACCCCTGCCTGGACGTCGCTGCAGATATAACCCGGTTCCATACCCAGTATCATGATACATACCGCAACTTCGTGCCTTGCGCGCTCACCGGGCTCGTGCGGCCGGATCGCGGATACATGGCAGGGCGGAGCTATCAGCAATCCTTATCTGAGTTCCGGGGATTATACTCGGCCTTGCAAGAGATGCATATTCCTTTCGACGTAGTAGCACTCGAGCATCTGCCTGGGTTGGAGGCAAACTTGAGTCTTTCCCGTTATAAGAACCTGATACTGCCCGATCTGCGTGATGTTCCTCCAGAATCCGCCAGCATTTTCGATCGCTGGGTCGAGCAAACGGGCGGTGTCTTAATTTGCACGGGATCGTCAGGCCAAAAGGAAGCTGGTTCAATCCAACTCAAGTGCCTTCCCGTTCGCCGACGCCGCGCTGTTGTGGCCGAGGGCAGACTGTTATGGTCCTCATATGTGGCGCCACTCCAGAAGAAGAAGGGAATTCACTACTACAACGGCCCTATGATCCCCCTTTTTGGGGCGGCCAACTATTTTGAGTGGAAGGAAGATAGTGTCAAGAGTCACAAGACACTTTCCCGAGCACCCTTTGCTCCCCCGGAAAAGGCCTACGGTAATATCGAGATCGACCATCCAGGTTATGGTATGGCACAATACGGTTCTGGGAAAGGTGTTATGATTCCTTTTACCGTTGGAAAGGGTTATCGAGAAACTGGACTTAGTTGTCAGCGTGACTTTTTCCTGCAGGTATTCAGACAGTATGCCACACCCGAGAAGCTCATATTCAACCTTGCTGAACAAGTTGAGATCACTCTGCATCGGAGTGGCGATAAGCTTGTCGTGCATCTTGTCAATATGTCCGGCGCTCGGAGGCTCAACTTTGGTAGTCACATTCCAATTGAGCAGGGCTCGATCAAGATAGAAGGAGGTTCCCTCGGAGTGTCGGCGCGAGCTTTGAGGATGGATCAGAAGCTAGAGGTCAACGATGGAACAATCAGCTTACCACGACTAGATCAATTTGAAGTGGTGGTTATAGAGGGAGTAGTGGAGAATCTACAAAACGGAGTGACACATTTAACATAGATTGAATTATCTTTCTATTGTACTAAGGACTGGTTGTAATTTAGTAAACTACACACTTTCCGTCCGTGCACCTGCCACCTGTCGTCATTACTTTCATGAAGTTATATCCTATTAATATAATCGTCTAATTTATTCTGGACCTAGATTCGCGAGGATTCCCCTTGCAACTGCGTTTTATAGAAGAAATAGCTAATTCTCTGGTTATAGACTGCAATATATTACCTATCGGTAAGCGCTAGGCTTATAACTTTATTAAGTTATAACCAGAGCTTAGATATATTTATTTTAAAAATATAACTATTAGAAAGACAACAATAAAGATTTATTAATTATTTATAGCTAGTTTAGGCTTATATAAAATATGATTATAAACTATAATATTCAATTAGATAATATTTAAAACTTTAATAAAACCGGCTTTATAATAGGCATTATTATAGCCAGGATAGTTATTATAGGTTTAAAAAAAAAAAAATTATGACAGTTATCTCGGCAATAATACCAAAACAACCGCCTCCACCACGTATGGCCGTCAGCTCTTCACCACCTGCATCAACAAGCACGCCTTCAGCATTGACATACTTAGCGCCAATGATCTGGTCAACGCCCAGTCCATACTTCTTAGACAAAGGACTGTAACTTCCGAGTGTTGCCCAACCGACATACCAAACTGAAGCATTCGGCGCCTTAGGCTCTCATCAGTCAACATTAGTCCACACAGTGGTGTTGACTCACGTTGTTGTAATTAGCTCCTCAGCATCCAAAGCCTTCGCCAACTCCCGTGTAATGATCCCTCCCCCAATATGAGCAGTCTTCTTATCCTCCGAAATATTGACATAGTTGATATTGCGCATATCGAAAGTCAAAGCACCATTGACTTGGCTTCTGCGAGTGCAATTATGTCCGCCTGAGCGAACCACAAAGTCGATATTGTGCGAAACGCAGAATCGAACTAGATCCTGAACGTCTGATGCATTTTGCGGCCTGGCGACGATGCTCGGAGAGCTGGAAGTCTTGATGAAGGATTTCGTAATATCGGCCCACTCTGCATCGCCAGGCAGGATGACTTTGATGTTTGGATATTCGGCGGTGAAGGCTTGGAAGACACTGGGGAGGGAGTCTGAATTGCCAATGGTAGCCATGGCGAGATGAGTTTGGTGATGCTGTGAGAGCAGGAGTGTAGATGGATGAGCAAGAAAGGCCCGGTGGCTCTTTATATTCCATTAGACCCGAGGGTAATCATTGAGATCCCCGCTTCAAATCACCCGGGTCTTGACAGTCTCATGTGGATTTACACCGCCTTGGTAAGTTAGCTGGTCTTCGTGGCATGGCTTTGCCAAGGTTTCGCATAACTTGATAATACCACGGCAGACAAAGTTCAGCATTGGCTGTAGCACATTCGCCAAACTCTCGGTATTCGGTACTTGTTCGAATCCGTCTTATTCTGAACATCGAAGGCGTTTCCCAGATCGAGAACCCTACCGTGAAAAAGACATCATGATATGATAGTAGAACTGCATCAGTTACACCGCCTCCACCAATTCAATATGATGCTTGTCCGGAATCAATGCTATAAGGCGCCACTTATGTAATTGTATTTCCTGATATGGGGTTTTCGTATTTCCTTCGCTGTTTGTCCCCTGCTTAAAAGTCCGACGAAGGCCGCAGTTAGGCTACAGCGGAATTCTGCGCTGACTCAGCGCAGAATGGACTGGTCCAAATCCCTGATGGATTGAGATGAGCGTGACTGAATGCGTGTTTATGAAAGGATAGCGTTGATTTAATTTCCTCAAGACCTAGAGTTTGAACCGTACCAGTTGAAAACTACATATACACCCAGTAAGGACTAGCCTGCCTATCTCCAATGATTTCAATCCCCAAGCACGACGGAGACCTAACCCGTCTGTGCAAGGTCTCAGCGTGCGTTAAAGGCTTATATCTTAAGTGAATGAATCTAGTAGCGTGTAACCTATAAGTGCTAAGACTTATGCGAGGGCCATCAGACGTGTTTACTTTCCTGTGGAAAAGAGAGAGAATAGGCCAGGGAAAGAATGAGAGACAGGATTTATACAAGAAGTTCGGTACAAGAGATCACTCCATATATAGAACAAGAACCGGTCTATTTAATCTCTCCCTAAGTTTATCCACTAAAACAACATCTCCCCATGTTGACTATAATAGAGCCTTAGTTGCTGGTCGTCATATACTCAGCCAAATTGTGGACAGCCATGAAATCCTCCCACTTCATCAGATCAAGGCCAGGAAGCTAGATAGAATATGAGAAAGACAAACTCTCAGATACATAGTCCTCTTGGAATAGCTTACCTCATTAGCTTGCAAGAATTCAGGACGAGCATAGATCATGCCAAAGTCTCGAAAGATCAGCAACTGCTCTGTGAAGTCCAAAGCACATGTGTCGTCCATCTTGCTCTTTAGAATGGATTGGAACTCCTCGGAAGAGAGCTCATTGTAGCGTATGTCGATTCCGTAGGCTTTGGATAGTCAGCGACCCAACGTTCTCGCTCCTGGTCGTCCATGATCGGAGTGAGTACTTACCAGATGCCATAGACTTGATCTTGTCTCCTTCCGAAATAGCCTCAGAATAGAAGGCAATTGTCTTTTCCAGACATTCATCGGGATGGTCGAGGATATACTGGACCAACTTGCCGGTATCCGAGATAGCAACGTTTGGAAGAGGAGTTGTCTCAGGGAGAACAAAGGACCTCAAATAAGTCCCATCATCTTGCTGATCCCCATGTCAGCTTATCCACCACTAAATTTATGCGACAACGGACCTTGATAGGAAGATAAGTACGCGGCTGCGTGACACAATTCTCAAAGTAATTCGGAAACAGCACCGCAGTTGTCTTCTTCCACAGAGCAGGTTTCTCGGTCCGAATGTAATCTGCCACAGCTGCTTTGCTCTGCCAATGATAAACATGAGGATATTTTCCATTCGAGATAGTTTTAGCGTCAGGCAAGCTCGCCCAAATGATATGCTCGAGATGAGGAAGATCAGCGGCTATATCCATGATACGCTTGCCCTGCTCTTCCTCTTTGGTAGCGGACATGTGTTGCCAAAAGTCAGTCATGGCGAAGATGATGTTAGCACCCTCAAAGGCCCTTCGTAGGCTGGTTGCATTTTCGACGTCTGCTTGATGCATTTCGATGCCAAGTTCCTTCAACGCTTCGGCCTTGGGAGAAGAGATATTTCGGGTTAAACCGCGGATAGTGTATCTGTCCCGGGATTTGGCAAGCGTCTGGACGACTGAGCCACCCTAAGCAAAGAATCGTTAACCTGAATGCTCTGCACAAGGTGACTCGGGAATCATACCTGAAGGCCGGTCGCACCAATAACAACCACAGTCTTCTTGTCTTGAGTCATAGTGAAATGGTGTTGAAGTTAGGATTCCAAGCCGGGTTTCTCAACAACTCTGATGATAGAGTCTGTGCTACAGAAACTCATGGGAGTTCCAGTGGGAAATGAGCCCTTTTATATAGCACGTTAGAAATATAAGTGATTACACAGGCAGTGGAGTTCTGTAACAACTCCTCGAGCTTCAATTGGAACTTTGCGACATTGATGTCATAGACCCTTCTAATTTCCCGCTGATTCAGCGGGTTCGTGATGCTCAGGGTCCACAAGTGCCGGACTCATGGGAATGCCAGAGACCGGCATCCATAGGCAAGAATTATTACCAGACTTATGGACGTCATCAATTCTCGTGTATCAATGTTTAAAATTTCCGCATTTGGGTTGAACCGGTTCTGAAATGCGCTGTTGCAGAGTATCTCGGATCGGTAAAGGCGGCCCATGTCGATTAGCGCCGATTTGTCCAACTGCCGGCTCGGAAAACCCGAGGTGTGGCGGTGGCCAGAAATTTTCCCGGCTTAATAACACCACTTATTATCCCTCTTCAGAGGTGGCATGCGGATAAACAGCAACAGCCAACCATAATGCCGAAATCGACAAGAGGTCGAAAACCGCGGGCTTGCGACTCGTGTCGCAGGAAGAAGGTGGGTTTTGCTCCGCTGCCTCTGGCCAAGCTTGAGGAGTAAGGCCACTGCGCTGTAACGCGCAGCGGTCGTTAGTTGTTGAATCGCTTCATCTTATACCAATACTCAAGTTTTGTTACTAGGGTAATTGGCTAACTCATGTCTAGATCCAGTGTGACCGAGCTGTACCGCAGTGCGACTACTGCCAACATCATGGCTTGACGTGTACCTACAACGAAGCTGCAAAGACAGAGGGATCCGCACTTCGGTATACCGAGTCTTCGGCCGATATATTCCGGCTCTTTCAGCTGACTTATTACAACAGATCTAATCTTTCAAGGCTTCCGAAGACCGCATCACCGAGTCGACAGCTTAGTCTTTTTGAGCCAGATGATAGGGAGCTTATTCTTCGTGGTGAGAGTCATTCTTACCATATTACGTCTTCCTTTCGCTAATGCAAGATGCCTTTTATAGCGAGCGATGCTCATGATCGCGATCCAACTTATTTAGAGGGCTTGCGTTTGTTGAATGGTAATTCACTCTTCAGCCCGCAAGGTCAACAGTGGATCAAAAGCAGGACAGGCTCAACCATTTCATCAAATATCGTCGACAAGTACCGTCTTCCTTACCTGTGTTCCACCAAGTCCCCTCTTGCAAATGATAATCACAAGATTCTAAAGCTTCCCGACAGTAAGATTGTCGAGGAGCTAGCAGCGCGATTTTTTTCATCTGCGCAGTCTCTCGTCTTCCCACTGCTAAGTCTTCACCGCTTCATGACGACAACCCTGCCTCTTGCTTATTCAGAAGGCGCCGGGAGCAAACTCCATACGATTAGTGCCAAGGCTTGTGCTTATGGAGTGCTGCTTATGAGCGACATCTTTGGTCTTGACACGGGCGATGATATGGCTGACATTGGTTGCTGGTGCCAAAGATATGCTTTGGAAATCGAAGGGTCAATACCTCTGATCTTACGCGAGATGAAGATCGATGGACTTGAGTCGTTGATGATGCTCGTAAGTTCCACTTCTTCAACCTAACAATGCGGGATCTGACTAGCGACTGTATAGATGATCTTCAAATACTTCATGGGAGTTTTAGAATCCGCATCTTTCCTCGTCTCAGTCACTTCGCGCTTCCTGTTCCAGCTCGGAGCCCACATATTTCCTTCTCCCCCAGACCACTACGATAAGCGCAATGAAGCTCACCATATACGTGACCTCTTTTGGGTCTGCTACTGCATCGACAAAGACCTGTCTCACAGGACTGGTCAACCGCCTACCATCAACGACGATCACTGCGACCTCACGCTGCCTCCTAACTACGTCCAGATGCAGAGCTCCAATATCCTAAGTTCCGGCCCATGTTCAAGTCGCAACTCCTCCACTGTGCCGCTCTATCCATGGGACATTCGACTCTCGGTAATGAAGTCAAAGATCTATAACGACCTCCACTCGATAAGTGCCTCCAGACTATCAGAGACCGAAATATTGAGAAAGATCCGGCATTTGGATAAAGAGTTGGAAGCTTGGAGAGTGACTCTTCCACCTGACCATCGACCGACCTTGTCGTTTCTGGAGCAAACACCTGTTGATGCCCAGACAAATACACAGGCAATCATGCTCCGGCTTTCATATCACCACTGCATTATTCTCATTCACCAAGCTCGATGCAGAATCTTCCAGTCAGATCAGCCTATCGACAACTTGATAGACAACGGCCATAGAATAAACTTCCAGATTTTAGTCGACGCCTCAAGATCTATCTTGATCTACCTAGAAAAGGCACTCCCCGTCCTGGCCCACGAGTGCTTCTGGTACCTGTTACCGTCACACTGTTCTATCATTCTGTATCAATAAGACCAACATTGTATTTAGGGTCATCATCTTCTATCCGATGATTGCAATCTCGACTATCTTCTCCGTCGCGCTTCTCGATAACCGATCAGACCCAGAGAACGAAAGACTTAAGCTGCTGCAAGGCTTTACACGATTGATCAGGCAAATACCTATCAAAAGGCTTACTGTCGCGGAGATATCGCACTTGGAGTTTATCGAGGAGCTCGTGGAGGAAATGGGCAGATTAGTACTGGTTACTCATTGAGCGGTTATTCCAGGCCGCCAAGTCACGAAGTTGCCCAAACCAGCCTAAAGCTTACTGATCACGATGAAAATAGTACATTCCGTACAAAAGTACCAATAGTCTCAACACGCGCAGATTAATAAGACCAACGGCCTTAACATGCTACCTCCGCATATTTAACCGCGTTAACTCCCAATTGAAGTTTAGGTTAAGCGGGGCGAATGCGAAAAATAAGCACGCCTGCAGATTCCGTCAGCAAAAAACGGAGAAATAGCATTGTCCGATCAAAGACCGCTAAAACCCAGCAAATCAGAGAGCTTTGAAGCACACTAAACTCAATTTGGAAAGGGATCTCTGATTGGTCAACATACTATCATCGTCATGTTGGAAGAGGCGCATGTTGGATATATAAGACGCGGGATTCTCTGACAATGGATGAGAATATTTACAGACCAGTTCATTATACAAAGACACTTATATTTCGGTCAATCTTGACATCCAAAACTTTTCCACAATGGAGTTTCCTAACCCTTCTCTCATCGGCGGCGCAGCTGACATCCCGGTTAACTCTGCTTCACCCATCTTCATCTTCACACCAGTCACTCTCCCCTCCAAAGACCGCAGAGTCGATCTCGACCTCAAGGTCACAGCTCCCATCAATGGAAATAATCTCCCCATTATAGTTCTCTCCCACGGCCACGGCCCAAGCAACTATCTCTCCTCGCTCAAAGGCTATGGCCCTGTTGCCGATTGGTGGGCTAGTCATGGCTTTGTCGTCATTCAACCTACACACTTGAGCTCTCGTCAACTTGGGTTTGAGCTAAATGCTGAGAGTATCAGTGAACTATTCATGGAGTCTCGCGCCAAGGATTTGGTTCAGATTGTTGATAGTCTTGATACCATTGAGACCACCGTTCCTCTCCTCAAGGGTCGACTCGACAAGTCAAAGATTGCTGTTGTTGGACATTCCCTCGGCTCTTTGTCCTCTGCTCTCCTCCTCGGCGCCGCCAACACCGATCCTCGCGATGGCAAAACCTTCAAGGTCGCTGAACCACGCGTCAAAGCCGGCGTCCTCTTCGGTGCCATCGGCGCAAGCGACGACCCCTCTGAAAACGGCAAATCCATGCTTCCCTTCCTCGACCTCGACTTCTCCAACATGACGACTCCCTGTCTTGTATTCTGGGGCGACAGTGACGTCAGTCCGCATCTCACCAACCGAGGAGCAGACTGGCATAATGATCCCTACAAGCTCTCACCAGGACCTAAGGCTTCCTTTGAGGTTAAGGATGGAAAGCATGGGTTTGGTGGTATTAGTGGATGGGACGCTAAGGAGTGTCAAGATGAGGGTGTTGAGAGATTGGCGGCGATGCAGAGGGTTACGTGGGCTTATCTGAGGAGTCAGTTGTACGGCGATGATTCATGGGAGGAGGCGAAGAAGGCTATTGGGCAGCATCCTCAAATTGGAAAGATTGAGGAGAAGTAGTGGACACAGGAGCTTGTTGAACTTCTAGTTAAGGATAGTCACTCGCATACATACTAAGTTTCATACCCACACGTTTGCCTTGCCGCTTTACCAACCAAAGGTGGCACACTTTTGATGTAGCATATGAGGACTTTGGCCCCCTCTTCGGCGAAGTGTTTAGCGATGCCTTAGCCAAGGCTAGATTGTATATTAGTTGTAATGCTTGGCTGTTCACTAATTCTGGCTGTCAGACTTAGACACTTCTCAAGTTTATGAACGCAAGGGTTCTGTCAGCTACACTCGGCTTGCTTGTTTTGGAAGGAGACTTTCGACGACATATCATCGCCGCTTTATGGAGGGGAGGTTGGAGAAGCGATTAGTTCGGTAACTGCATACTGACTTGGCAGTTAGCGGTAACCGACCATGTCCATCACATTATATCTTTCACGTTGGTGGATTTCGTTGAATCGAACACTGAATCACAGATCGTACTCAAATTTGGAACGTTGATATCAGTCTCCATATTGAAACTAGCTATCCGAGGAGACGTTCCGCTGATCGTTTGAAGTAACATTCCAGCTGCTAGACTAGCAATCCGCGTCGAAGTACTCTCAGCTTCGAATTTGGATCCAGAGGCATTAAGTAATAGGCTATTAGAGGACCCGCCCCTTTACAAAGCTTCCAATTCGCTACAACATTCAATGCTTCCGTGGACTATGCCATGGACCCATGTCTTCAAAGTTGAATATACTACCTGGAAAGTACCCATTCAACGTGATCCCAAGTAAACCTAGGCCTGAATATGGGTTTTCTAGCCTTGAGCCATATTTGACAAGGTCACAGATAAATCTCTCTATTTTCATTTTACTCCAACGGCGTAAATGCCTGCCCACACGAATGAAACTGCGTCCAAGCAGATGATTGTCTCTGAACCCGGGTGTGCTGATTCGAACCCCACCTGTTGTCCTAGCTCACTCATGGCTCAGGCTCAGATCGGGTTGACGTAGGTCGATATTCGATTTCTGTATTAGACTGTTTTATATTGGTCACGAGTATAGTGCCTTGCGTATTTCAGAGGGGTTGGCTGCGCCCCGGGGATCCACAGGGCGCAGCGAATCCTCTTGAAGGTCAATATGGTAGATAAGGCAGGTAAGTCAGCCAAGTGATAATCTGCAAGGCATCTTTAACTTTTCACCTGCATGGAGGCGTCTCGAGCTCTTCTATCTTCAAAAATGCCGCACCACCATTCACACCACCACCATACTGACCATTCCTCAACGTTCGCCGGGCCAACATTGCCTGATACTGAGCCTCTCCTCCCGCCTCCTACAACCTTCGAAAATGACACCAGGGTTGACATCACAACGACGGAGCGTATAATCTCCATGGTGATATTTTTTGCAGTCGTCATTTTTGGATTTTTGACTATCTGGAACTGGAGCCAAGAGCCGTCCCGACCGCCGTACCCGGACCCATGAGTCTGCGTTTCGTACACTATCCGAACAATGCTACGAGCCGCGCGTGGGGCATCCTGCAAGGCAAGCGATAGAAGAATAGCTTGGAGGATTAGAGTACGAAGGCGAGAAGGACGTGGCTGCACTAGACATATACCAGAGCGGGAAATCAATGTCAGCGAAATTATGATTTGCATCTGTTTCTCTCCTCTCCATACAAAAGTCTCTGGCACTTCTATCTTCTCGGTGTTCAAAACTTAAGATTGCGTCCTTCTCGCCATCATATCTAACTCGGAATCCCACTGAGCAACCTTTGGCTAAAACTGAGCCTCTCATACCGCGCGCTCTGGCCTCACAAACCGGCATCACAAGAGTGCAAATTCTTCACCTTTGTCTTTGGATTTTTGGTCTTCGGGGTTTCAACCTTCGGTCGGGCGATTGGCCAAAATCTCAGATCCGCTTGACGCACGCCATCTCTGCGACCGACTTTCAACATGAACACATTTAGAGGGCTGCCTGGCTATGGTTTCATCCCGAGTCATTAATTCGGCCTAGCTCTTCAGGTCTCAGTCTTCAGAGCTCAAAACCACTGCTCCATTCATCCGCATTCTGGTCAATTGTCAGACCATATCTACACAGGAGCGAAGTTGCAGCCATCACCCACGGCAAGCAATTTAACTCAGATGATCTGCACGTAAAGTCTCCGAAGATTCCGAAATTGCAGGGTTATCAATTCAAGGGTTCATAGGCAAGTCAAAGCTTGAGTGGTGCTTTGACAACTGCCGACTTGCAGTCGCATCTGCATAGTCGTAATTAACGCATTAAACTCAATTTCCCCTGTTGATCTGCTCAATTCAGGAACAATTGCAACAATGCTACATGATGATAAACATACGGTAATTACATCTGCGACATTCCAAAAAGTAAATTTGAGCATCGACACGTGCAAATGCAATGCTCTTTGGGTTAAAATGCGGTGCTGCCCAGTCGGTTGTTTCTGAGCATATGGCATTCACTCATTCAGGCCATAATGTTGTTTTCACTCGTTCTGTGCACTTTTGTGCTATCAGCACTCGCTTCACCTTCTACGCCCATCTCTGAGCAGAAGCTTGGGGGGTTACGGTATCCCAAACAGCGCGGCAAGCATTATGACTACACCGGGTTTGAGCCCAGCCAGAAGAAGCGCGCGGATGATATTATTGATATGTTTCGCTTTGCTTGGAATGGATACTACGAGCATGCGTTCCCTCATGATTCTTTGAGACCAAAGTATAACAACTACACGGATGATCGTAATGGATGGGGCGTCACTGCTGTTGATGGTCTTGATACTGCGATTTTGATGGAGCAGACGGACATTGTCGAGATTATTCTGGACTTTATCCCGACTATCAACTTTACTAAGACTAACACGCCTGAACCTACTACCGTCAGTTTGTTTGAGACAAACATTCGATATCTGGGTGGATTGTTAAGTGCCTATGATCTTCTCAAAGGACCGTTCAAGCATCTCAAAGTCAACAAGGATAACGTTGATGCTCTGCTCAAGCAAGCTACTACACTGGCCGACACACTGAAGTTTGCTTTTGATACGCCATCCGGAATTCCGTTCGGTTCACTGTGGATCGAGAACCAGACATCCACCGACGAGAACAGCCTTGAGGATGGAACTGCCTACGCGGGTTTGGCGGCTATGGGCACTCTTGTTCTTGAATGGCAGCACCTTTCGGATCTCACTAGAGATCCTCAGTACGGCAAGCTGGCCAATCGCGCTGAGTCATATTGGCTTTCTCCATCTTCTGAGGTCTGGCCTGGTCTCACTGGAGGTCGCTTCAGTCTCAAGACGGGTGAGATTCTCGATGAGTATGGTGGATGGACGTCGGGTAATGACTCAGCTTATGAGTACCTCATTAAGATGTATGTCTATGATCCAGACAGGTTCAGCCATTACGGTGAGCGTTTTACTCTGGCGGCCGACTCTACCATCAAGCATCTGATCTCTCATCCATCGTCGCGACCCGACTTGACCATGGCAGCCGCATTCACCGGTAGGCAGCAAGTCAATTATACCGAATTCCTCGCATGTTTCATCGGCGGATCATTCATTCTCGGAAGTTCCGCCCTAGACCGCCCAGACTGGCTCGACTATGGCCTCTCCTTCAGCGAATACTGCGCCAACGGCTACCGCTACACAGCATCCGGCATCGGTCCAACCCTCTACAGTTGGGATCTCAACGAACTAGCACAGCCCGAGAACAAAAACCAGACCGCCTTCTACGACCGCGCGGGCTTCTTCATCCAGGAGGGAATCTTCCAGGGCGGCCAGGCACCCGAGGCCGTGGAGAGCTGGTACTACGCATACCAGAAGACGCACGACCAGTACTGGCGCGACGTGGCGTGGGCGTACACCCTAGCGCAGAACAGGACGATGCGCGTTGGCGGGGGGTTCGCTAGTATCAACAACGTGCTGTCTCCGTCTGGGGACGGAGTGCGCGGCGGCATCATGGCTAGCTTCATGCTCGCTGAGACGCTCAAGTACATGTGGCTAATCCAGACGGAGAACAAGGGCGAATGGGACGTCTTGGAGGGAGGGGAGAATCTGTTTGTTTACAATACTGAGGCTCACCCGCTACGGGTTGCTGCGAAGAAGCCTGTTTAACCTTGTTTTTAGAGATTCAGCCTAGCATTGACCGTGGCGCTTTTTGGCGTCTCACTGCCTCCGCTGGTGGATTCAGTCTCCGAAGGTGGCGGAGGCAAGCTAAAACATTGTTTTGTGACAATAGAAAATGTCTAATTGCAGGCTTTGCCAATACTAGCTGAACCAATCTCTTTTCCGTCACTTTTTGGGTGATTATGTGTCAGAAGACGGTGAGGTGGCTTTCCTGTTTCGCTTAAAAACACCCAATATTGTCTGGTTGGCGCTGCCAAGAGCCCCATAAGGCTGATGTGCCTCAAAGCATATTGGGCGATGGGAATGTGCATTTTCAGCTTTGGCTACTAGCGCATAACAAGCTCAATGGAGGGCCCTACTGCCAGGTCTAGATTCTGGGAGGGGAAGAAGGAGCTTGCCGAGCTGAGAGGATGCATGTATAAGAGGCAATGGCCAAATCTTGTGTTACGGAATCAGCAGAATAGAGCATCACAAGAGACCTTGACAATTTCCCTCTGTACTCTGTTTACTTTCCTCCTTGCCATTCCATTAGACACTCCAGTGCAACCATGCGCCTGCTCAAAGGCCTCGTACTAGGTCTGCTCCTTGAGAGAGGTCTAGGCCAGACAGACACTCAGCCAGAGGGTGACAGTATTGCAACTGTTGCCGACCCTGTCGAGACAGATCCCGCAGATGTGCCTGCTCCTGACCCGAGTGCTCCATCAGATGGCGGTGCGCTTGATTGAAGCATTTATTTAGCTCCCGCTGACAGCAACCAGACACTCCTTCAGATCCCCCAGACCCAGCAGATGATGGACCGACAATCACAATAGATGACCCTCAGCCCACTGATGACGGGTCCGATGCCAGAATCCCCGCCCCAGATCCCACTGATGAACCTACCGATGTCGAAGACCCCTCAGCCATTCCTGACGATCCCGCCGAAACAAATACAGACGATGAACAGCTAGCTCCCACTGACCAGCCCGCGCCAACCGACACTGAGCCCGAGCCCACCGCAACAGACGTCGATGCTACGCCGACCAATGATGAGGAGACTCCCCAAGAGACAGATTCCAATGGTGAGGAAGCTACGCAGACAGATGGTGACACCGATGCGGCACCCGTCGTTCCAACAGAAGCCTTGAACTCCGCGGCCGAAGAGACCCCAGAGGCAACCCCTCTGGCGTCCGACACCGCAGACGACCAAGTTCCACAGACGACCGAAGAGCCATCGGATGAAGAGACCGAAGAACCGAAAGCTGACTCTGAACCAGAAGAGTCTACCCAGCAGGAATCCAGAGGAATTGTAGCGCCGACAAAGACTGAGAAGAGCGATGCGAAGCCGACTGATGGCGATGGTAAATATTCACCTGCTCCTTATGCTAGTCCGACTGGAGGGGATGAGACGGAGCCGACGGGGTCGAAGAATGAACAGACCGCTGATGGAACAACCCGCAAAGCTGCAGCTACAGGTAGTGGAGGCAAGGAGGAGAAGACTACACTTGCTACTTCCAAGGGAGCTGCGCCGACATCGCCTGCTCAGGATTATGCCATTGATCTGGAAGAAGCTGACCTGGGCGACTATGCCGAGTTCCAAGGCGCCGGCGACAAGACTGTCGTGTAAGTTCCCCCAAACCCTCCCATACCCTCAATAAATACTGACTCCATTAGCATTCTCAAACCCCCTCCCAACACCGAAGCAAAGTGCGATCTCCCCCCAACAAGCGACGAAGACGTCCCCGAGGGTGAAGACGTGCGCGTCGTCCTCTCCGTGAAAATCGCAGACCTCAAGAAAGGCGTCAAGTCTGGTAATCGCTTGCAAATGCTCATTGACGGTTCGACTATTTACGATAAAGAGCTTTTGGGCACTGGTGATGAAGAGGAGAGTATTTCGAGCGATAAGTTCAAGGCTGCGCTGGATCAGAAGGTTAATGTTGTTCAAAAGGCGGGTGACAAGCCGGTGCAGGTAACTATTCAGGATGCGAATATCAGGAGTGCTATTAGCGGGGGCAGTAGAGGGGGTAGTGGAGGAGGTGGTGGCTCTGGTGGTGGTTCTGGGGATGATGGTGATAACTCTGGTGATGGTGGTTCTGATGGTGGTTCTGGTGGTGGTTCTGGTGGCGGTGGAGGCGGAAGTGGCAGCGGAAGTGGTAGCGGAAGTGGCAGTGGAAGCGGTTCAGGCGATGGTAACGGCGACAGCTCAGGCGGAGGTGCTTCTGAGAGCGCCTCAGGAACCGGCGGCGAAGGCGCATCACCATCAAGTGTTTCCGGCAGCGACGGTCAAACCAACGTTGCTGGCAAGAACTTCATGGTCGGTGAGGTCCTCATCTATGCCCTCCCTCTTGCCGTCGCTCTCGTGGGATGAGCCCATGTAACATTGGACATTCTTGTATCTAGTTCTTGGTGGTTGAGTTGGAATTGTACAGATCGCCGAGCTATCGGGTTAATAATATTAATGCTTTGCTCGAGTTAATGAGAATTTGATGACGGTTTAATGACTGCATAGTTTACCAACGTAGAGCTTTGTCTGCTATCGCTGCCCACTCTATTTCTCATAACTTTCATCTGTTAAAAGCATACTGCTAATATTAGCCGTGGTAACACTTGTGCTGTTGTCCTGCGAATGTGCTGTCGAAGGGAGCTGTCATAGGGGCTGTCACAGATGCTAGCAAAGCCTGAGGCTTGAAAGCGGCAGCAGGGGAAGGCATTTCTCAATCCCTCAGATCTGTAAATAATCCATGAACAGATCTTCTGTTATTTACATGCTAACTATATTTATATCCTTAAATAGCCTCTCTTATTCCAAGAGTTGGATCCACGGTCTCTCCTCAAAGTCTCATTATTAACCTCCTCCATCCGGAGCTATCCAAAGTCAGTACCATCATTCAACAAATCTCATTTACAGTCCTTTTGGTGACTATTTCTTCGGACTATAGTCAGTAGAATAAATGCAACTGGAAGAGCCACAATCCTGAATCTTCTTGCGATACGTGGTCCTGTCTTTTCTCGTGGACTTTCTCCACCCACAACAATCAACTAGGACGCGATCTGAGCCTGCCCCGGGCTGGACTTCAGTGGTCTCCATTTCGCACATCTTGAGGGTTTTAAGATGGGTAAATTAATATTTTTTATAGTATTGTTTTGGAAATTAGAGATCTTGAAATATTTAAGGAGCAACTTGTATGCTATAGTAGGAGAGAATCGCTATTTATACTTTCTGGCTGTTTGTGATCTAGCATCTACAATAAGAGTACAAGCTCCCCCGTGGTCTTTGAAATGGGACATGAGTGAGAAACATATTGAATCCATGTACTATATGTTTGCTGTTGCGATGTAATAGCCTTATCTCTACGAACATGCCATAATAGTTTCATTGGCTATAGTCCGAAGAGCAAGACGTCTGTGTAGGACAGCTTTAGTTTTAAGAGTCATTTACCAGCCACGCGATATTGTCGTAAGCATACATTCACATTTGGTCGTGGTAATACTGATATCCTGTGCCTCTCCAGGATATGGCTGCATTGTAGGACCGGCATCCATGTTCATCACGTCACGATTAGTTCATTAATCTTCGTGACAGGGTTCATGGCTTCTCGAATTGTTACACCGGCTACTTCCGTCTGCTGAGCTTTCTGGTTAATCTATTCAGACAGGTCACTTGATCAAATGTAGTGAGCAACCAACCAAAAGCCTAGGGCCTCTCGTCAGAGAACGCAATGCATGTAGTAAGGCGATTCACCGGCCTGATAACAATACTAATTCAGGTTTTCTCTGAGTTTTATTGACATATGTTACACCTTTGCAGTATTTCTGCTCAAGAACTCCTGACTAAAAGCATAGTCAGTATACCCCCTCGCTATCTTGGGAGTATAAAAGTACGTCCTATCATATCCTTCCAATCCAATACCCGTCTTCAAACGAAACACAAGATCCGGATTTGCAACAAAATATCTCCCAAAAGCAATCAGAACATCATATCCCTTGTACATCTCATCAACAGCGGTTCTAGCTGAGTCACCCTTGAAGCCGCCCGAGAGGATCACAGGACTTGTGTTGTTCCACAGCTCAACAATCCACCGAACTGTCCGTTGACCACCGCAATCAGCATCATCGTTACCGCGTATACGAGCTTCGATGAGATGCAGGTATGCTAGGCCAAGTGGTTTGAGTTGCTCGATGAGATAGTGGAACTGAGGATCGGGGTCGTCCATGAGCATGCCTAGAAAGTCGCTGTAGGGACTGAGGCGCATTCCAATCTTATCGGCTCCGACGGCGGCGATAACGGCTTTTGTGACTTCGATGTGAAATCTAGCACGATTCTCGATACTTCCTCCCCAACTATCTGTGCGTTTGTTGCAAGTGTCCTGTAAGAATTGATCAGGTAGATACCCATTTGCACCATGGATCTCAACGCCGTCAAAACCCGCTGCGATAGCGTTTCTCGCAGCAGAGACATAGTTCTCTAGAGTAGTCTGGATATCATCCTCTGTCATCTCCTGAGGAGTTGCTATTGATGGGTCAATAGGAACAGCGCTACTCGATAGAAGAGGGTAGCCCTTCCTCTGAAGCACATCAGGGTTGCCGGCTCGTCCTTGATGCCAGAGCTGACAAAAGACTTTACAGCCCTTTGCGTGAATGGCGTCGGTTATACTGCGCCACGCTGTGACTTGAGCATCGGACCAAATTCCAGGTGCGTTGTCGGAACCGGCTGTGCTTTCGGATATGAAGGTTGCTTCACTGATGATGAGAGTACCAGGTGTTGATGCACGTTGTTCGTAGTATTCTATTCACTCCAGTTAGTTTTGTTTGTTCATCAGCGTTTAATGGCTTGCTTTGTTACCACTGACCTCTTGTCATTGAAGTTGGGCAATGATCATCGTCGCAGCGGTATCTTGTCAGAGGCGCCATAACAATTCGGTGCTCCAGAGAAGTTGACCCAACGGCCAATGGCTCAAAGAGTCGTGACATGATGTCTCTGTGCAAAAAGAAATTAGTATTGAGATAATATCAGCTGCCAAACCAAGTATTACAATATGATCACAGCACGAAAAAAAAGTCCTGTATCAAAGCCCCTGCAATTAATATGCATTCCCAATACCCATCCTTCCATCATCCCCACCACTAAGATACTCGGTGGGTAAATGGTATTGAAACCCACCGAGATCCACCCTTATCGCAATCATCCGGAAAACTTATCCAGATGTCGGAACAGAAGATGCCGACAGAGAACCAGCCCTACACCAGCCGCTTTATTCCCGACAGGGACATTCTTGGCCGACGGGGACCCTTGCGAATGTGCTCGGTCTCGTCGAATGAACACAAGCTGGGGGATTCGGGAATAAGGATTCCTGACGGGAAATATGTGAGCTGAAGAATTTGATGATGACATTGCAAAATTGATCATCGTTTCTTGTTTGGGTGGAGGCTGTTGCGTGTCAGAAATACAAGGACTTTGGCGAAGCTGGTCATCTTCTTCCTCTCCCTTGTACTCCCTCTGTCTTGTCGCAAGCAAGATACTTCCCAAGTGATCGTCAACATGAGTCCCGATTCTAAGAATTTCGACACACCACAAGCATGCTCCGACCAGATCACAAAGGACGAGTCCTCGTCTCAGCTTGCCGGCGATGAGAAAATACGAATCGCCAACATCGACAGCGGTTCCAGCACACAAATAGCAGAACAAAACAGCACAGACCAAAGCGACGCCGAAAGCATAGGCGGCCAACGCAACAGCGACCTCCCCCGAAAACGTCTCCTTATCTCCATAACCGCCCTATCAGTATGTCTTTTCGTATCTTTCCTCGACCAAACGAGCGTGTCAACGGCTACACCCGCCGTAGCTGGCGAGCTCGAAACAGGAACTTCAACGTCATGGATCGGAACTTCGTTTTTAATAGCGTCTACGGCATTTCAGCTGATCAACGGCCGACTTTCGGATATTTTCGGGCGGAAGAATATGCTATTGTTATGCCTGTTTCTTATGGGTGTTGGTGATCTTGCGTGCGGTTTTGCAAAGACGCCGGTGCAGTTGTACGTTTTCCGGTCGATTGCTGGTGTTGGTGGTGGGGGGATTAATAGCTTGGTCATGATTATCGTGAGTGATATCACATCACTACAAAATCGAGGCTACTATCAAGGTGAGTTGTCATATACATGCTTAGCGAGCCTTGATTGACAAAGATTAGGTATGTTAGGAGCCATCATTGCCCTTGCAAACGGCGTAGGACCCTTCCTAGGCGGTGCGATCGTTCAATCTGCGACTTGGCGATGGGTCTTTTGGATGATACCCATCATCACTCTGCCTACAACAGCAATTATCTGGTTCTACCTCCCTCTAAAGCATCGATCCGGAGGGTACATGGAGAAGATAAAAAAGATCGACTACGGAGGCATCGTTCTCAACATTGCATCAACACTACTACTTCTGATCCCCATATCTGGAGGAGGCGTCACATATGCCTGGACGTCAGCTTTCTTCATCGCCAACGTCATCATCAGTATCTTGCTAGCCGTCCTCTTCGTTCTGTTTGAATGGAAATTGGCAAAACTACCGATTATGCCTCTTCGACTATATCGCGCACCTCATTGCTGGGCGCTATACCTGCAGTCTTTCTTGACGGGTTTGGCTTACTTTGGCAACTTCTTCTATCTACCTCTGTACTTCCAATCGGTCCTTGGATACGACGCATTAGTTGCCGGTGCTCTCATCTTAGCAGTGGTCATTCCAACATCACTCACGTCTATCCTTTCAGGGCAGTACATGAGTCGCGTGGGAAGTTATATGAACTGCATCCTAGCTGGTTTCGCTCTATGGACGCTTGGAAATGGCCTTACGCTTATCTTTGATCGTGAGACGAAGCTGGGCCCGCTAATCGCCATTCTCATTGTTGAGGGTGCGGGTATTGGGTTCACTCTGCAGCCTACACTCGTCGGGATGTATGCAAACGGTCGCAGTGAGGACAGAGCAGTGACGACTGGTTTGCGAAACTTTATCCGCACAATTGGCGGAGCGTTTGGAGTAGTCATCTCGGGTGTTATCCTCTCTAACACGTTGAACAAAGAGCTTGGTGGTAAAGGCATCGTGTCCAACGACACGATTGCTCAATTGACATCATCAACATACTCTTTGAGCAGTATGGGCTTGTCGCAACAGGATCAGGATATCATTCTAGATGCATACATGAAGGGTCTGTATTACACATTTGTCTTCTTTACGGTATGCTCGGGATTAAGTCTGGTTCTGACGTTCTGGGTTGGAAACACGAGCCTCAAATCGCCTGCAAAAACTGAGGACGCGTCAGGTTCAACAGATCGAGAGATGACGGAGGATGAGAGACCTGGGCAGGTCGATCTCGAAAAGGCACAGCGATAGTGATAGAGCTTTTTGAGTTATCACAAGGAATAAAAGTTTTTGACAATTGCTCTTGACTATTTATTGCCCACAAGGAATTGTTGGTGATGAAGGGAAAACGCGCCGATTGGAGGCGGCTGGAGACCCTGTACATCGATCGCGCACCAGACGCGAAACCTGGCGAGGAAGAAGAGAGGATATCACTAAGAGACTACTGACAGTACTTTATCTCACGCGCGAAGAGCATTCGAGTTCAAGTCAATCTGTTAGTGCAATGACTTGGAGACCCCTGCTAGTTGGGTGTGTAGATCTAGGCGTCTTTTCCCCCAAAGCCGAAGTGGCTTTTGAAAGGATGTAGGCTCAGTGCACTCTCACCAACATTTGTGTTTAATTTCTTAGGCCTTGAGCAACAGACTTGTGTATTGACGGACACATCCGCCTTTCTCTTGTGCAATTAAGAGGATGGCTGTAATAGGTAGTAAATAGTAGCTATAGCTTTGGTCAGAAAGATAAAATCGTCTAAGCACTCTGTATTACGACTATACTTTGCTGCTTGTCCCATTCATTGAGCGTTCTGTCGCTCTTACCCTACAGATCCTGAGAGAGATCTTCAGGTCCTGATCCGGGTCAGGAAAACGCCCCTAGCGCGGGGTCATGAATCGTGTCTGTGATAAGAAACGCGGGGAAGATAACGGACGTTGCATCTTGACTGCAGACGATAAGCTCTTGGTTGACCCCGTTTATTCCCGCTTATCACTCAACGCTCTGTACGATAATGCTATACCGGTCGGATATAGGAAGGTCGTAGGAGAGATCGGGCCAGAATTCGCCGAAGGATTCGCAATAAGTTGGCCGGCATCGAGATAAGGCACTGATACAGCTTGTTTATAGCCCAGCCATCAGCCCATAGTTCAACAATTGTCTAACTGTGTTGATCCAAAAGTTTCATTCTCAGAGTCTAGTGTTATTGCCTATCATGCCTACAACTTACGCCTCACACCCCGATTACGGCTATGACCGCGACTTTAAGGGATATGGAGAGAAGGGTCTAGCAGGATTGAAGTGGCCCAACAACGCCAGGATCGCTGTATCATTCGTCATCAATTACGAAGAGGTAAATCCAACTGCACAGAAGGAAACCGGCAATTGTATCTTCACAGCTAAAACTCGTGGCATTTTAGGGCGGCGAGCGCTGTGTCCAAAGTGGCGATGGCGTCTCAGAGACAAACCTCCGCGAACACCCTACAACACCACGCATGAACGAGCGCGACCTCAACGGTGAATCAGAGTACGAATATGGCTCTCGCGTTGGTTTCTGGAGATTGTTCAAGCTCTTCAACCAGCATAAGATGAAGTTCACGCTTTACGCTGTTGCCCAAGCTGTTGAGCAGCAGCCTGAAGTAGCTACCCGCTGTGTCGAAGAGGGCCATGATGTAGCTTCCCATGCTTACCGCTGGGTAGATCATCATGATTGGTCTGTTGAGAAGGAGAAGGAATACATCAAAAAGGGCATCAGAAGTTTGAAGAACTTGACTGGATATGCGCCTAAGGGATGGTACTACGGCCGTCCTTCGCCGCACAGCCGCACTCTGATTCCTCAGGTTTACGAAGAAATGGGTGAAGAGCTCGTTTGGGCAAGTGATACATACGCCGACGACGTACCATACTGGATTGATCTCCCCACCGAGCGAGAAAAGCCGAACCCCAAGGGCTGTCTGATGGTTCCGTACAGCTACGACTGCAATGATTTCAAGTTCCACGTCGTCACTGGCTTTCGCGACTCTACCAGTTTCTACACTCATCTCAAGAATGCATTCGATGTGCTGTACGAAGAGGGAGAGGCGGGTGAGCCCAAGATGATGACTATTGGCTTGCATTGTCGTATTATTGGGCGGCCGGGACGGTTTAAGGCTTTGAAGGATTTTGTGGAGTATATTGCTCAGAAGGAGGGTGTTTGGGTTGCGACGAGGACGGACATTGCTGAGGCTTTTAGGGAGCAGTTTCCTTACAAGAAGGGTGAGTTGGCTTAATAGAATAGTTAAATAGATGACTCAATAATCAGTTGTATTCCCACGATCTGCTTTGTCCTATTCATAAAGGCCGAAGAGAAGCCAATGGTTTCGAGGACGACAACAAAAATGCATTTAGCACATGTTTCATAGTTCTTCGATGATTTAGATAATGCAAGAGCATTCACATCACTCATTGTCCGCTAAAGTCCCAACCTCTACTCAGATCCAAGTCTCCCTGCGACAAGTTCCAAACATCTTTACAACCCTTCGCCGCCCCAGAAAACACATTAGAAGTGGACAGATCCGCAGCGCTAGGATCTTCACCAAGCATCTCGTTCCACATGTGCCAGCCATGCCAACCACCAGGTGCTTCCTCATCAACCTCCATAAAAGCCTCTTTAACAGCGTCGGAGACAAGATCGCGCATTGTGATATCGTCTGTCTCATTGCTGTTCTGTAAGTTGGAGTGAGGCTGATAAGATGATAACCCTGGGCTGGCACTGAAGCTTGGTCGGTCGAACTTGGTCTGCAAAGGCGGATTCTGATGTGCACCCATTCCAGTATCACCAGACAGTCCACCAGGGCTCATGAGAGTCTTTAGAAGACTGCCAGATAGTGCATCAAAGATGTCGCGATACTTGACGGCACCTGCCCATTTCTCGCCAAACACAGTGAGACTCTGAGAACATGCTTGTGTAGCTTCGACAACATGATAGCTGAATAGGCTCTTGTCCTTCCAGATACAGTACATCAAAGTAAGTCCTGCGACGAAACAGCTATGCAGTGAGATCATAGTGTATGTAAGCGTCCGTTGTTGATTGAGTCGCTTGTATGCTACGCAGACACATGCAGCTGATCGCGCTGTTGTGATGAACCGAGGATCAGTCGTGGCTAGAGATGGAAGCAAGACTGTGAAGAGGGCTAAGACCGCTTTATGATATTGGCTACTATCATCAGTCTTTGTTCGCCAAGATGATATGAAGGGATACTTACAGACTGTAAAAGTCTCCGGCATCTTGGTTAGTACTCTCAGGATCATAGAGCCACGTAATCTTGCCATTGTCTTTGGGTGACTGAGGTGTTGTTTGGATCCATCTGTCGAGATCTGCTCGTATAGACGCCATCTTCTGATCCAGCTTGACTCGTTCCTCAACTGGACCGGAGAAGATATCTTTGTCGACCCTGAAAACAGTCCGGTGAATACGTGACTGGATCTTTTCCAGCTTGATGATATGGATGAAGGGTTCGATGTTACACCACTCAACGGCGTGTTCATCATTGAGAGATGCGTGGGTCAGATCCCAGTATTCTCGGCCAGGGTTGGGCATCTAACTTCAGTCAGAATGTTATTCTAACGGTAGGTGAGGGTGACTTACCGAAACATTGATATCTCTATCAGATATCGCAAAGGCCCTACCAAGAACAACGCTTGTTCCCCGGTCAAGACAATAGCACGACCAGAAAGCCCTTCGCCGGATCTCCAGATCTCTCACGACGTTTGCAGTTGGGGTTGGTCCTTGTCGCTCACGATGCAAACCAAGCTCAATACATAACGAAACCGCATAGCGGACCTGACTCCAAGCACCAGCTCCATAAGGCGACCTCTGGCCATGAACAGCAAGTAATAAGAGAAACTGAACGGTAGCAAGATTGTGCTGCTCTAGGATATAATCCATTGGTTCAATCGCAGCTAGCAAGTGTTTTTCAGGATCGACTTGTGATGGTTTGCGTGTAAGTTGTTCGAAACGTGCGGCGATGGCGTAGATCAGGTGCATGATGCTTCGTTGGGTCATGGATAGAGCACCCTGTTGATACTGGACTTCGAAAAGCTCAGAGTATTTCTTCCTGTCTAGGATTGGCCATCGGGTGTGCATTCGGTCAAAAAATATGTCGAAGAGATGGCGAGCTTCGTCTGGGAAAGGAAAGCCGTGAGATGGTTCATCCGGATGGAGGTGAAGGGTTGGAGCTAGACTCTCGAGGTATGGATCAACGGAAGGATTTGATTGTCTTGGAAAATTGCTCGGACGAGTAATGTCATTTCTAGAGTTATGAAAGATGGATCGCTGTATCATTCGAGCGATAGCAGCACCTGAACTTGAACCAAGGTATGATGGATCTGGAGTTGCTTCAGCTGTACCAGAGGCGCAGAGTGAGAGGTAGGCGACGCCATCAATGATAGAGTTGCGCTCATAGCCATCGAGATCTTCAGATACAGACCCACGGTGAGATGATGAGGACTCAGGATAAGCCTGTGTGTTGACAGCGTCATTGTCTTGGCCATCAACAACAGAAGACGGCGCGAGGGTCTCAAAATGATCTTGCGCATGATCTGGTAGTCGGGCCTCGAGGAATGCGATACGTTCTTCGAGGGCATTGATGTATAAGGTCTTGCCTCCTGGGTATTGCGGTCGGATTGTTCTCTCGTAGATACATGGAGTACCGACTCTTTCACAGGACTTACATGTTGGATGTGAGCCATCGCACTAGGGTCTCTTGTAAGTATAACTGTTAGGGAGTGTGTAAGGCTGACTCACCCGTTGCTTACGTCTCTTGCATCGTTTACAGGCCAGTGCAACGCGACCCTTGCGACCTGCTGTAGCATCGGACTGCCTTCCCATGGACCCCTAGGGAGTGTCAGCGACATTGGTCTACAAGACACAGCCCTTTACCCGAATAATTACTTACGATTCCATCTTGAAGCATTGGATACCTACCTTCAGTGGTCCGAGGATCAGTTCCGTTGTCGTCCATAGTTCTCATGTTGTTTATCCTAAGTCATGATACGTTAACGCCCATTCTAAACCCTCCATGATAGTGCGTGATTTCTCGAATGATGAGCTGCTAGACAAGATGAACAGCGATTAACTTGGTGAATCGCTACTTCATGAACCAGCCACTTGGGATCTCTCCGTTGGCTGTATGACGTTCTTGGTGACTGCAAAACCCTGGCATTGACTCACATGCAAATTAACGTGCTCACTCATACAAGCTTTCGGTTCATTGAAGCCGGTTAGAATGAACAATCACAAACTCCAGATAAGACCCAAGAAAACAGAATATTTCCCCAGACCCCAGAAACCGCACACGTTGTTTGCCTGTCAACCCAGTGGATCCGTTATCTTCGGGCAACCTTATCTATGCCCAGACCAAACTAGCCCCCTGTAGCGTTACATGGTGAACATCACCATTGATAGAGACATGTTATCGAGCATGATTGGCTTCATTCCTTATCAGACTCTCCAATCGGACGGTTAAACCCCGCCTTTTATCAAGGTGCTATATCCGGTGCGACCCAGGGACCGCGCCACTGGAACTGGAACGTGAGTAATCGTCGGGAGAAAAGTACCCGATGGAGTACTGATAGACATTGCGACTCTAAGGCAGCTAAGGCCTGGAGAATAGATTGAAGATCATGATTTAAGGTTGGATATTAGATATCAAGGAAGAAGATCCCAATTTTGTGCATGCCGATTATTGAGACATTGTTCAAGAGCTTGAGAGACTGAGGCATAACGGACAAAGAAACGAAGGTATCCCAATCATGGTAAACATTCCATCTAGGAGCGAGCTCACAGCTCCCTTTCGATCGAAGGAAGCTTTTGCCAACTTTGTCAAGACATCTGAAACGGCAGATGGTCAGACTCGAGTCGGTAATGAGCGATGGTCTAATAAAGATCTTGAACCTACGCCACCAGAGCATCGTAACTGGACATGGTAAGTCAATTGTTCACCGGCGAGAGTATTTGTGGTTGTACTGATTGATGAAGGTACAATTTGCCGCTGTACTGGTTCTCCAACCAGTTTAGTCTAACGGGATGGAACACTGGCTCATCGCTCATTGCTGTTGGTTTGGTAAGTTTTACTCGTCTATTGACGCACCGATCCGCGGAAAACTGACTTGAAGGCAATAGACCTGGCAGCAATCATTCGTCTCGTGTGTTCTAGGTGCATTGCTCGCATCTCTGGTTGTCATCTGCATGGCCAGGCCCGGTGTCCAGTACCATATTGGTTTGTAAGTGACCGACAATCCTACAGCTTCTACACATATACTAATCCAACGCCTAGTCCTGTCCTCGCTCGATCCAGCATGGGAATGTACGGCGCATACTTCTTCATCTTCATCCGAGCCATCGTCTGCATCGTTTGGTACGGGTAAGTATCTCACCCTCGTTGACGTCTCTCCCACCGTCAATGTTAACAATTGTACAGTATCCAGACCTTCTACGGCGGATCGATCCTTTCAGTAATGCTCCGCTGCATCTTTGGCAGCTCATGGCAAAACTTCACCAATACCCTTAGCGAAAGCGCCGATATCTCATCAAAGGTCCTTCTGGCTTTCTTCCTCGTTTGGCTCATGCAGTTCCCATTTGTACGCATCCCCACAACCCCTTCACTAATAAACACTGCTAATGTTTGCAGATGTGGGTTCATCCAAGAAACATCCACTACGTCTTCACAGTGAAAGGCTTCACCATGCCCATCGCCGCATTCGCCATCTTCGGATGGTGCATGGCCAACGGTGGTGGTTTGAACGGCATGAACATGGCGTCCAAAGAAGCTGAGGCAGCTGCTTCCACGACTCCTCTTGGCTGGAGTATCATGTCTGGCATCAATGTCATCATGGGTGGATTATCGCCCATGTTGGTTAATCAGCCTGATCTAGCGAGATATTGCCAAAAGACTCGTGATGCAGGTCCTCTCCAGGGCGTTAGCGTCTTTGTGTCATCTGTCATTGTCTTTTTCCTTGGTCTTGCGTCGACGGCATCTATGCAGACTGTTTATGGGGAGGCGTACTGGAATATTTGGGATTTGCTTGACTCTATCCTTGACCATCATTGGAATGCGGGCGCTCGTGCGGGAGTCTTCTTCCTGGCGCTGGCTTTCCTGTTGGGTGTCTTTGCGACCAACTTTGGCGCAAACTCGATTCCTTTTGGGTCTGATATGACTGGTCTCTTCCCGCGATGGCTCACCATCCGAAGAGGGCAGATTGTCTGTGCTATTCTGGGAATTTGCGTTGTTCCTTGGAAGCTTATGGCGAATGCTCAAGCTTTCTTGTCGTTCCTGGGTAGTTACAACATCTTTATGGCGCCTCTGTGCGCTGTCATTATTGTTGACTACGTCTACGTCCGGAAAGGCAACATCCACGTCCCATCATGCTACGACGGAAGCAAGCATGGTCTCTACCACTTCTGGTCTGGCGTCAACTGGGTTGGCTGTCTTGCCTGGATCGGAGGAACTACCATGGGCCTGCCCGGTCTCGTTGGACAGTACCAGCCTCATCTTCTTTCCGATGCTTCACGCTATATGTACATGATGGGTTGGCTTCTGACGTTCGTCACTGCCGGAGTTGTATATACTATTGGTGTTCAGTTTGTCAACATTCGTGTCTTCCCTGCTAGTCGTGCAACGGCCAAGTCTTGGGAGTGGCTGGCTAAGGATGGCAGAGAAGGTTTCTATGAAGACGAGAGAGAGGGACAAGTCATCTATGCTCTGGCATCACCTTCTGCGGATAAGACTGAAGGCGAGGTGAATGCAAAAGCAGATGATTCGTCGCTGTAAGCAATGGAATTGACATAGATTGTAAATGCCATATATAACCACATGGCTTCGTTGTCCGTCCCCGATAGCTAGTAATAATATTGATCCTTGCACTCTTTCCAGCAGCTTGTCCCCAATGCTGAGCTGACCTGGTGAACCACCTAACTAACGGAAAGTATCTAAGACTTGTCTTATCTTCCGGACCAGACTCTGTGTCCGCCACGAAGACTTATCATGGATCTTCCCTTGACCGAAGCCTCAAATTGTTTCATTGAAAGTGCAGTTCCCGCCTCCAAAAGCGCTAGGAAGTGTTCCAGTCCTGCCAAGCTTATCTCCGTCGGCCAAGTTCGTTCGCCGGACCCACCCCTCCGCATCGGATGCAAATATACCGACCGATGTAAAGCTGATAAGATCAGTAAGCCCATCGGAGGCTGGTCCCGGGAATAATTACCCGTTAGGTCTTTGAGGCATTATGTCATCCTCCATAAGAACACAAGCCTCGACGATCTAGTGAATAGGAGAGATCTTTATATGCAAGCTTCTGACCCATCTTCTAGCCTATAGAACTGTTTAAGGATTGTCACTATGCTGGTACAGCCCTACCAACTCTCGGCAACTGATGTCGCTGCCAAGATCCGAGATGGCCAGCTCTCAGTTGAGGAGTATGCGCAGTCACTCCTGGCACGTATCAAAGAGCGAGATCCAGTTGTGAAAGCATGGGCTTATATCAATCCTGATCAAGTACTCCAAGAAGCTCGGAAACTAGATGCTGTCCCCAAGGAAGACCGAGGACCTTTGCATGGTGTTGCAATTGCGGTCAAGGATGTCATCTACACGAAGGGTAAGTCAACTAAAGGAGACGAGGCAGAAAATTGATTGGTTAACGGCGAGGACTCAGATATGCCAACGCAGTTTAACTCACCCATCTACAAAGATGATGCTCCCCAAGTCGACGCAGCTAGCATCATCATCCTCCGCAAAGCAGGTGCGCTCATACTAGGCAAGACGACCACCACCGAATTCGCAGCCACTACTCAAGGACCTCAAACAACAAACCCTCACGATAGTTCTCGTACACCTGGAGGCTCATCATCAGGATCTGGGGCAGTTGTAGCAGACTTCCAAGTTCCCCTCAGTCTTGGAACACAGACCGGAGGAAGCACCATCCGCCCAGCCTCTTTCAACGGTATCTATGGATTCAAACCAACATGGAACTCAATCTCAAGGGAAGGGCAGAAAGTATTCTCGCTTATTCTTGATACATTAGGCATTTACGCTCGGACCGTGGAGGATCTGAACTTACTCGCTGATGTATTTGCCTTGCAAGACGACGAGCCACCTAACCAAAAATACTCTCTCAAAAAAGGAAAATTCGCGATCTGCAAAACAATGGTTTGGCCCCAAGCTGGCCCCGGTCTAGTCAAAGCAACGGATAAGGCCGTTGAACTCCTCCGATCAAGCGGTGCTACGGTAGAAGAGATTGAGTTTCCCGAACATCTGCAAGATCTACCAAAATGGCACTCCATCGTCTTCAACACTGATGGACGAACAGCCTTTCTACCAGAGTATAGGGTTGACAAGACCCAGATTGCAGATCAGCTGGTTGGACACGTTGAGAACCGCCTCAAGATCTCTAAAGCTGCGCAGGTTAAGGCTTTTGATGACATTGCAGCGGCAAGACCTGTTGTTGATGACATGTTGGCGGATTATGATGCTGTGTTGGTTCCGAGTGTACCGGATGAGGCACCGAAGGGCATTGAGGCTACTGGAAGTGCTGCATTCAATCTGATATGGACTGTAAGTGACCGGTACCCATGGAGATTGCTAAGAAGTGAGAATCACAACTAACTTGGCTCTTCTAGGCGCTGCATACTCCTGTCATCAACATTCCGGGGTTCGCTGGTGAGAACGGAATGCCGATTGGCTTGTCCCTTGTTGCACCTAGGTATCACGACAGAAAGCTTCTGGTAGTGAGTGAAGCTGTAGGAAGGCTCTTCGAGACATCAGGAGGATGGAAATCACAGGTAGTCTAGATATAGCAATGAATTATGGTTCAAATCGTAACTCAATTGACGTGATATCATACATGCTCTAAACAAATGCTAATACTATTAATATCTTACAAGTAGTAACAAACCCGTCCCTCGAAAAGCCTTCTCGCCGTTCGCGAAACAGCACAGCTCTCAATCCCATCCTCCCCATTCTTCTTAACAAGAACAGGAATGGTACCCTTGCTATGCTCAATAACAATCTGTCTCGTATTGGCGGTATCCTTCCTCTCTCCCTGCATATCAGGTGATGGTGTACGCTCAGGCGTTGGAGGTCCGTCGGTAACAGGTGTAGCTGATAGGTCTGCGGCGATAGTACCCTGAATGCTAACTGCTGATCCTAGGCAGACTGCGCCAGTGAGTTGGAGTGTTGGGTGGAGAAGACCCATGGAGTAGGACTGCACGTAAATATCGGGAGTCTTGTTGTTGGCGCGGTGTGTTGGTGATGAGAGGAGTGCGATCTTGGGTGTACCGCGGGTTAGGCCAGCAACTTTTGTGCTTGTTGCTAAACCCATGTCTACAGCGCCTTGACATCGGATTGCTTCAACGAGAGCGTGTTGTGTCTCTGGTGCAGCATTAGCGCCAAGGATGGTTGTGAAGTCTGTTGCGCTGATCATGACGAAGGGGTTCGCAGCGTCGATCAAAGTCGCGCGGATCTGAAAAGGTGCCATCTCAGGTAATAATGAAGAAGGGTCGACGTGAAGCCACTGCTGCTTCTGACCAGAAGGGAACAAGCTTCCCGCCATGCTACCGGCGGGATCAACGAAAGAGCACTTGACTTCACTGCCAGGTGATTTAACACCAGGAATGATAAAGTCGCCATCCTCCTTGAAGTCACCATTACGATCCAACTCAACAGTCTCGACGATGATTCTGCTCGTGTTGGTGTTGAAGATCCTAACATCAATCTCCGTCTGTCCCGGCTTGGGCGTGACAAGTCTCTCCTGAACAGCGAAAGGTCCAACACCCGAACTCATATTTCCACAGTTTCCTGAGAAATCCACCGACTCTTTCCCAACAGCGACTTGAACAAAAGTAAAGTCGACGTCGGCATCTTCACGGTTCGACAGTGAAATCACAGCAACCTTTGAAGTAGTGGATGAACCACCGCCGACGCCGTCGACCTGCTTAGCATCGTTGTTTCGCGAGCCCAATGCTGAGATGAGATGTGGACCCCATTCCGATTCCTTCTCGGGGAGGTCTTTCCGGTGGATGAAGAGGCCCTTTGAGGTTCCGGCGCGCATTAGCACGCAGGACAGGGCGTGGCGGGTAGGATAGTGCTCCTGGGGAGTTTCGATCTCGATAGCCATTGTGATTGTGGATTGATTGTGAATTACGTACTCAAGACTGGGAGGGTAACGAAATGGCAAGAGTTAAATAACTCGCGGTTTCGCCATGGAATTGCCATTTTGTTCGTAATGTAATTGAGCTTGGCATTGGCGATGCCGGGGAATAACACTCCGAGTGATTCTAGCAGGGAAGAAAAACTGGAGATGCCGTGGGAGACAAGCTCTTGGCTTCCCGTCTGCCCCATAGAACATGTCCCGTCTCAAAGAAAGTGTCCCGCGGGAACGGGAAAGAAGTGGCGAATTTTCATCTCCCCATGTACTGAAACTCACCCGTACTCGACCCATTAAACCCGAAAATCGGATCCTCCAAAAACGCAGCATCCTGATTCGCCGGCCAGAAACTCGTCTGTTGCCATGAATTCCCACCCTCAATGTCCCCAGCCCCGGGCACGGGAGCAGCGAAACTGTTCAGCCCTCCCGCGGGAAACCCTTGGGGGAAGTAAACTGGCTGTTGACCTGTCGATGTGTGGAGATAGTGCTCGCCGTCGACTTGAGGTATTTTCTGGGGGTATGAAGCGGCTTGGCCGTACATGGTTGGCTCGTTGCTGTTGAAGTCGCCCTCGCGGAGGAAGCTCTGTATGATGCCATCGATGTTGATCCAGTCTGAACCAGGTGATGGCACCGCGCTACCGCTGAGTTCGACTGGTTGCATTTCCTGGTTCGGCGATGATTCCGTCTGTGCGTTCCCCGTATTCTCCAACCCTTCATACCCAATCTGCGCTTGTACTCGCTGCTGCTGCTGCTGAGGCTGTTGATCACGCGACTTGGTAGCCGGTTCAGCCTCAAGCGCGTCATCGGGCAAATCATCAACGACAACGCCGTACTTGCTCATGAGTCTGTGAATAATGACCGCTGCTTTCTGAACTGCAGAATTGGTCTCTTGGTTTTCTTTGAACACGGCGAGACATGTCATCAGGTTGACGTAGGCTGCTGAGCCTTTGCCGTTTTTGGCGGCGATGCGACAGTGGATTGTAGCGGCGACGTAAGTTGCGTAGGAGATTAGGTAGGGGGCGCGACGGACGGAGAATGCGCGGTGGTAGGCGCGTAGAAGACTGCAGATGCTGGAGGCGGCTGCTGAGCATTTTATGACGGAGTCGACGGATATGGAGCGGAATGTGTTGTAGAGATGACCGTCGGCGACGAAGGGGCGATGGAGGAGAATGACGAGGACGTGGTACATAGCGCTGAGATATTAGCGTTAAACGAAACACAACTGTCAAGGAGACTCACTGGAGACTGAGAACGTGAGGCGGAGGAACAGTGGCATCAGGTGCGTTCGCAACCTCAGGCTTGAGATGATCCGGTAAAGCCGTATGCCAATCCTTCAACTTCTTCTGAAGCTTATCCAACACTTTCGACAGCTCAGCAGGGCTTTGGTCTGTTGTTCGAACGGTGTATATGGTGCTCATGACATCGCTCATGACGATAGACAACTTGCAGAGCGCAGTGAAGGTCGAGATACTGTATGCTGGCGAACCAGCGTAGTCGTTCTTTGACGTCGAGTACGCAAAAGGCTGCCAGAATTCGAGCTCAGAGTATGTATCGATGAACTTTATCGGAACCATGGCGTCGTTTTCTTTGAGGGTGACGGGACGGCCTTGATACAGACTCTGAATCTTATCGACCACTGTCCATGTTAGTATTTGTTGATACGCCTGCTGGGGGTACATACCAAAAGCTCCCCAGAACACACGACGTCGTATCTCAAGATCCTCATCAGAGAATTGATGCGAATTCGTCAAGTCCACATGCAGCCCCAAATCAATGAGCATACGAAACGCCAACCCAGCATACAACCACGCCGCACTCCTCTCATCACCCAGCGCAAACAACGAATTCGTCATGACAAGCAACGCCTGAATCGTCGTGATATCGCTCCTGTCCAACGACCCTCCCACCAACTCCCTAACCCTCTCACGATACCGCCATCCCGCAGTCCTGACATCGTTAACGTCCTTTCGAACCTCAAGTCTCGGACTAAACTTTGATGAACCAAAGTATATAGCGTTGAGTAGCAGTTTCGAAAAGTATGGTCCGCCGCATGCCATGTCCCGCATGAACGCGGGACGGTACGTGATGAGGAATGAGTGGTGTTGACGATTCCAGTGTAGGGAGAGGAGATGCATCCCCAGGTCGGGATCAACGCCGTCAAAGTCAAGCTGCCCCTTAGCGAAATGGATCTCCTCCAGTTGCCCTATCTCACACACACAATGTTAGTTACACCGCTTAACAAACTACAAGTATAAGTAAAAGATGGTACCCACGCTGCTTAGCTGCCTCAGCGATAAGACCACGCTCTACCCAATGATCCGGCATCCGCGGCTGCACCTCCTGCTCAACAGGTCTCTCCTGCGCATTATCCTCAAACAGGGCACTCGTGCGCCCATGATACGTTGATTCACCGTTCGCTAGGACAACGACTCTCGCGACGCCTGAATCCATGGGCCGCGGTGAAGGATCCCACGATTGATGGCGAGGTGCTGCTCCATCTCGTGTCACTGCTTGCTGACTACTGCGCTCACTCGCTGCTTCACTGTCGCCAATTGACGAGGCTGCCTCGTTGGCGGGGGCGCTGGCCTGACGAGCAGGTGATTCAGTGCGCGCCTTGACGCTACGGGTCTTTGTGCGCTGATGACGCTGCCGGCCAGCTGCTTTGGTGACATCGGGGACGGGCTCGTAAACGCAGTCTTTCTCGTATGTCTGGCAGTTGATACACTTTGGCTTCTGACCGTTACACTTGATCTAGGGTCGTACCGCAATTAGTCCCGCGGGAACTCGTTACCTGCTTCGGGGACGCCTGGGCCCTGGGGTAAGGGAGGGGGAACTGGGGTATTGGGGTAGTAGTCTCACTTTTCTTTTGCGGCAGAATGTGCATGCTTCTGTGGCACGCCTGCGGACGCGGGTAGGCGTGGGCTCTGCGGGCATTGTTTCCTCTGTGCTTTTGCGTGGGAAGAAAAAGGGAAGATCGTGAGGGACGGGAAGAGACGGGAAGAAAGCTGAGCTGATCAATTCCACTCGGATCCACTGTTGATCCGCGGGTCGTAGTCCTCAAGGGGCAAAGCGTTGAATTTTCTCCGTTTTCTTCCCTTCACTTCAGTTATGTTTACCCGTGAGCCTCATCCCGTGGCTGCAAGTTTTGGCAGGCCTACTATTATTAAACTGCGACTATCCTTTAAATGTTAGTAGATGCTGTTTTTTATTTGCTAGTTTATAATTTATTTATGTCTCCCCGTTTGTCATCATTTGCCAAGTCTTGACCGTTTCTCTTCACCTTGCATTCACCGAATTACCCCAAAAATGGACGCCATCGCTACGACACAACCTATTGCTAAGCCCGCACTACCTAAGCAGGCTGTCGCGCAGACAACGCCTGCACAGAAGAAGAAGATTACTCCTGGTATTTCTCTGGCTGCTGGTGCTGTTGCCGGTGGTGTTGAGGCCACAATCACAGTGAGTGTTCTGTGCTATAGGTTAAAAGAGCACCAAATATTAACAGGCTTAGTACCCCTTCGAGTGGGCAAAGACAGTAGCGCAGCTCAGCGCCCGCCAAGCACCCGCTGGAGCAGTCGTCTCCAAATCCCCATTTGCCGTCATCGGCCAAACAGTTCGTTCAGATGGTATCCGCGCAATTTACACTGGATGCTCTTCATTAATCGCTGTGAGTATCCTTTTTCCTAATCGATTGACGATTTGGTCTAATAATATCAGGGAACTGCTGCCAAGGCTGGTGTTCGCTTCCTCTCTTTTGATGCTGTAAAGGCTCAATTAGCAGATGCCAATGGAAAGCACTCTGCGGGATCAAATATTCTCGCTGGTATGATTGCTGGTGCTGTTGAGAGTGTGACTGTCGTTACGCCTACGGAACGAATCAAGACTGCTCTGTAAGTTGTTCGTCAAGATTGCGCCGCGAAGTTGTATACTAACATGAAATAGCATTGATGATGCTCGCTCAGGGAACAAACGTCTCAACGGCGGATTCCACGCCCTGCGCACGATCGCAGTTGAGCGCGGCGTCCGTGAAATCTACCGCGGTCTCATGTCCACCACCCTCAAGCAATCAGCCACATCCGGAGTCCGAATGGGTTCCTACAACATCCTAAAAGACACCTTTAAGTCCGACGGAAAGAACCCCTTCATGACATTCGGTATCGGCGCTATTGCCGGTATTATCACAGTCTATGCTACACAACCGTTTGATACCATCAAGACAAGATCGCAGTCTGCAAAGGGTATTGGTATGGGCGAGGCTGTTCAGCAAGTTCTCCGTGATGGAGGCGTGAGAGCGTTCTGGAGTGGAAGTACTATGCGATTGGGACGGTTGATTCTTAGTGGTGGTATTGTTTTCACGGCGTATGAGAATATTGCAGGCTTGTTGATGGGGATGAAGAAGTAGAGTGCATATTGGGAGTATTTTGTGTTTTGGATCTCATTTACAGGAAGTTTGGGTCGGAGTATTAGCTTATGGCATTAAAACGATTTCATGTATTATTCATAGACGAATTTCCAATATTCTATATCTATTTCATACCATAATTTCTGTACATGTTCTGTGAATGTGACTCTTGACTTGAACATGTTGACAAGGCCACAAACTGAATCAAACTGAGACGACTTCACTCTGCAATCTTTCTCCGTATCTTATCATATAACCGTAATCTATGCTTATCAGATCCATCGTACAAGCTTAAACATAACCGTAAACTCATGCCGATTTCACCGAGGCATTTTTGGGTCCTCAACGGCGATCGTCACAAACATGTCATGTCAGACCGTGTCTACCCCAGACCTACAGCCAAGATCCATCCTACCCTCGGACTTCCCCGCATTACATTCGCCTACCGAAAACTTGGTCCGTTGGAAACTGGAGTCACTTGACTGCAACGTCCAGGGTTCAGAGCCGGAGAGCAGCATCGGCCTTCCCCAACTTCAGCCCAAACCCGAGCATCCTCCGCTATCCTTAACCGATAATTCTCTCCTCCATTCCCCCGTGGGGGAGGAGAGAGTCATCGGGAAGGCCTTGGCAAATCAATTCCCGCGGGAACAAACGACATACTCTGTTGTCCCCCGCAAAGCATATTCGAGACCGCACGTTACTGGGGTTCTCCACGTCTTGCCAAGACTAAGTTAAGGTTATGCGTAACCTTAATGGGGATAACGCTACTAGGGGCGATGAATTTTCCAGTTCCGCACTGCGGCTGACTCGCCATTCACCCAGATCCAGATTGCTACAACGAGCAAACAACATGACGAGAAACCTGCCAAGCTGTGTATAAAAGTCTTGGTAGATCCTACCCCAGATTTCTCTTCTTGCCCAGACTCATCATCGCTTCTTAGTTCTCCAGTCCAGTTCCACATCAGCTACCCACCCAAGTCTTGGAACCCCAAGAGAGTTCGCCCAGCATGACTGTTTCGCAGAATAACGAGACCGCCTCTCACAATGAGGACCGCTTCGATGAGAAGGCAGAGGTCGCGGCCGTTGAGAATGCCATCTCTTCGCCTGTCGGACACATTCCTCCCATTGAGATCCAAGCTCGCTTTCCGCTCCTGCGCGATCTCTCGCAGACGCAGATGGATGCACTGAACAAGAAGGTTCGCAGCAAGGTTGATTGGCATATGATGCCTTGTGTCACCCTCATGTTCTTGATGAAGTAAGTCAAGCAATACCAAGCGACTACCAAGATAGCCAAGACTAACAATGAGCTTAGCTACCTCGATCGCATCAACGTCTCCAATGCTCGACTCGCCGGTCTGCAGGAAGATCTTGGCATGACTGATACCGTTTGGAACGCGGGTATCTCGACTTTCTACGTCGGTTACCTCATTGGTCAATTGCCCGGTAATCTCCTCATGGCCAAGACGAACCCCAAGCTCTTCCTGCCTACCATCATGCTCATGTGGAGTGCGGGTACAATCTGCATGCCCGCTATGACCAATGGTGTTGGATTCTGTGTCGTTCGCTTCTTCATTGGTTTGATGGAAGCTCCTTTCTTCCCTGGTCTGACGCTCATGACTTCATCTTGGTACACCAAAGAGGAATCGCCTTTCCGCATGGCTATCTGGCACGCTGGTAACACCATCTCCAACATCATCTCTGGTTTCTTGGCTGCTGGTATTCTTGAGCACATGGACGGTATTGCTGGTATGCACGCTTGGCAATGGTTCTTCCTCATTGAGGGCATTGTCTCCATCATCGTTGCTGTCATCTCTTTCTTCGTTCTCCCCTCTTGGCCCAATGACACCAAGTTCCTCGATGAGCAGGAGCGTGAGATGGCCCAGTACCGAATCCTGGTTTCCAACGGTGGCATTGATGAGAAGGTTGGTGGTACTTGGGATGGTGTTCGTGATGCCGTCAAGGATCCCTTCACCTGGTACTTCTGCCTCATGCACTTTGCCCTCGTCACTGCCCAGAGCTTCAAGGATTTCCTGCCTTCTGTAAGTACACCCAAGCCACTACTTCTGCAACTTGACTAACATTTTCAGATCATGAACACCTTTGGCTTCAACAAGATGACCACCTACCTCATCCAGGCCCCTCCCTACGCCCTCGCTTACATCTCCGCCTGTATCATCGCCTGGTCCTGCGGTCACTTCATGGAATCAACATACCACGTCGTCATCCCCATCATCCTATCTGCAGCTGGTTGCGGTATCCTAATCGGCACCATCAACGTCGCAGCTCGATACGTCGGTATCATCCTCCTCGTTTGCGGTACCTACAACGGTCTCAACTTGCAGCTCTCCTGGGAAACCACTGTCGTCCCCGCTCCTCGCGCCAAGAAGGCCGCTCTTATCGCCATCGCCAACTGTATCAGCCAGGTCAGCCATTGGTTCAGCCCTTACTTCTACCCTCGAAGCCAGGAGCCTTTCTACCGCATGGCTGGTGGTCTTCTCCTTCTCGGCTGTGCTTTGACTGTTCTCTCGGCTTTCCTTGTTCGATGGAGGGCTCAGAAGCTTAACAAGAAACTTGATGAGCAGGAGGGATGGACTCCTAACTCTGGTGTTGAGCGTGGCTGGCGATACAAGTACTAAGTGTGATCTGAAGGATTTGGCGATTATGGACTGGAGTGATGAGCTGATATCTGGACTGAGAAGCGTTTTGGGTAGCTTGAGTTGTCGTTTATCCTTATGATTCATCGTTACGAGTAATGAATATGTTAGCGCTTCATTTTACACTGGTAGCCAACTGTGACTCCACGGTGTTCATCATTCGCATTTACTTCGCAGGCATCGGTAAGGCGAATATGATTGAGTGAACTACGATACATACAATTAATGCTCTTCATACTGACGCACCTCAACTGTTCGAAGAATATGCGAATTATCCAGGCTTGTTCCGTGTCCCCCATTCCCGTCGCCGATGCTATTGGTACTACCCTCAGCAGTATCATCTCCCGCACGAACCTTGGTGGTAACGTACGACTTGCCATTCGGTATGAGAATATTCTCGTCACTTCCCATATCCTCGTTATAGTGAATGCTCTCTGGTGTATGCCCAGTGTTTCGCGATCGCTGTTTGGACGAACTCATCATTTCAAACTGTGACCTTGAGTAATTGGACGAATAGCCTGGCTTGTCTTTGTGAAGAATGGATTTCCATAACATTGGCATGAACGGGAAGCACGCGCAGACGACTCCAATGCCGCACTCAGCGATTCTGACTTCGGTTAGCGGTGTTCAAAAGCATGACCCTAGGTGACTGACCCAGTCAGGTTGATTTGCAGAAAGACGTAGGTCTGATCTGGACTTTCCCCATTATGGATAATGAATACTAGCCGAACAAGGCTAAAGATGCAGGCGATTCCTCCAACTCCAAAGATAGCGACGATCTTGAGCTTTGCGATAAGTCCGACTTGGAGTTTCTTGGTGAGGGGACAGGGTAGAAGAAGGACAACGATGTCGCTGAGAAGACTGATGATGTTATCGACAAGAATGAGAACTCGCTGATTGAAGCATTCGCCATCGGTTGTAGCGCCCCAGAACATTGAGATTGGACGACAGATGAACATCTTGAGGAATAACATGGCGACGTAGTAGACGCCCATAACTCCGAGGAAGCCGTATATCCATTTGACGTAGGTCTTATAAGGAGCGAAGATGCTGGCGAGGAAGAGAAGAATGGCAGCTTTGATGGCAAAGACTGTTGGGCCGTAGTTGACCATGGTCGCATAGACCGTCTGCGACAAGCTTAGCCTAGGGTCGGGTTGGGGCATAAGGAAGAGACGTACCTGGTTATACTGCGTTATGAGATGATCTGGGACATCCCATTGGTGAAGGCCACCACCGTATCTCAACACTATCGTTGTTAGCTTCAAGTGTTGAGTCTGGGCGACAAGTACTTACTCAGCAGACACATAGTGCAGTATCCCATGAAGCCAATCTGGCGGACGGTTAGGACTTGACACAAGACTAGGGTACGCCGAACAAATAACATACATATCCAATGACACAAGCAACTAGGTATCCACGTTAACAAGGGAATCAAAGTTGTAAGGGGTATGGACATACTGTCATCTAGCCGAAGCCTCATCGCCAGCCTGTAACGGGCCCACAGACGTAAAAAGACGAATATCGAACAGACAGACATTGCGATTGCATTAGAAGCAATGCAGATGTAGTACAACTCTCGGTTTGGATTGTCAAAGTTGGTCTCCTTCCCCGGAGGCGGTTCCATCGCTGGTTTGGTCATGTTGGCTTTGAGTTGCTAGTTGGAGTGAATCCAGAATAGTCAAGGTGCAGAACCAAGAGGAAAACTCAAAGACAAGCGACGGTAGGACACAGCATGTCAGGCACATATGTACCCACTGAAGACACCAGATGCAGGTAATAGGAGCTACGACATGGCGGCGAATCCTCCGTTCAGTGATCAACCGCAGCTGACAGTGGGACCAGTCAAATTTCTCAGGCCTAGGATTTTGAGGCAATGAATGTAATAGTCACAGATAATATGATCATTTACTGATTTCACATGGACTCGGACGAGTGATGGACCGGTATGAGCAAAACCCCTGAGAATGGCCCATTGTTCCTGTCGCATGCATACTCTGAGGTCATAAAGAAAGGTTCCTCACCTGCTACCGAGATCAATACCCGTCTAGGTTCGAACAACAGTATTAGATTTGTCGAGGGAGGCATGGATGTCAAATTCGAGGAACTGCGTTCCGCGCGGGTAGGATACGACTGGCTTGCCACGATCATAACATCAGATATTAATCTTCAGCACTCGGTGGGGGTTTCATTGTGAGACAAGGTCCCTTTGACAAGCGAAGTTGCATTTCAACCGCCAATCCTTTCAAACGCTCGAGAGAGAAGAGTCAACAGTGCTGCATAAAGTTATGAATGTATTCCAGAAGAGCTACCGAAATTAGACCACTCAAACTGACGGCCCCCAACCTCGGCACATAGCAAGATCTCAAAATAGAAAAGATCGCCAAATCATATGCATGTTGGTCGTCCCGTCGTTACATCGCTTCCGTACTCGGCCCATTTATTGTCGATCACCGTTTAAAATACCCCCGCCGGTTTAATTCCCCGGGCCGTCTTCTCTTTCTCGGTTACGAGAGAATTTGGTGATATGATGCGAAGGATCCTTGTGTTCACATGTAATTACTGATTGAGTGGCTGTCGTGTAAAGAAAATTTCAAGGAAGGGCATAAAAAGCAATGATAATGATACGATTTTGTTACTCTGTTTGAGGGTATGCTGAGCTGTCATCTAGCGGTTGGTTGTGGCATGTGAAGGTAGACGAAGTATCTAGAAGATAGCTTGTGCATTTGGTGGCGAGGAAATACCTCCCTTCATGTTAAACGGCGAAGATGACATGAAGAACGTCCAGCGGTTCAATTGCTTGCATGTCTCTGCCAATCTCTCCAGATCAAACAACTCACCTAAATCATTAGCACTTATACCCTCTGCAAGTAGTGCAAACTTACCAATTGGCATCCCCCATCCAGCCAACATATACTCATGCATCAAAACACCCCCTTCACTTGGCGGGTATACCTGTGCCCATCAGTCTCTGACATAACACTGCTCGCACAAGCTTACCTCCCAACTAATAGCATCACCCGCCACAGCTGCAAAACCCGTGTTCCATATCCACTTGAGCACATCCATTGTTCCTTCAACGCCTGCATGTTGAGGACTTGTAGTAGCAGCATATGCCTTCTTGGCGTCTACATCCATAACATGCTCCCATTCTTTGATCACGCCAATGCGGACAAGAAGAATGTCACCGCGTCGGAAGGTGATGTTGCATTCTTTGGCAATCTGGAGGATCTCGTTGAGCTTGATAGTGTGTAAGGAGAAGGTTGAGTAGGCGATGCCGTTCTTTTCAGCCCATGATGCGTAGTCGATTAGAACTCCACGGCCTGCAGTACGGTATCAGACATGAAACGAGGGTCGGGGGTTTCTGACCGACCTGTTATTCCTTCTTGAGCCCAGTGGTGAATACCAATACGGTCATTCGTCCTATCCAAAATCTCCTCCTTCGTCGTCCCTCCATAAAACACCCTCTCTTTACTCCCCTCCTCCCTCGGCATAGAAAAGTGTCTCAATCCGTCCCACTGACTACTCTGCTCTACCAAAGGTCAACACAATCCCAAAACCATAATAATAATACTAACGGGGATTCATAACATAAATATCATCAAATGCAACACCATCCAGCAGCGGCACCATCTTGAGCTCACACGGCTGCCGGTTAAAGCACGCAAACTCAAGCTTATTCAGATCCCAACCGAGATTGACGCGGATCCCAGTCTTGATCTGTGTCTGTGCGGCTGAAGCCACCCGCTCTGGCGTCAGCAGGACGAGACGGCCTAGACCTTCTTCTCGGCTGCCTGGTTGGCCTATCCAGATGCGTTTGGGATCGGGGAGTTCATCCCATTGCTTTTCCATAAATGAGGGGTCCATTGTGAATAAGGTGAGTGATCGATGCAGGAAATATGCATTGAGGGAGCTTGTTTATAGCATCGCGATGGTGAACCCCTCATGCATGTGAGGTTCGTTCCACACATACTGTCATGATCCGAGATTTTCGAGACAAGGATCGGTTAACGGATTGCTTATTGTCTCAATTACATGTTTCTCAGTTACATCCGAGTGGGTAATAATATGCAGACCTGTCACAACAGGTAAACCACGCTGTCGATCCCTGTAGGCGGCAGGCCAGCCGAAACCGGCACGTCTCTTCCATCTCCCGGTGATCTACATGGGCTGAGGTTACAGTAGGAATGTGACTGTCAAAAGACCCGAGACAATCACGCCGATCATAGTTCTTCTCTCTCTTCTCTGCTTAATTGACTTTTTTTTCTTTTCTTTTCATTTCTTTTTTTCGCTCCCGTATCTTGTCGAATTGGTATATGCAACGTGTACACGAGAATGCCGCAAACTGGGAACCAGACGAGCTTGTACAACAAGCTCGTCATTACTTTTGTCGCAATCGGCGGAACTGTGAGTTTGGCCCCTCGTATTCACGTTTAATTACAATTAATCTCAATAACTCTATTTGCGACTTGCTAACATTAACTCACAGACATACGGATATGCAGCGTCCATCATCGGAAGCACAATCGGCCAACCGGGCTGGTACCAGTTCTTCAATCTTCCTGCCGACGGTGAACCAGGCTACGATACTATAACGACACCGGCGATCGCGACGGCCAATGGACTCTTTTCCGCTGGCGGCGCATTTGCGTGTCTGGTGCTTATGTGGGCTTGTGATTACTATGGACGGTTGAGGAGTATTCAGTTTGGATGCGCTTTGGGGATACTTGGTGGTGTTCTTCAGTGCGCGGCCCAGAACCTTGCGTGAGTACCCGCTCCATTAAACGCTGTCGCAAGTCAAAACTAATGGTGTTTTAGTATGTTCCAGGCTGGAAGATGGATCATGGGCATGTGCGTTGGTCTAATGGCTACCGTTACACCAATGTATCTCTCCGAAATGTCAAGTCCCCTCGCACGTGGCTGGCTCGTCGGTCACCACGCTATCTTTCTCGTCTTCGGCTACATGCTGTCCTCTTGGATTGGCTTCGCAGTTTACTTCTCCAAGAATCTCGAGTTCGGCTGGCGCTTCCCATTAGCCTTCCAAGTCTTCCCTCCGCTGGTCTTGCTTCTTGGCTCACCTTGGATCCCTCGCTCGCCGAGATGGCTCATGTCCAAGGGCCATCGTGAAGAAGCGTGGTCTGTTCTCGTTCGTCTTCGCAGGTCGGCCAATGATCCTGAGGATCTGGTTGCCAAAGAGGAGTACTACCAGATTGAGAAGCAGCTTGAGCTTGATGCGAAGAAGCTTGAGGCTTATGGGGGAAGTCCATGGAGGGCTGTCTTTCAGAAGAAGAGCTATCGCAAGCGTATGCTCATTGGGTTCATGACTCAATGGGGAGCAGAGTTTGGAGGTCCTCTCATTATCGTAAGTGCTAATCTCTCCACTCAGCATCATGACTAACAAGAGCAAGAACAACTATGCAGTCATCCTGTATACTAGTTTAGGCCAAACTGGATACATGCCGCTTCTGTTGTCGGCCTTATGGCTAACTACAGCCGGACTGATCTACAACCCTGGTGGTGCTTGGCTACATGACAAGGTCAACTCTCGCCGTAAGATGTACATGACTGGCTTCATCGGTATTGTCATTACCACTTCGATCTACTGCGCCATGATCTCGCTGTATGCTGGTACAGATAATAAGGCTGGAAATGCCATCGGCGTACTGTTCATGTTCTTGTACCTCGCCTTTCAAGGCACCTTCTGTAACACAACCATGTACCTTTACGTCTCAGAGATCTTCCCAACTGAGATCCGATCCATTGGTATTGGTTGGTCTTTATTTGGACAATTTGCTGGTAAGTCCCCTCTTATCTCACTAAACGAGGACCATACTGACATGTCCAGCTACTATCATTCTTCTCCAGACAGCGCCTATCGGGTTTAATGCTGTCGGCTGGAAATATTTCCTCCTCGTTATCTGCTGGAGTGTTCTATTCATCCCCGCCATTTACTTCTTTTGGCCTGAGACTGCTAGACTTTCTTTGGAAGAGATTGGTAAGCAGTTTGGCGATGAAGTCGCCGTGCATATCACAGATGCGACAGATGAAGAGCGCGCGGCGATTGATAGGCAGTTGATGGGCGAGATTCATGGTGACAACAAAGCACCCGGTAACGCTACGAATGAGATTCCATCTAGCAACAGTAGCCAGTACATCGCGACCAAGCAGTAAGCTGGCGAATGTCTGTCACATGCCAAACGGGGTCTGAGGTCCTGTGAGGAATGGGTACCGTTGGGATAGTATTAAAAGACCAGCAGGCCATTCATTACACGTTTTTAGAGTTGTGCACAGTGATTTTCATCACTGTAATTGAGTGAATGCATAAATTGAAACGCGACAGAAGAGCCAGGCGCAACGACAACTTCACATGAGGCTCGCATGCCAAGGCACAATCGAGCAACCCTTTCCTCTCCCCCGGAATTCCCAGCGCCGCATCGTCAAACCGAAAATGTCAGTGCTTAATCTCACCACATTGAGGATCAGCAGAACCACGTCAATCAGTTCATCAGCAGCTTGCCCCCGCCCAATCTTTTGGAGCCATACGCGGCAAATGTGACGAGCGCTGGGGTTACAGCACTAATGCCGAGCATTCACATGTTCACCAACATCCAAAGGAATCAGACCCTGGCAACTTGATCGACAAGCTGCATAGGGGGCTCCCGGGGTCTTAAGCGTCTCTTGTCTCATTCAGCGCGGGATATGCCGGACAATTCACTGCATCGTTCTCTCAGTTAACGAGTAAGGTGACTAGATTGCCCTCCCTCCATCAACATCCAGATTAACACCTGTGATAAACGAAGCCTCCTCACTCGCCAAAAACACCGCTGCTTTAGTAACATCCCTGATCTCCCCCATTCTTCCAAGTGGAACATTCCCCAGCGCCTTCTGAACCTCTGGCGTGATCTCTTTCCCAATAAATGTTGGAAGAAGACCAGTCATAGTCGCCAAGGGACAAATGGAGTTGACGCGTATTCCATCCGGACCATATTCCGCTGCAAGACCCATGGTCGCCTGTACCTTAGCATTAGCTTTGCGTGATATGGGTCAATCTGACTTGACTTACGTTTGTGATCGCTCCTTTGGATGCGTTGTACCATACCAAGCCTGGGCGAGGTCGATGAGCGCCTACAGAGGCGATGTTGATCATTGAGCCTTTTGAGCCTTGCTTTTTGACCTGGGTTGTGAAGGCGTTGCTGCCGAGGAAGACGCTCTTGACGTTGACGCTCATTACCTTGTCAAATTCTTCTTCAGTGACTAGGTTGGTGCTCTGCCAACTGTCAGTTTCACTTCCATAGTTGAGCCTCAATCTACTTACCTTGTTCTCATAGCTTGTACCGGCATTATTGACCAGAATGTCAAGATGTCCCCAAAGCTGAACGGCTTTATCAACAGCGCTCTGCCAATCCGCTGCTTTGGTGACGTTCATGGTCTGAAACTCGAAGGATTCAGACGTCGCAGCTACTTTTTGGCCTGCTGCTTCGTTGATGTCGCAGATGAGGACCTTGGCGCCCTCTTCAGCGAAGTGCTCAGCGATGCCTTGACCAAAGCCAGAAGCGGCGCCTGTTTCTGTCTCAGCAGTGGTCAGAGATGCGATGAGGGGTAAATACCTGTAACAATAGCGACTTTACCATCTAAACGACCCATGATTGCTGTTTAGTAGCTGTAAACTCGTCTGAACATCGAGAAGCGACTGAAGCGACGTGATACATATACCTGCCCCTCACGTTCGTGGTTGTCTGGAGAATTGATTCCCTACCACGATGGGTAGCCCAGAACGGGTGCAGATCTTAACTATGTACGGCAGGTGGCTTGAACTCTAGGCATCTGCAGCGATGAGCCGACTCGCTGATTATGTTGGTGGTCGAGAAGCGGGGAATTCTGCATTGACCATTACTAACTGGGTTCTTACGTGCATACCCAGAAGACAAAGCGTATGACGAGAATAACCAACAGCTTTCATGGAACTTGTCCCATTTTACTGACGATCTCATTTCAATTTTGAGAACACAAAGGAGACTGTTACTCAGGCCGTTTGACTCATTCCTCTGCCACACCACTATCGCCCAAGGTCGACAACTCATCAACCAGAGAGCAAAATGGCTTACTCGTTACCTTTCAAGGTAAGCATGTGTAATAAGACCAGATGAACTCAGTTAACTAGCACAAGCTCAATCGTTCTGACCTTCTCATCACCGACTCTTACATCCAAGGCCAAACCAAACCCGCCCTCTCAGGTTCAACCTTCGACGTAATCGGTAAGCTCTCTCCATATCACAACATCTCACCGATCTTACACAGCATCTAGATCCCGGAACCAATAAACCGTGGACAAGAGTCACCAACAACTCAGCCGATGACGTCGACGCAACCGTCCGCGTCGCACACAATGCATTCCAATCTTTCAAGAAAACCTCCCCTCGAGCACGTGCCCAATGGCTTCTCAAATGGGACGCCCTCATCCGCAAGCACAAAGCCGATTTAGCCACGCTTTTGGTGTATGAGACGGGAAAACCATACGTCGAGGCAATCGGGGAGATGGATTATTCTTTGACGTTCGTATCATGGTTTGCGGGCGAGGCAGAGCGGATCCAAGGAACTTGTTTCGCCCCGTCTGCGCCAGATAGACGAGTAGTCACTATCAAGCAGCCACTCGGTGTCGCCGTCGCGTTGGTGCCGTGGAACTTTCCCGTTGCTATGGTTCTGAGAAAGGCTGCTGCTGCGTTGGCAGCTGGTTGTACGATGGTGGTTAAGCCATCGCCTGAAACGCCGGTTACTGCTATGGCTTTGGCCAAGTTGGCCAGTGAGGCTGGATTTCCAGACGGCGTTCTGAATGTCTTGCCGACAAGCTTGGAAAACACGCCGTCGCTTAGTGAAGCTCTTTGCAAACATGATTTAGTTAAGAAGGTTACCTTTACAGGATCAACACGCGTTGGGACTCTGGTTGCGAACCACTGCAGTTTGGGTCTCAAGAAAGTGGTTCTGGAGCTAGGCGGTAACTGCCCCTGTCTTATCTTCGATGATGCAGACATCGAAGCAGCTTTGCGCGAACTCGTCGGCCTCAAATGGCGTCATGCTGGTCAAGCTTGCGTTACAGTCAATCGCTTCCTTGTGCAGTCTGGGGTATATGACAAGTTCCTTCAGCGCTTCGTTGAAGAGACTGCCAAGTATGTCATCGGCCACGGCGCTGCTGAAGGAAATACCCTCGGACCTGTCACGAAGCCCGAAAGTTTGGATCGAGCTGAGCGACTTATTAAAGATGCTGTTTCGAAAGGTGCTCGAATTGTCACTGGAGGCAATCGTGTTTCCCCCAAGGGAGGCGAAGGCGGTTATTTCTTCGAGCCGACGATTCTCGCTGATATGTCGCATGACACTCTGATCTCCTGCGAAGAATGTTTTGCGCCGATTGCTGCTTTCTACAAATTCGAGAAGGAAGAGGAGGCGGTTCAAGCGGCTAATGATACACCGATGGGTCTTGCTAGTTATGCGTTTACCAAGAACGCGGATCGGATCTGGCGAATGCTTGAGAATCTTGAGGCTGGAATGATAGCTCTTAACACCGGTGAGTATTCTGCTTGGATCTTGGTGGTGTGTGCTGACGAGATACTAGGCAATTCTTCTGCGGCGGAGTCACCCTTTGGAGGGATCAAGATGTCAGGTTATGGAAAGGAAGCTGGAAAGGATGTGGCTGTGAGCGAATACATGATCTCCAAGACGGGTACTATTACAGTCCACGGGCTTGTTTAGCCAGTGAAGAAACACATATGTTCCTCTGGGAATTGGCAGCTGGCCTCCCTCACTACCAGTATTATCTCCACTGGCACCATGCTGGAAGCGAAGAGATAACTGTGGCTAGCTAACAAATACCAATCTGGTCAAGGCCCTGAGGCTAAGACAAGTAAAAGCATCTTTTGGTTAGGCGACAATTTCATATTGTATAATCGAGTCTCGGCATGATTCGTGTTTGCTAGTCTGCAGAGCTGAACTCCTGGGCTCCTAGCACAAGAGACTATTGGTGCTAGTCTGGCGGGGACTCCGGCAAAGCTGCAGAAGCCCGCCACCCGCAAGTAATGCTTCTTTAAAACGTGGACTAAATGAGCTTGGTAAATACTCAAGATAACCAGAATGTGAAACGTATTTATCTACAGAAATAATAGCCGAATACTGAAAGATATTTGGTCTTATTTTGGTCCAGGGTTCCCGATTCTAGTAACTGGTCTTCCGGTCATATCCCCGATCAGAACTGCCCCGCAACTGTGCATAAATGATACTGAGACATTGATTATGACGGCTGAGCCTAGACCAATATTATCGCAAATAGTCCCTGGTCAGGCAATATTATTATACCTCTCAGCTTCATTCAGCCAGCCACGTAAAACGAACTGGTTGTAAGGCTACCTCCGTCTCCCTTCTTCTAGATACAAGTGATCGATCTGCTTTATAGATATAAAAATGATGTTGTCCTCGTTCTCAATAAACTTGACAATTTCCTCTTCCCTTCATTTCATAATATGCTTTGCTAAAAATGGGTTTCTTCAACTCCATCGCTGATGCATTCTCCAAGAATGGCGCTGTCACCAAGTTCTGCGAGCAAATTCCCGTCGTGGGCCACGTGACTGCCGGCATCCAAGCTATTGCTGGCAACACCGAGGAGGCCAAACGTGCGCTTGCTACGAGTACCGGCAACCTCGTCAGCACCGTTGGAGCTGTTGGCGGTTTCGTTGTTGGTGGACCGCCTGGGGCAGTTGCAGGCGGAGCACTCGGAGGTCTGGCTGGTACATTTGTCGAAAGTGGTATCGCAGGCTCAATCAACAACCCTTCAGTCAAAGGGGATCTTGGAGATGTCACGGCGGGAAAGGTTATCGCCAACATGGGACTTGGTGGAGCTTCCGGTATGCTTGGTGGCGGAGGCGGCCTGCTCAAATCTGGTGGCACAGCATTCGGCAAAGAGCTTATGAAAGGAGCTGCTAAGATCGGTGCTGGAAGTGCAATCGGACAGGGTCTGAAGTAAGTCCTCAAACGTCTTTGAATCACACAATAGCAACATACTGACAAGCTTTGTTCACCAGGGGCTTAAAGCCAGACGCAAGCACAGGCGATTTAGATGAGACTGAGCCCGAGACGCGCAAGTACGTCAGCCAGATCAACAAGACGAAGTCAGATGCCTGTGCTGCGCAGATGATTGCTATGGCTGCCAAGTATCCGGTCACTCCAGTCAGCGGACCATCCCTCAACGCCGGAGGATGGTTGCGGGGAGCGATCACGGTCGGCCAATTTCTGGAGCTTGGTACGGCTGAGTTCACACAAGCTCTGGTCTACTTCCACGAAAGATTCGATGCGAACGGAGCACAATCTCAAGGTGGCATTGACAAGGCTGTCACCGATTTGATGAACAGAGGCGGCATGATCGTGGAGAACGGTGCGAATGTTCAGAAGACTGCGGATCAGATCAGGACCTTGTTGGAAGATGACGAAGTGACGCTGGTTAACCTAACAAGCATTGCAGCACACTCATTCGAATTTGAGTTTGACGAGCATTGATAGTAATTTAATGGGGACTAAGGCGGCCAATTGGCGAGAAGCCATATATGAGGGGAAATGCTGCATTTCTGATGAAAGCATACTGGAACATATAGCGTGAAATCAAGCCTTAGATGCAGCGAGTTACTTGACTTGATACCGATTGCGGAGCAGGTGCCTTATCTTGGGAGCTTTTGTTGATTATGTGTCGAGACTTACCAGGAACCAGAAATTCCACGTAGCTAATAGTAAAAACCCAGGACATCCTTGTTTCTTATAAATTTGGCCTCGTTAAGCCTCAAGACCATCATCAAGCTCGCCACCGCCAACCTCGAACTAGCACTCTCCCGTCGCTTTTACTCGCGCTGTTGTCGTTTTCTGCCTCCCTTTAAACGATTTAAAACCCCTCTGTTGTTGTTCATCAGATAAGCAATGCGGTGTCAGTCAGACGAAAGGATTTTAGGGTATCTATTTCTAACAAAATAGTGGCATGTTAGCCAATAGCAATAATAACTTGGTTACATGCTGACGGGGTTGAAGAGAGATGAAGGTGACATTCTTAGCAGCTTCCGAGGCAGTGAGTCGTGTAGAGTAACTTGATATGGACTAGAGCTGACACGACGCGGAAATCCGTTTGCTTCTCCAGCACAGACTAATTAATTTCTTGTCGCAAATCCATCTTCTTCAATTACTTCAACCTCTTTTTCTACTATTGAGCAATCTTGTGTGAATTGGCTGATCAAAATGGAGATAATACCCGTTTCATGGAGTGACCAGCCCAACCCAATCCCTAATCTCCGTACCCGAACGTTCTTCATTACAGACCATCCTCTCGACGAGCAAATCCTCAAAAACGGTCTAAATAAACTGATCAGAAATCATTGGCGAAAACTAGGCGCGCGTCTTTTCCCATCGCATGGGGATACACGCCTAGAATACCGTTTACCGCATGCTTTCCCAGATGACTATGAGCTCTTCAAATGGTCCTCCGTCAGCGCTGGTTATTCCTATGGCGAGACTTATGAATTGTCCAAGATTCTGCATCCAGGCGATGGTGTAGCCTTTTTACCAGATATGGAGACAATTGACGCGCGGTTGAGGCCGCAGGACTGGCCATATGAACGAAAAGACGAGCCGCCTAATTCGCCGCTGCTGTATGTCCACTTAACCATGTTTTCGGATGGAGCTGTTCTTGCGATGAGCGTTCCGCATGTCTTTGCTGATCAAGGTGGCTTGGCCAATATCGTCAAGGCATGGCTTGCTGTTATCGAGGGCAAAACACCACCAGAAATGACAGGTTACAAGGATGATGTACTGGGAGGTGAAAAGCTCTCCAACGTTGATGTCAATCAGGATGGACGGATTGGACGGATGCGCATCCGCAGCAAGAAAGACCAGGCGTTGGTGATTGGAAGAATTGCTCTCGACCTGGTGAAAGACAGGAAGGAGGAGTCTAGACTCGTTTTTCTACCAATACAAGTGGTACAAAGTTTGAGAGACAAGGCGAGAGAGCGCTTGGATGGAAAACACATGTTGGCGAATGAGATCAGCAACGGTGATATCATTACCGCAATCTTCACAAAGGTAGATTATCAACGACTCAAACTCAAGTCTGCCATGCTAAAGACGCCGAATAGCTTGCCAGGATCAATTCCGAGTCCAAGTACGATATTTCGCTTTCCTCAACCATCAACGGTAGGTCCATCTAGCCATCCAAGAAATCAGCTAACAAATTAGTACGAGATCGCATTCCCCAACTTCAAGGCGAAAAGGGTGAAGGATTTGTTCATAACGCCGTACACTATGCAACAGCCAACTTCGCAATCAAGCCCTCAACAGAGCTAGACGACATTGCTCTCCAGAACCGAAGAGCCGTCAACAAAGCCCTAGAGGAATCGGATATCAAAGCTGGAGTCAACACTCTCCGAGAGCTCGCTAAGGCGAACCAAGTCATGCTTATCTGCGAACCTCACCATAAGCTCTACAGCTCTTCAAACTGGAGTGGTTCATGGCATGGAATAGACTTTACGAAAGCAGCGCCTAAGTCATATGACTTGTCAAGCCATAGGAAAGAGATGGTTGTTCTTGGACAGAGCAAGACGCTAAAAGCGCCGATGAGATGTAAGTGCACTGTCATGTTGAGGTGTAAGATACTGACTGGTTGATAGACCGCGTTGTGATTATGTGTCGAACAAGTGAAGGCTTCTGGTGCGACTTTGCTGCGCCAGTCGAGACCATGGCCTTGGTCGATAAGTTTATTAGGTGGGATCCTTCGCTGGGAATTCTTTTAGAGGAGATGGAATCTTACGGCACTTCCGAGAGTCGAAGAGCGTTCAAGTCAAACTGCGGAGTCCCGCGGTCATTGTCATTTTCTTTTATGCTGCAAGCAAAAAGGGGTTCTCGGTCAGAACAATAGCTGATCTCTCAGCCAAAGGTTTCATCTCAAGTATCAGGGAAGATAACCATGTATTGCCTATATAAATTACTTTGTGTTATTTGCATTCATGTTGGGTTTGAAGTTTCTTTTATCTCCCAGCCTTATGTTACTACCATAGGTACTTATTTCTATAGTATACCACTATGAACTCTAAACTTGCCGAGGTCCGACAGTTCGCTCCCTTGGCTTATTGCTTGCCTCGTAGTATCTACCCACAGCCCTCTCCCAAGACTCTTGAATAGTTCCCCAATACTTTTCTGGATCCTTTTTCATATGCCCAACATGTCCACTTTCAAATAACTGCCCCTCGCTAGGGTATCCAGCCTCCTGCGAAACGGCCATATATCCTTCAATATGCTGCCACGGAATAAGAAAGTCTCCCTTTCCATACAAGAATAGCCTTGTGCTCTTCTTGCTCTCCCACTGCTCATCGGTGAAGATCCTGTGGCTGAACTTAGGCGCAGATTCTCTTCCCGCAAGATAGTCGAATACATGAATCATGCAGAAGAACCAGGCGCATAGCACTTGTGTTACGATGAATGGCAAGGGGAGCTTTGCTGCTAACCCGATAGCCATGGCGTAAGAAAATCGCTTGAGGTTATCCCACGTAAGATATGGAGTTCCGGGCGTAGAGTCATAGACCGTCAGCGCATGGGGCATCGGCCGGTTGTAGGTCTCCTTATAGGCATTCAAGGTGGCTGAGTAGTTGATAGTTCCAGAATTAGACATCACGTGGAACAAGACTGAACCGTCTGATGCATTGTTGGGGAAAACCTCATGTATAACCGAAAGCATGGCCTCTGTGCGCTGAGCCACATGGTCGATGAAGCCTTTGTAAATAGGCGACAGGACCGCGACTTGCTTGGCATGAGGGTACAACTGTCGATAGACATCGGTGAACTTTGATATGTGCCTTGGAGGTGCGTCGCCCCAGCCGTAGATGACGATTGTCCGAGGATGTTTTGGGTTTGGCTCAGTGCCTGTCAGCGTCTCACCCGGGCGAACGAAGACTCTATTTGATAAGGCACTGAAGCCGACAAAGTTACTAGGCCGTGTAGATTTGCTCATGGTAATCTAGGACTTCAAGGTGATTGTTGAAGATCGTTGAAAAGAAAGGAATATCCAGAAACCATCCTGCTATATATCATGTTTCTCAGAGGATGTCTGAATAAGCTTATTCAATCCTCCAGAGAACCCGGATTGGCAGGGAAGTGACAAAATGAAGCTAATATGAGAGACCTTCTCACGTCAGATCAATCGATGTGTTGTGATTGAATATTCAGTGAGGCACAGTAGCTCTAGAGAGATTTGTGACGTGGAACAGTAAGCACTATAGTCTCGGCTTATGGAGTCATATAATAGTTGTTGGATCCCTGTAGTGGTAGATGTTGGATTGAACCTCTAAAAGCCTTACGTTAAAACTTGGCTTACGATAAGAATTACTGGTTGTGCTGCTTACGGTCCGAGGCCAGCAATCTTGCCATTGAGCGGACTGATGCCAGTCTCAACAGTTGTGTCGGGGCGCGAATGATTTACATTACTCATTATATTTATTGTTACATGGTAGTGAAGATAGACGCTAACTAATCATGAAATGTTTGTGTACTGCGACATCAGAAACTCATACCATTCGCTCTTGGTCCGAGGTCGATGCCTGGTCCTGGGTTTCTGTAAACACCACCTTGGTCTCAACCTTCTTCATGATCCCATTTTCCCAGTCGGATGTCCTTCGGTAGGAGTCATCACGCGACATATCGTCAAGTCGGACATGACCTGTGCGACTCGCGGTGACAAACGTAGTCATCCGGCCACTGACCAATTCATCGCGAACCCTCTGTCGACCTCCCTCGGTCGGTCTAGCGTCTTGCTCTCTTGAGCTCTTGACTATGTGGCCGAGAAGAGAGGCGACGTTCATCTCAATGTATAGTTTGAGGAGGTAGACGAGTTGATGGAACTGGACATAGCTGATAGCCGTTAGACATGAGACAACGTAGGTGTAGGGCATACTGACACAACAGGACTGGGGAGAAATGTGGCTCCCATCAGCACGCAATCCAACGACACTGATATAACAACCATAATGACGTTGAAGTGGAACAGCTCAGTATACTTCGTCAATCCGCAAGCGATGAGTCGCGACCGAACCAGGTATATGAAGTAGAGGTTAAGCGATAAATCGACGATCAAGAAGACAGCCTTTTCGGTTCGGTCCCAGACAATGTTGATTTCTTCGTACAGGTGAGAGATCTGTAAGCGAGCCGGTACCCAGATGCAGAAACCGCTGATGTTGATCAAGCTCGCAACCACTGCAACTCCCCACTTGACTCTGTTGATGTTCGTTTTGTTACCGAGAAGGAGGGATATTCGATTAATGATGATCTGGAGGGTAAATTGGATCTGCATACTCCAGAAAACAACTGCAGAAGGCGTAAGTATAAGTCTGAGGCTGATGATAGGGCGACGTACTGATAAAGAAAAAGACCCAGAAGCTAGAGAGCGGTATCAGGTCAGTACGCTTCGGGAGAAGAAGACAGAGGAGACTGACCTTGGTGGAGCGAAGCCTCGTAGCCAGCAATAAGTGATGATTCCCATACAGTTGCATCCAATCCAATCAAGCCAGCACATGATGATGTATGCGCTGAAAAGCCTTTTTCTCTGGTACGCCTGCATCGTCTGCTTGATGGCCATACCAGCAGTGAACATTGACGCGCCCATGCTGAAGCCGAAGATGAGACTGACAATGTTCATCTCCAGATCCTTTGGAGTCTCGGTCTTGTACCACGGAGGAATCAAAAAGCCCGCCATGGCTGGAGTGTAGTGAAGGACGAATACTAAACTTTGATATGTTGACTGTCACAAGAAACGATGAGACCGATGCCAAGAGCGGGACCAAGATATAATGACTTATAATAACAGACGGTTCAATACGAAAATTTGACAGATCTTCCCCTGGTTTGGGCATTGTATCCATGATATGCAAAACCAAGGGGGTCTTAAGACTACCGTTAGCCTCGATCTCGAATACGAGTCAGTGCCCAACACCCACCAACGGTCAATTTAATGCATGAAGATCGCAACCCCAAAGCCTCAGCGCCGGCCGCGAGCATAGCGTATTGAGCAGTGAAGCAGCCGATCTTGCGACCCAAAAGTCGCAGATTTAATGCTAAAAGAGCGGGCTGGACGCTATCCGTTGGCGCCACGGAATTTTGAGTTAGTGTCTTGACTCGGGAAATTGTAGAAATTGGGATGAAAGCGATGGGCGCCGATAAGGTTCGGGGTATTATAGCTGAGACTTGCGCTGAGATCGTGAACGAGTCTGGGGAACGAGGAGCGAGAGTTTGGCGTTGCCGTGACTGGACGGTCAAGAGTCCAATTGGACGTGATCTGGGGAAATATTATCGATATGCCGTTTGATACGATACCTGAGACACGGCACAATCGGCAGTGAATTTATCGTTGCAACAGCAGACGGATCAACGCAACGCCCAACAATGACAAACTCGTTACCGTAAGCTATAATGTAACCAACTCCTCCTTCCAAGACTTCGAATTGCGCTGGAACACCATCCACTACCGACAAAACCCCCACCAGGCGTGACCCATTGGGTTACAAAAATGGCGTTTAAGTTTTCATGGAACAAGCATGGAACCACTAACCTAGCAGCGGCACAGTTGCTGTCGATGCACTAGCAATGTCAGCCTTAAACACTAAACCCACTGGATTGGCTGGAAGCTCCGGGGTATCTCCCCCGTTGCCAGGCTTGTGATGTTTTATCGGACGATGGCTGTTTTATGTTTTTCCCGGGGTCAAGCGGGACGGATCCAATTGGTTTGGTGTGGCTACCTGGTTTGTTGATCCATGAATATCGTATTTCATTTTCCTTGGATATGAGATGCTGCAATTAATGATTAGGAGAGGCCGATTCTTTTGCGAAATAAGGATCGTTGAAACAAATCCCTATTGGTATTAATGAGCAAAAGTGCTCAATCGCGCTCTGTAAGCTAGTGCAAGCGCAGCCATCGCGTCCGTTGGCTCGCGTTGCGCTGAGACGGAACCGCGATGTTGAGCCCCGATTTAGCCCTGTCGATCAGAGAGTGCGGGGGAACGCCTCAAGAGGACGATGAAGATGTTAATTTTAGTAACGGCGATAAATTGATCAAAGCTCGATTTCTCACTCTAGACTAATCATGGGATGGCGATCTATGTTTCATGATGAGGACAAGAAATAAATGCCTGACCGTTACGCTGGCTCTTCGCCTGTCCCGCCAAAGTCAGTAGTCGACAAGCTATTGCAATACCTAACAACGGCCATCATTAGGTGTTCAATTCCTAATTATCAGTTGATGGTCCAAATGTTTGCCTGCACCAAGAATGGATGTTATTATGGGCCAAAAGACATAAACTTGCACAGAGAAGTTCTAGATTCGAGTTAATGAAACAGAGGAATCGCATTACCTCATCGCATGAACTCAATTGTAGGACCGAGTTTATCTTTCAAAACTTTTGGTTTCGTGATGCTACAGATCGTCACAAGGAGAACGAACCTTTGCCTTCTGCCAGTGAGTATTGGATGTCTAAGGCGACAAGGGTACTGATGACAGTACAACGGTTTCCCAGCTGAAGAAGCTAAGTGTACAGGAAAGCCTCATGCCACAACAGCCTCCAGATCCAGATAATTATACACATCGTCTTTTCTCATCTTTCAATCTTCAAGCTCAGCATTGTACCATATAGTAAGTGGAATCAGGGCGAAATTGAGAGGAGATTTCAGTGTCAGGAAAACGTCACAAATTTCAACTATTACTCAAGGATCAGGGATTTGGTAGGAATCAAGTATAGTATTAAGGTATTATTAACAGGAGAGACAACTCTTGAGTGTGAGTACTACACAGTATGGACTAAAGCAACATAGCACCAACTGCAGCGACCAGACCCATGCCAACAGCTCCGTGACCAGCAAGTCTCATGCCCGAGTTTGGCGTTGTTGTAGCCGATGCAACAGGAGTCTCAGTTCCCGAAGTCGCATCCGAAGTAGCGCTGCCTGACGATGCCTCGGTGGTACCAGTAGTAGCAGCAGCCGCCACGGTCGTAGTCTCAGTGCCAGTGGAATCAGTAGCGGTCGTCTTGGCAGTTGTCTTTGCACTTGTCGTAGACGTAGACTCATCATCGTCGGCGCCGAATTCCTTGATATCCAACACATAAGTCCCGTTCCCACTGACACCGTCCTGCTCGAAACTAGCCCAACTGGGCTTTCCGTTTGTTCCCAAGGATACACAGGCCTCGCGGTACGCGTTGCTAGCGCAGATACTATTTCCATCGCTGGTAACGCCACCACCGGCGTTGGTGCAAGAGACGAATAGCTGAGTGACAAGCTTGGCCGTATTGTCGAAGAATTCGTGGTCAGAGTTGGAGCTCAGACACGTGCGGCAGCCATCCATGGAGCCGTACCAGCCATCCGGGTTCGGGATGCACACACAGTCCCTTGTTTCGTCCTTGGGCCACTTGAGCTTTTGGCACTTGAGCATGGCCTGGTAGATAGGCCAGCAGCCGCAGTCGTCGAGCTTGGAGGGGCTGTCGTCTGCTTCTTTGGTCTTGGACCAGCCGTTGGGCTCTGCTGAGGTGAAGCCAGAGATGGCAACGAGTGCAGCGAGACTTGATGAGAAATGCATGGTGAAATAGTTGGGTGTAAACGAATGGCGATGTTGTGAAACGAGTGACGTGAATGGAAGTTTGCAGAGGTAAAGGGAATGCGAGATGATGGGTCTTGGTGAGATTTTAAAATGCTCTCCTGCATCACCGGATAAATCTCAAATTGACTAGCGTTGTCAGCTGTAATTTCCGGGTTTAGGCGCCAGCATCCATAATTCGCCCGGCTGCTTTCCGTGAGATCTTGGCGTGATATATCGCACGATCGGTTAGCAATGCTACAAGCCTTTCCAGCTTATCTTTGCTTAATCGCGGGATTAAAGTTTACTTGCTTCAAGAGAGCTTGCTCATTTCATGTAACGACCTGATATCGCCATTAGATATCATGACCGTTGAATCAATCAAGCGGCTTCATGCTCAACGGAGATTTTCGCCAAGGAAGAGTCATTCCCCAGATGGAAATCCCCGAGACAAGGATGTAGGTGGATATCCCCACCGCCGGTGACGAGAAACCTTGAGACTAACTAACTATCACGCGAAGTGAGCTGATTGACGATGAGGAACATGTATCCTCGCGTGGAGGGGTTTACAGTGATTGGCTCCAATGCATTCGAAATCCCAGGGATCCTAGCCTTGTGGAGCTAAATCGGTTATAACTTTGTGAAGGCGCAACTCTTGGCTTGGCAGTGACCTGTCTGCGGAAACAACGGCATCGTCTTTATTTATTGCCAAGGTGATTGATCGGAACAGCTACACTGCAAATCTGCATTTGAACACACAGGCAATACAATTTCGGGGATCTATGTCAAGCTTGACATGTGTTTTACACTTTAAAGTAAGCACTACCTGAGTTACCCTAAACTGCCATTAATAACTCAACTAGCTCGGTGACATTCTATTATATTCACTTTGTAAAATAACAAAATATGATTATATACAATCCAATGTCTCAATTTTATCTCCTAATACAAAGCCGCTTTTTAAAACCCCTTTACTTGCCAATGCGGTTGGATAGCCACTCTTGGATCTGCGAGAGACCAGTAGAGTTACGCTTGCGAGACCTAGACTGTGAAGATGTTTAATCATATCTTTGATCTCTTTGATTCGAAGCTCTGTATCTAGTGGAGCACTAGTCTCAACGGGTTCTTCGAGAGTCATGGCATATTTGCTGAGTACTAGACTACGGATACTGCTGTTGATGACTGTGGCATCCCCAGTACTTGGTAGTATTTAGATAATGATTTATAAGCAGTGTCTCGTAGACCTTTGCTTCCGCTAGAAATGCTTCTTTGGCAAAATTGCTGTTGTTTTGGGCGTTAGAATAAAGAGGGGTGACGCATTTAAGGTAGCAGTATTTTAACATCGCCTCGGGACACAGCTTAAGTAATAAGTCGTACTCTGGCTTGAGTTCTTGCTTTAGAATGAAGAGGTGTTCATACTAGGCAAATCCGAGTTTATTACCAGCAAATGTGGCAAAGGTCTCTGGGATGTCGCGAATGGGAAGTGATGTAAGGTCCAATTGGGATAAGTCCAACCCTTTTGCTCGGTGCATTGCAAATCTTGTGTTGGTTGTGACAATGAAATGGTCTCCAGTGCTGATTCGGACGCCGATATCAGTTTTCTGATACTTTAGCTCGTTTTTGTTGTCGCTCTTCCATTGTTCATCACAGGAGATAATTTTCAGGGTTGGGGATGTTTCAGGCACGACGCCAGACTTGTCGCCCCCTTGCTGAGAGGTCGCCTCATCACGCTCACCACTGCTCTTAGCTGGAAGTGATGGTGAACTGGCAGCGCGTTCCGAACCAGACGTGTCCTCGGTCTTGCTACGATTGGAAACCCTCGAGTTGGAGCGCTTGGCGGGCGGCTCGGCGGTACGCTTATGAGATCTTATGATGAATACGCGGGAAAGTGGAAGCAGAGGACGCGCGGTGTAAAGAAAACGATTGTTAATTGAAGGAAGCTGGTGTGGGGCAGTACTTAATGAAGGCCGTAGAACATAAATGTTTATTGACTGTTCAACGTATGACTGACAAAGGGCCCAGGAAGTTAGGAACACCTGAACATTCACTACCCTTTGCTCGACAACACCTTCAGGCGCGGTATGTGCTATCATACACTGTCATTGCAAGTCAAGGGGAGGTGAAGAGCTACATGATTTGCTCAGTTTCGTCTCTGAACGGTGCGTGCGTTTATTGGTTGTTGATGTGAAGTGATTGAACCATATGATTGGCTGCACTTCATCTTTGCTGGGACCCGAAATCACTCGTGAAGAGCTCAAGCCAACTATCATAAACTCGCCATGTAGAACAAAGAAAGGGCTAGCAAACAAACAATATTGCATACATCGTAACTCCGAGGTCCTCTCCCAGCTAATCACGGGCGCTGGATACGCTGCCTCCGTGACCGGCCTCCCAAATCTGCCGTCCCCACATTCTCTCGGAAGACCCGCGGGGTAGCAAGCGAACTATATCCGAGCTGCCGTCAAAGATGTATAACTAACCTCTCCTCATACAACACTTGATCAAATAATTTTCCAAGCATAATATCATCAATATGTCTACAAGAAAAGGTCCATTCCGACTCGTCACCGTCAACACGGCGCCAGAGCGCGCAAAACGCCTCATCGGACGCTTAATCACCGAGCTGCAAGATGACTATGAGATCATTCACGTGGATAACTGTTCGAGTAAGTTCAGCAACGGTACAACACGGACACGTAATTAATTAATTTAGGCATCGATGAGGTTGTGCCTAAAGTGACAGAGCACAAGCCCAATGTATTGGTGAGTGAACTATGAGTCAGAGAGTCTATGCGACAACTCTAACTTTCTTTCTCAGTTCTCAGCTTCTATGTGGTCCGCTGAGGAGGCGGAGCAAATTCACTCTTTGGCAAAGTCTATTGTGCCTGATATCAAACTTCATGCTATTCCGACGGGATTGCAGGTTGAGAGGGGACCGGATGCTATTGTTGAGTACCTTGTTGAGAAGGTTCCTCCTCTGCTGGATAGCTAGATCAGTCAAGCTGGGAAGATCAGCCAGATATCATGATCAAATATTTTGGACACCAGACAGATTCTACGAGATTATTTACGTGTTGGTTTCCACGTTTTGTATACTAAATCTGCATATCAGCATGAACGTGGCTGCCTACCCGTTCCCAATCTCATCACCATGTAGTAAAGGTCTATAGACTTTCAGTTCAAGCCCAGACGTGTCCCTCCATGCTCCGCCTTCACAGATGACTAACGCTGGACCCCTCGGTGTCAACCCTCATATTCCAAAATCTCTAGTAATATCCCTAGCGAATAGTGGTGTAGTAGGTACCGCCCCCGTTCAGGTCGTTAGATCTGAACCCAAAATCCCAGAGTCAGCCCCTACAATTCCCCCTCCCCTGATTACCACAGAAAGCACAGAAAAAGCAGAGATAACAGCAGTCAGCCCCCCAATCCCCCAGTACGAGCAGAAATTACGGCAATTACGAAAAAAAGAAACAAGAACAAAGACACTACCCAGGGAAGAAATTCGCCCTCCTACCTACTACTACACCACTCTTCGCTTTTGCCAGTTGTGTATAATAAAAGATGTCTCTTTTTGCCTCATACTGTCTATTATCTAGTTGGACTACCAGTTCTCAAAAGTAATAAGCAACTTTTAATATACAGAAAAGTCTCAACCCTGAACGATCTGTTGGATAGATAGACCTCCAAGAAAAATGCTCAGGTAAATGCAATACCGAAAGGCTTCAAGAAATGTCAATAGATGCTCTGGCATATGTTGTGCGTTCCGCTCTTCGTGAATATCGTGTTTTGTATTTAACCTTTATACCGGAGCCACTGTCGCCTGAGGTCTGTTTTCAAAGTATGTTGGATGCCTATCTCTGAATGGTTGACTTCACGCAGCCGTCCCTGGTATACTTTGACAACAACCTCAGACATGTCCACCTCACAGATGACTAACGGTGATAACAAACCTAGCTGCCCAACCCTTATATTCCAAAAGTTACAGTATTACTACCACAATCAAACACGAGTGGTGTAGTAGGCACCAACCACGATATCAGAGATTCTGAACCTAAATGTCTAGAGTCCACCCCTACAATCCCCCCTTTCCCTAGCTACAACCACGAAAGAAAGAACAAGGATAACTGTAATCAAGAAAGAACAGAGATAACAGTAACTAAAATGAGAAAAGAAAAAGAGAAAACAAGAAAACAAGAAAACAACAAAAGAAAAGCCTACTACACCACTCATCATTTTTTGCCAATTATGTATAATATATAACAAGAGATCTTTATGGCTATAAGTGTCTATTACAAAGTGCCTGACTACTCGTTCTCAAAAGTATTAACCAACGTCCCGATATGTGGCAGGATCTCAACCCTGAACTCATCGCCATGGGAAAGAGTCTCTTTGGGCTTTCGGCCCATGCCTACGCCGGCTGGTGTACCAGTGATTATGACGGTGCCGGCGGGGAGGGTTGTGCCTTGAGATAAAAAGCTGACCAGCTTGGGAACGCTGAAGATGAGATCGCTAGGCAATGTCAGTTTATGAACTCTTGGAAAAGGGAAGATGGCACGTACTCCAATGAGCAGTCCTGCAGGACCTTGCCGTTCTTCAGACCCCGAATATGCAGTTTGGAGGGATCTGGAATCTCCGAGGTCGACACCAGAGTAGGACCTATCACTGATTAGCATTTTGTCGCCACGTTCCGTCACGAGACATTACCAATTGGGCAAGCTCCATCAAAGCCTTTAGAGAAACACCACTGAGACTGGTTCAGTTGAGACACACGACTCGAGACATCATTCGCTGCTGTGAAGCCTAGGACGTAGTCCATGGCATTCTCTTCAGAAACATTCTTGGCTGCTTTGCCAATGACGACCGCCAATTCAGACTCGTAGTCACCGCTTCCGTCATTTTGAGTGATCTTGGGGAGGAGAGTAGGAGCTGGCCATGGGTCACCAAGCGCTGTGTTGGGCTTGCTGCGATAAATATTAGAACAGTGTTTATGAGGAGCTGTTAGGAGACGTACAGGAACAGCGTGGGGATTGTTGGGATGTCCATGTTGACCTCCTTCGCATGCTGAACGTACTGCAGACAATCAGTTCACAGTCTCATTCACTTCATTAAATGAATATCCTTACGTTCAATCCGATACATCGAATAGTTCCAACCTCCTCCTGCGCCAAAGGTGACAAGAGTCGCTCAACGGATTCCGTGCGATCAGTACGCGAACCAGGCGATAAGACCGACCGCCCCGAAAAGACGTTGACAGAAATATCTTTTCCCTCACGAGATGCCAAGCCGACATCGAGAGAAGCCTGTACCGGCTCTCCGATCAAGATGCTCGAAGGCGCCGATTTAGGAACGAAGCGCACAAGGCCTGTCTCATCGTTAGCAGTAATCACGCTAGGATGGGGTCGACTTACGTTTGAATGCAGAAGAAGCCATCGTGAATAGTCTGCTATTGCTTGGATCTCGACTCGCTGTGCACTTCTTTGGTATCACTTTGTACTCGCAGTATCATTCACTCTGATGAACGAAGCCGCTCACCAACTCCGCTATTATCTGCCGATCTCCTGTATCGGAGCCCCGGATATCCCGCTCACCACTCCAACCCCGCATCTGGTGATGCAACGGAAAACCCGCACTGGCGGAGCAAGCCAATCAACAACTACCGATTTTGCAGTCGTCGTAAGAAAGACGGATATTAGAAGCCAGAAACGTGTGATACATCCGTTGTATTTTGAGGGGATCGCGTCATTACAAATTGATCTTAACATTGACGCTCCAGCTTTGTACGCACTGAGACCCGCACTGGATTTCGCTGTCACGAACGCTCTCATCAATCATGACTTCTCAATCAGGCTCCGATGGGGCCTTTCGCCAGTACCTCCCCGACCTAAACCAGCCGCGCTTCCAGAATATGAAGAAGCAGGATTCTTATGAATACGCTGATACTTTTAAGAAAGAGGGCCAACCGCCTTGGCTTCACGGATTATACCTGCACTGGCGCAATTTGTTCCAAGAGCCTTACAAGGGCATCACAAATGACGGTATGCGATTCCCTCAGCTGATATGGGCTTGACATGAAAATCGACTAACGTAGCGTAGGTGTTGTTAGGGACGGCCTATTCCAGCTTCAAGATGATGGTATACCCATTGACACTATCGTCGAGGCCGCAGATAACCTCTGCGCCAACCTCAGCCAGGATCAGAAGCTCAAGACCTGCTATCACATCGACAGCCCGGAATGGCGCTCATGGTCAAACCCCGAGTTTCTCCTCAGCGACAAAGGCATCCGACTCGATGAAGTCTCAAACGAGCTGAGGTCAAAAGCGCTTAAAGTTCTGGAACTCACGCTCTCGCCAGAAGGTTACGAAAAAGCCCTTGGTGCCATGCGTGTGAATCATTTCCTAGGTGAACTGGTTGAGACACCCGCCATCATGAACGAATTCTCTTACAATTTTGTTCTTTTCGGTGAACCGTCAACAACTCGGCCTTGGGGTTACTCATTCTACGGACATCATCTGTGTCTGAACATCTTTCTGTACAAGACTCAGATTGTAGTGTCGCCATGGTTCACTGGTGCGGAGCCTAATCTCATTGACGATGGACCTTACAAGGGCACGCGAATCTTAGACCGAGAGGAAAGCCTCGGGTTGCGTCTGATGCAGAGTCTTTCACCAGAGCAGCAAAAAGCATCACAAGTATATAAACTTATGAAAGACCCTGCCATGCCCCATGGACGATGGAATCATGATGATCAAAGACATCTCTGCGGTGCTTACCGCGACAACAGGATCGTTCCATACGAAGGAATTCTCGTGTCCGATATGTCAACCGAGCAGCAGGACTACATTGTCAGCATCGCAAATGAATTCTTTCTTTATTTACCCGACAAGGCGAGAAAGCTGCGCCTGGAACTGCTAAAGAAGTGGTTCCACGAGACGTACTGGTGCTGGATCGGAGGATACGGCCATGATGATCCGTTTTACTATCGGATCCAGAGTCCGGTTGTGATTTTTGAGTTTGATCATCATTCAGGTGTTTTTCTGAATAATAAGGAACCTGCCAAGTTCCATATTCATACGCTCATGAGGACGCCTAATGGAGGGGATTACGGTATGGCGTTGAGGCCGTTGATACCCGGAATCAAGCAGGAATATCTTTGGGAGGGGTAGTGAATGGAAGCAGTGAACATAATGATGGCAAAGCTGTCAGCTTATTACGAGAGTAGTAATTTTAGACGTGGCGTTGATCTGTGCTAGCTGAAACTGGAGAGTGCAACATGACTTTATAAGGAAAGTCTAGGATTCGCAACATGGAACTGCCGCCATTACTGTCATACTGTCATAAAATCATGCATGATACAATACAACGCGACTGTTCAGACAAGTGATATTTGTTGACCTGAAGCGGGGTCTATGCAATTGTGGCTAGCTGACGCTTGTTATCATGCAGTGAGATTCCGCAGCGTCCGAGCGGAACCACGACCATGGTTGTGTTTTAGGAATGGGGCTAGACTTTTGCAAGCTGAAGGAGAAATTGGTTGGCAAATTCATACGGGCGGGCACATGGGCTATTGAACTATTGTCCCCGTGTCCGGATATTGGAAGGCCTCACTTTTGTTGAAACCAGCAGTTCAAGTCTCCGATTCGTTAATAAGATAGGCTTCAATGCTCGATCTTCACCGAGATTCCGCCATTCTTGCAAATGGACAGCTGAAATACTTTGAGAGGGAAGGATCAACATCGCTCAGCTGGGCTATGAAGATGCATCTATATCATCTAAACAGCTGGGAAATAGTATAAAGACCGTCGGTTGCGCCTTTGCTGTGTACTAACAAACACTTCTCATCACACCGACAACAGCCTACTCAAATCAACCCAGAAGCGAAATCATCAACATGTCCATGGTAAGCGCTCACGATCTCGAAGGCAAAACCGTAGCTTTTGTCAACTTCGCAACCGGCACCGCCATCGATCTCAAAGATGGTATGACCCTCTTCACACTCTACTCCCACCTCTAAACCCAGACTTAGGCTTTACCAGCCCTCCCGACGGCACTCCCTGCATCGGATGGCAAGCCCACCTTAACGAGAACCAGCAGTGGAAGTGCGTCAAGTACCAGCACGGTCCTGATGATCAGCCTCAGTTCAGACTCCAGAACATTAGAGCCTCTGGACGTAAGTGCCTTACTAACCCACGTGATGGTTACGATACTGAACCTTGAATAGGAGCCATGGACCTCTACAATGGAGGAACATCTGATGGCACTGAGATTGTCGGCTGGCAGTACAGTGGCTTTGGTGGGCATCAGCTTTGGTGCATTCGTCCTGTTGGATACTTTCCTGCTCATGGAACTATTGTCAAGTAAGTCAGTCAAACAGGGGAGTCTCAAAGTACTGACTAAAAGCGTAGGATTGAGAACATCCCGGCTGGAACCTTTGTTACTCTCCAAAGCGGCAGCGCTCAGTACGGGTAAGAAGTTCTTTGTTTGGAAAAGTTGGAAAACATTACTGACGATAATGCCTTTCAAGTACTCGTATTGTAGGGTCGCACGGATACCTCAACGATCTCCGCACTGACCAGCTTTGGATTCTGAAGTTGATCTAAGGACGAGCATCTCATGAAGTGACCGCAGCTACACGAAGAAAGCGTCCAGGGGCAAAAGCGATGGAGAGTAGTTATACTGATCAGGGACGCTTGAACTGGTCAGAAATTATGAAGTCAATGAAACACACACCATCAGACCCTTTTAGACCTGAGAATACGACGTCCATAGAGTATAGCTTGTTGGGCTCACCACCTGAAGGTGTCAACTTCTAACTCAAATACCGCCCCGCCCGTCTTTCCAAGGCTCACCACAGCTGCACGAGTATCATCGCAAAGGCCAGCTGGACCGCAAACAATAACACCGATTCTCTTCCATCCTGCCCCAACCTCCTGGTGTAGAAGCGCTTTAACATCCAAACGTTCAGCAACCAACACGACCTTATCTGCCACCTCGCTTAGTGCTGGCTCGAGATCTTGCAAAAGTGGCCTGGACGACTCCTTCAGACTCCACGCCAGCTTCACGTTCATATGTGCTCGGGTCCAGGAGAGGAGACCAGTTATACCAATTCCACCACCAATGAGGAGTACTCTGTCGCACTTGAGCACATCACGACCAAGGTTACCGCGATAAGGCCCCTCAAGCAGCACAGGAAGGCTTGGGCGTTTTCGTAATAGACGCGTTGTGCCACTGTGCTTTTTTATGTAGAGGGAAATGCTATCAGTGCCTTTAAAGCTCTGTGCTATGGCAACTTGAGGGATCTTTTGGCTCATCTCGACGTCACCCGAATGCGACAATTCTGCTGCAAACGCCTCCTGTAGTAAGGCAGTATTGGTGATTGAGAAAGGATGATTCTGCCACGGGCGAAAGGGCTGCAGTGTAGGGAAGTAGATGTAGGCATGGTGACCTGGGGTGGATAGCCATCTGACACCAGAGATATCTAGGCGGACGATTTCATCAGACAGCTCGACGACACTGGCTCGGCGGACGCTGTTCTTCGCAACGCGTAGCACGCGAAAGAGCCGATCAAAGAACCATACGGCGCATACCATGTATATCCACAATTCGTAAACTCCAGAGAATGGCTTCCAGAAGTAGATATGGTACCAACAGCCAACGATAACAAAAACGGCGAGGACAATATGTAGGATGAGGAATACTTCATATGAAGCACGGCGGAACCAAAGAACGCTCTGGACCAGAAGGACTACTAGACATAGTGTTCCAACAATACCCCAGATCCAATAAGGGTTGTGTACGTCCGTGTAGTACGTCCCGAGGCTGATGTAAGCGGCGAGGAGGGTGATGGAGTGAACGATCGCATGAAGGACGCAAAGGCGAGCTACCCAGCGGTGAAGGACCAGAAAGGTCGAGAACGGCCAATCGGTGATCCATAAAAGGATATTGTTGCGCGAAGAGAACAGCACGGTGAGTGGTAGCAGGGCAAACGAGATATGGCCTGTTCGATAGCCGACGTATGCTAGTAGCTCGGCTGACTTGGTGAAGCCCCAGGGATGGGGGTATGCGAAGTTCTTGTACGAGACAGCGCCGAGGATGATATTGAGGATGACAAACATGGCGATCCAAAGCCCTTGACCGATCGTTGGCGCGTTACCAAGAAGGTACGGAAGATGGCGTACGTTGTAGCCTCGAAAGGTTGATGGGTAGATGAGATATGGTCTGATCTCATCTATGGCTCGGTTCATGAAGGGAAGGTAGCCAAGAGCCGAGAAGAAGACTGGTGTTGCTACACCAATTGAGATCAAAATGATCCTAAGGGTTTATGTCATAAGTCGACGCCATAGACTGGGCATACAATGATCAGACTTACACGTAGGTGGATTGAACAGCCTCCTCCCAGTCAAAGAAGACATTGAAGTCATACTGATACTGATAATCAGCATCTGCGATGAGCGCCGTGTAGTTCAGCGTATCGCCCGCGATATACGTCCTCTTCGGAGGCGCTGTCACATTCGCAAGCACAGCACCATAGGTCCATTTAGCAGACACAGACTTTTCCCCAGTAGCTTGGCCAGCCCAGTATGATTCAAGTTTCGAGGGTGAGACATCTGCGCAGCGAGTGTTGAGGCAGTATGCAAGAGTGCGTAGAAAGTCGCTGTTGGTTGCGATGCAGGGCGCTAGTGGTGAGCCGCCATGTGGGTGTTCGCTTGTGCCCATGCTACCGTGGGCCATTGATGGACAGTCAAGAGGTGCGTTGCCGATTACGGCCCGACAGGCGTAGGCGCAGGGAGGATCATACCACGACTGGCCATAGCCCATGAGGCCTGTCTTGTAGGCATTGGCACTGCTCGCCAGCAATGACAGCAGAGCTACTAGAAGAATTCTCATCTTGGTAACTGTCAATAGGTCGAAGATGGCAGTGCAACTTGAACTTGCGAAAAATACGGGAAGCGAAAACTCTTGTAGGGGTGAGCTGGCGTTGCATGCCTATCACTGCGAGGCGACATGCCGCCAATAGATCGCTTACAGTTAGCAAAAGCAACAAAGCATTCAATATCACCAGAGAGTTGAAGAGTTTATGCGCAAATCAACTCATCTAGTCAAGCCATCTTCAATGCCAAGGCCCAATTTACTGATGCCCATGCTAAGAGGGTCGAAAGATGCGCAAACTTGCTCATGGCGTTAAACGAAGTAGCCTCGTAGCCACTGAACGAATCGCATCGCAGTGATTACATGCAATGCAACCTCAGAATCCTAATCGGCTCTTTTTCAAAGGTGAAATACAATTTAAGCACTATAGGCTTCAATCCATGAGCTCCGTCGCCACCAAGGATAGCCAGTCAAGTGATCTGTACGTAGGTTAAAGAGCCCCATAGAAGGGCATCAAATATCATTATCGCGTGCATGAGCCCCTAGAAAGTTGAAAATTGATAGTGGAATGTGTTTATAGTCAATTGAGCTTCATGGTGAAGTCTTGCTATACTGCACGTAGAAAGTAAAACTCTGCCAAGGATAACCTATCCCGCCTGTCCTATCAATCGCTCTTGTAATGCTCGAAATGACGAGCAGGAATCTTCTTCTCAAACATGATATCGAGCTCATGGAATGTCCTGCCCTTAGTACCTGGAACATCAAAGTAGACAGCCAGCATCATCAACAGTGTCATACCAAGGAAGACCCAACCGATATGACCGCCCATATTACCTTCATCCTTGTTGAACATGTACGGCAGCACAGTAACCCAAACAGTGCTGGTGATGGCCTGGAATCCGAAAGCGATACCTTGAGATTTGGCTCGCAGCCTGGAAGCAGACACTTCACCAGCCACAGCGAGACTGGAACCAATGGCTGGACCGTAAGCAAGAGAGAGGAATTGCATCACGATACCGATAGCCAACAGAGTCTTCTCGGACTGGGGACAGGCAGCTGCAACGCCCATGATCAGATAGATGAGAGCGCAGATGGTCATGCCGACGAACATCAATGGTCGATGTCGAAAGAGAGTCATCATGTAGATGTTGACCAATGAGGACAGGATAGAAACACCAAGACCGATCTGCATAATCTTGATGATCAAGCCACTACTCAAACCGGTCTGGCTGAGAAAGTACGGAGCGTTGGATGACAAGCTCGAACCAACAATCTGGGGCATGTACATGCAGATCAGAATAATCCTTGTACGGCGCCAATTGCTACCCTTGAAGCACTCTAGGAACGAAGCTTTCTCAGAAGATATCAGGCGCTCAGCTTCGACAGTCTCTTCCATGTGTCGGATACGAGCATCGAGATCTTCATCTTTGGAACAGAGTTTGGCGAGGTGCTTCAGAGCAAGATCGCGCTTGTTCTTCATGATGAGATAGTATGGAGACTCGGGAAGGAATGGGAGACCGAGGGCGAGGATTCCGGGGAAGACCCATGCAGCGGCGAATACGACTCGGAATGCGGATTCGTTCATGATCGTGACGCGAGCGTAGGTTGTGGAGATGGCGATGAGGAAACCGACGTTCTGGAGATACGTTAGCACAGTCACCCAAGCTGCCAGTCAACGGGGACATACCATCATAAGAATGTTGAGAGACAACGCAATACCACGCAAAGGCAGCGGCGTAACCTCAGAGACATAAGTCTGCGTGGTAGACTGGAACGCACCAACGGCAAAACCAGAGATGATCTTTGCCCCCATGAACTGAGCAGGTGTTTCAGCCAGATAAGCCAGAGTGATACCACAAGAAACGATGATTATGCCTGCGAGGAAGACGGCGCGTCGGCCGAGTTTGTCTTGGACGAAGCCGGCGGAGAGGGAACCGAAGAGCTGCATGATGTTGTAGGTGGCGTTCCAGAGGGATTGCCAGTATGCTGGGATGATGAGGTTGCCGTCGACGAGGCTGGCGAACTTCATCCTATACTCGTGTTAGTATGATCGATGGATGGTAATAGAGATTGAACTTACTGGAAAGCTGGGAGAGCGAGACAGACGGCCAGAGCAAGGTTCTCGTAGCCAACAAGAGTAGCTCCCACTGTTTCGCCAAGTCAGTACTCATCCACCGACATTCTCAACAGTTGCTATAAACTCACGGTTTGCATAAAGAGCCCAAAGAATGGCCTTTGGGTTCTTCTTCGCGCATTCCCAAGTCGTCATCTCATGATCCCTCACAGCAACAGCATCCTCAGCATGAGCAACCTCAGCCTTCTCAAGCCTCGCATCATTGTCAAAATCTTGCTGTGTCATCTTGACAGTAAGAGAAAAGAAAGAAGTGGTGATGTTGAATTGTCCACTGTAGAGTTTGTGGATGTTGAGATGAGAATACGAAAAACCGTGGACTGAAGCGCCCCTTTAATACGGCCAACTGGGGATGTAACCTGGTTGGAGATTTCGCATCTGAGATTGCCCTTAGTGAGGTCTGGGCTCTTCTCGTGCGGGGTCCCCGCGATCTGGAGACAGGTCGGGTTTTCCGGGGTGGACTAGGATGTCCCGATTATGGTCGGTCATCGGGGTAATTGTGAACACTCGCTGTATCACAAACCGAATGAAACACGCAGACTTTTCTTGTTTAAGCTTTTATTAAGCTTAAGGTGACCTCTATCAAGCAATTGTGCGCCCTGGATAAACTTGCAGCGATATCAGAATCCTTGTCCGGCGAGCCAACATGGAGAATTCACGGGAGACCCGAAATACACCAAAGTTCGTCACCCCAAAACGAATCTTGCGAACTTCGGAAAATGTGATAAACGGGAACGAAATATGGTCTTTTACCTTGAGCAATGGTGACTTCGACGACAAGGCTGAAGTCATCTTTGACTACGGTCGCTGTGAGGGCGGTTTCCCCGTCTTCACCATTGCGTCTACGTCAGCGCCCGAAGGACAGCAACAAGTCGCGTTCCAGGTCACCTACAGCGAGACTATACAGGGAATTGACAATGAGAATGGTACAGTTACTTTCCGCTACGTAGCTACTAGTGAGCCAATGCTAACTGTTACAGGCGATGGCCCATTCTTCTTATTCTCCAACGCGATGGACAGCTATCGAGTCTGCCAACACCACGCCACTGTCACCAATGATACTCAAACTGTGAAGCCTCGATTCACTCAAGCATCCCAGAGGTATCAAAAGATTACCTTGATCGACTCAAACACGAGCATCGTCTTCTCCAAGGTCGGCTTCCAAGCTGTGCGCCCTGATGCTCCAGTGAAAGCCAACTTCCACTGTTCTGACGAAACCATCAATCGCATCTGGAGAGATGGTGTTCGAACCGTTGACTTGTGCACCGTTTCTCCTGAAGAGACTGTTCCAGCCTGGGACGTTACTGATGAGGGCACTCGTGTTTACGGAAGCCATTGGGCTCCTTGTCGCCATGGCACGAGATGGTTGGATTACAAAGTCAGATTCAAGACCAAGATTGAAGATCATGGCGCGAGCTGGGCAGTCCGGATGATCACCAACGGCCTGATATTCTGCTTGGATACCAGGAGCAGAACGTTGACGGCTGTTGAGGGACTGTCCAACAAGTCATGCATCCTGCCCTCGTTCGAGAAAGGGTCATGGCAGCTGCCAGAGACTCTGGACCTATCGGGATGGTTGACCATCGAGACAGTCGCAGTCGAAGATCACGTTACAGTCACTATTGAAGGCCATGAGGTTGCTACTGTAAGAGACATCTATGTGAAGGCGATGCTTGGAAACAGCCTTGTTAATACCGGATCTGTGGCGTTTGGTGGACCACCTGCTTGGGTTGCGCTCTACCGCGATCTATCAGTCACGGATCTCGGTGGCCTAGATCTCTACGAGAACTCACTGTTGCATGATGAAGCTGAGCGGACATACGGCGACTTTCAGGTCGGAACCAACAAACTCGCATGTATCATCGACGGTGCGAAACGAGACAGAGCTTCTTTTGGCGGTGATGCCTTTGTCACCGGTCGGTCGATTGCATACTCCACTGCTGACTTCGAGGTATGGAAAGGAACGATCCAGCTTCTGCTCAGTCATCAGACCAAGGACGGGTATCTTGGCAACCTGTGTCCTATCCAGGCTCCAGAGCACGATGGTGCAGATGATCCGCCATACTATGGCCACTACTCTCTGACATATGCACTGCTACTGGTAGTCTCAATCAAGGACTACTGGCTGCACTCGGGCGATTGGTATCTCGTGAAGAAGTCATACGGCCAACTTCAACGACAGATGGAGTTTACCAAGGGGTTCTTGAACTCTGATGGGTTGGTGCAAGCACCGCCGTATCTCTCAAGTATGTTCTATTCCGGCATGTTGCTTTTTCATTTACTAACAGTGAACAGTGACGTGGTTCCCAATGGGCGGGCCTGTTTTCGGTGTTTCAACGGGTGTGAACCTTGCATATTTGGATGCCCTGAACGCCATGGCATCAATGTCTCCGGACAGCAAGACTGCGTCTGAGTATTCCCATCAAGCAGTGAATCTAAAGCAGGCGTTGATCCATATGCTCTGGAATAACGAGCAAGGCACCATGCGACCTGCTCTGTCTCTAGACCCTGATGGAGTCTTCCAAGACGTCAACGCCTACGCAGCCACCTTGGGTGTATCCACAGATCATCCAAATGTGGTAGAAGGCATTTTTCCAGCCAGTGAATCCTTACCATTCGCATTCCGCGGTCTTGATAAATGGGATAAATTTGCTTTGACTAGTCCCTACGCATCTGGGTTTGCACTAGAAGCCCTCTTGGCCAAGAATGAAGGCATCAAGGCAAGAGAGCTATTATCCCAGGTATGGGGCGTCATGGCAGACCAAGATAGTCCAAACTACTCTGGTGCTCACTGGGAAGCTATGAAGACTGACGGTTCACCTTTTAATCATGACGTATCGCTGGCTCATGGATGGTCTTCGTGGCCAGTCTTTCTGCTACCAAGATATCTTGCTGGTGTTTATCCTCTTGAGGCGGGCTGGAAGAGAATTGGCGTCGAGCCTGTTCTTGCAGGTTTGGAAGAGGTGAGATATTCACTTGAGACACCCCAAGGCCATCTCTCCGTTGTAGTGCATATCAATGAAGAGGGGGGCAAAGGCAGTGTCAAGATCGTGGTGCCTCAGGGTAGTACAGCCGTAGTCAGGCCCCCGAAGAGTTGGGTTTTGGAGAATGATGCTGTCATTCAAGGCTCTGGGACACAAGTATCGGTAAAGCTGTCAAAGTACGGTTTATAGTAGTGTTACAGCAAGGATGATAGATGTTTCTACCGTTTTTTCATATTGATCCCATTTGATTCGCCACAAACGTTTTAACGTCTTGACCAACTCAGTGTTCACTGTCTCCAGACCTCAGTGTACATCCAACTGTATCATTTCAATCACCATCGTTCACAAGCATACTCTTTCGAACCCATGAGTATCAGCTAATCCAACTGCCAGCAAGCGCACGAATTGCGCTGCAAAGGGAACAAGCTCACAAGATCCGGCTCCGCATGATTGAAAATAGTGCTGTGGATCATAACGACCGGAAAACCCGAGTATGGGGCGGACGCATGAGTGCCTCCCCCAACCCTTCTGTGGAACACGTCTAGACCTGGCTTCTCGGAGTGGCAAAAGCGCCACCAGAGACAAGCGCAGTCATATATACACACTCTTAGCACCACCACCGGACACGGTATACACAGTCAAGACAATTGCGTTTAGGAATTATGGATGTCCAAGCTACTCTCAAGACTCTATCTCTGCAAGAAAAAGTCAGGCTACTGTCTGGTACGCCAGATGACTTCGTCTCAATCGCAGGCATCCCTGAAAAGGGCATTGCACCACTCAAGGTGAGGTTCACAAACTTCATTCTACCCTGGTGAATACTAACACCCTCGCTAGACAGCTGATTCGATCAGTGGAATACGCCCCAGTGAATTCAACAGTACACTGACAACAGCATGCTTTCCCAACACAGCCTGCATAGCCTCAACATGGAACACAGAGCTCTTGGAGAAGATGGGCGCTGAGCTTACTCGCCAAGCCAAGATCAAGCATGCGCAGATGATCCTCGGGCCGACTATTAACATCCAGAGAGATCCTCGCGCTGGACGCAACTTTGAGTGCTTCAGTGAAGATCCGCTACTCTCGGGATTCATGGCTGCGGCTATTGTGAATGGTATCCAAAGTAAAGGCTATGGAGCCTGTGCGAAGCACTTTGTTTGCAATGACTCTGAGACTCAAAGAAGGTATTATAATGTTGATGAGTCTCCGAATGGAAGGGCGTTGAGGGAGATTTATCTCGCTGCTTGGTCGTTCCTCTTAAGAAAGTCGAACCCTGCTGGCGTCATGACAGCGTGAGTACCACTGATATCATTTATAATGCTAGTGCTAACATATTGTGAAGATACAACAAGGTCAATGGAGCTTTCTGCTGCGACAGTGAAACTCTTATCGAGGACATTCTTAGAAAGGAATGGGGCTACAAAGGCATCGTCATGTCAGATTGGTTCGGCACTCGCTCTACCGTAGCGGCCATGAAGGCTGGCGTTGATGTTGAGATGCCCGTTCCTGTCTTTAGGGGCGAGAGGCTCATCAAAGCTGTAACGTCTGGTGAGATCAGCGAAGAGGTTATTGACGCCAGCGTCTCACGGCTTCTCGACCTCCGTAACCGCACACAAGCGGCACAGAGCGAAGGACCGGAGAAATCGGAGATCATCCAGGAGACCAACGACATTGCACGCAAACTGGCTCAAGAAGGTATCGTTCTTCTCAAGAATGAGAACCAAACACTTCCGCTCCCAGCAGCTACTGGTTTGAGGATTGGCGTTGTTGGCGAGTACGCCAAGAAGGCTGTCTTCACTGGCGGTGGCAGTGCATCATGCAACCCCCAATATCGCCAAGTTCCACTCGATCTCTTGCGTGAAGCATTGTCGAATGAGCATACAGTGTCATATGCAAGCGGTGTTCGTATGCGCCGTATCATTCCGACTGTACCAACGGAGATAGTGATGACGGACAAGGGCAAGAAGGGCATCGAGGTGGCTTACCACAACTCTGGTCAAGATGAGCCAGTTCTCGTTGAGACTTTGGAAGACGCTGCTATCAATCTGATGGCCCAGGGAAAGCCGGGGCTCAAGACACCTGACTCTCATGTGAAGATGACTACCAACCTTGTCCCTGAGACTACCGGGACACATACTCTTGCAGTGCGGCACTCGGGCTCTTTCACGGTTGAGGTTGATGGCATATGTGTTCTCAAGGGCGGTGCACCAGACATTACAACCGAGCAATTCCTCTTCAATCTGATCAAGCTTGAGTCTCGAATAGAATTGCCGATGGAAGCAGGAAAGTCATACCACATCTCTGTCACCATGCAATCCAGAGAATCTGTTGTTGGCGAACCTACTCCATATGGCCTTACCCTTTCATTTGAGGAAGAATACTCCGAAGAGCAGGCCATATTTGATGCCATCGAAGTTGCGAAGACATCTGACATCACCATCATTTACGCCGGTCGTAGCGAACAGTACGAGTCTGAAGGGTTTGACCTGGACGAGATCACTCTTCCTGCCAACCAAGTTGCCATGATCAAGGCTGTCGCTGCTGCTTCGAAGAAAACAGCTGTTCTTCTGCACTGCGGTAACCCCATTGACATCAGTAGCTTCGTTGATGATGTTGATGCTGTTGTGAATATGCACTTCCCTGGTCAAGAAGGACCTCAGGCTATGGTTGACATCTTGACTGGAAAGGTGAATCCTAGTGGGAGGTTGACGGCGACGTGGTTCAAGACACTACAAGACTGGCCCAGTTTTGGAAACTTCCCTGCTCAGAAGGACGAGGGTGGAGGCTTTACCATCAAGTATGCTGAGGGCTTGGAGATCGGATATCGAGGCCGGGTGCCGGAGAACCAAGTGCAGTTTCCCTTTGGTCATGGATTGTCTTACACTTCATTCTCGTACGACGGTCTCAACGCCAGATTGGACGCCTCCTCAAATCATTCAATTCTCACAATCAGCGTAAGTGTAACGAATACTGGCAGCATCGCTGGCAAAGAAGTGGTGCAGGTCTACATCTGCCCTCCTCAGAATGGAGCTGATTGGAGGCCAACTCGGGAGCTGAAGGGATTCACCAAGGTTCAACTATCGCCCGGTGAGACCAGAGAAGTGTTTGTGCAGATTGAGGTCGATACTTTCAACAGCCATTGGAGTGAGGATTCGCATGCTTGGGCGGTGGACGAAGGCGAGTATGGCGTGGAGGTTGGAGACCAATGTGCCACTCTTATGATTTAGACCAGATAGAAGTTAATAAATGTCCGTTGATTAGACTAATCCTTCACTATTTCTTAATGAAATCTTTGTAAACCACTAATGATTCACCCCTGAAATTACTATAAGCAGTCGTGATGCTAACATGAACACGTAATATTGATAGCATGCTTCCCCGCGGCCGATTCAAGCAGAGAGCGACGCTGCTCATGTTAACATACCAGAACGCAACTCAGGCAATGCTCAGATGAAATTGAAAATTTAATGCATCCGTTATGCTAGTTATCTATAGTTCTGCAACCTCCACCCCAAGGTCTTTACATACTTCCAGCAGTTTGGACTCTTCCCAGTCTCCAACGTCGTCAGGCAGCACGAATCCCGTAGCCGGAGATCCAGCATTCTGAACCACCTCCTCAATTCCTCTCCCATTGGCAAAGGTCCAGACACGGACATATTTACTGCCAAAGTCCAATGTAAAAGTCTCTCCTGCAGCAATGACCACCGTCTGACCCTCCCTGACTTCATTCCAAGAACTATTATCCCCAGACTTGATCTTCACCCTAAGAAGGCCTTCTTGAACGATGAAACAATGATCAATAGAGGCAAAGGTGAGCCATTTGCTCAGAGGTGACTTCCCATATACATTCGACGACTCAATACTCGACATTGAGAATTTTCCACCGGATTGGGACGCGAGAATGAAAGGTCTTGACATAACACCTCCCAGAAGCCATCTGGGTCCAGTATTGGCCCGTAGGAAATAGGCTTCACCAGGGCCAGCGAGTTGGTTCTCAGACTCTAACCACTCGCCAACCTCGGGTGGCTGGTAGTCACGCTTGAAATGAACGTCGAATCTGTCCTTGGCCGCCATCATCTTCTGCATGAGCATTGACTTGATGTCGCGATCATCAGTCTCCGGCACAAGAATGCCATTGTATGTCTCGCCGACATATCTAAAGAAGTCAACCCAGTCACCTGGTGCTACCAGACCCACGGTCTCGGTGTGAGGTCCCAGCAAGAGGGGATTATGGATAACATGCTAACCCCCTGTTAGTTGATAATACACAGCGATGTGACAAAGTTTCAGAACTTACAGGAGGGATATAAGCAAAGTCACCAGGACCCATGATTCGACACTTGTCACCACTCCATAGCTTCAAGAAACCCTTGGTGACCAGAAAGACATCATGAGCTTCCTCATGCCAGTGAAAGCCAGGGGCATCCGCTAAGACGGCACCACTGGTAAACACAGCCATGCCACCATTAGTCTGCTTTGATGAAGCGAGGATTCTGAAAACACCCTTGCTGCCAGGAATGCTAATGCGCTCTCCTTCGAGCTGGTCGATCATGTAGCTTGTCCTCTCATTGGGAGGAGATGTATGTAGGGGAACACTCATGGTGAATTAGGGATAGCGTGAACGCGAAAATTGTTGATGACTACTTGGAGAAAACTGCCAAGTATTGATGGATTGGTGAGGTTGGCTGGCAGGGCCCTCTACTCTTCTACTCCTCTGAGCTCCCACTTCCCGATCTCCACATCACGATACGGAGGCGCTGGAGAACCCCGCATCCTCCCCGGATTTTCCATCGCTACCCCTCAAACTAACTTCGGCCGCTGACGAAGCTCGACTTGGAGGTCCGGAAAAGCCGCAATTCCGACACGGGGTCCACGGCATCACCGGAACGTTGATTTACAGCGGCATATCGGAACCAAGGGAGTAGGGATCTTTTTACAGATACCCTTGATGGACAACAGATCTTTACTCACGCTTTATTGAGTGACAGCTTGTTTTGCACCGTAGTGATAGGAAATGAGTCCTCCAACTTCGTTTCGAGCTGTCTACAAGCAGCCGGGTGAACAAGAGATTGACGTTGATGTTTACCTGCCTTCTGTCGGGACTGACTCTACAAAATGTCCAGTCCGTAAGTTAAAACATCTTGCCGTCTATGTATCCATGCTAATTACCTTTAAGTAATTAACATCCATGGAGGGGCTTTTATGCTCGGGTCCTCCAAAATGGTCAACAAAGACCAGGTATCAGATTGCCTAAGTAGAGGATGGATCGTCTTGGCACCAAACCATCGCCTTTGTCCCCAAGTTAATCTCTTGGAAGGTCCAATGCAAGACTGTCGAGATCTCCTAGCTTGGGTTTACGACGGAGGTCTCGAAACACCTTTACGCAAAGCAAGCTCAACACTAGTACCGGATCTCGACCATGTGTTTGCCTTCGGTACCTCTTCTGGTGGGCATTTATCACTTTGTTTGGTAAGCGAACTGACTCGAGATCCGCGTTGTAAGTAACTGACGCTTATAGGGCTTTGGCGTTCCTCGTCCAGTTGCAGGAATCTACGATATGTATGGCCCTAGCAACTTTGCCGATGACTTCTGGACGACAAGACTTGAGGGCATGAAGCTACCACCAGGACTCAAAGACTCATTTATCAACAAGGTATTTGACGAAGACCCAGTTCCCATCACTGGAGGTGTCTCTCTCGAAGGTCAGGCAACTGGACCTCCAGACTTTAGCGACCCCCGCCAAGCATATGCCCTGACACAACTGGCGAACGGCACTGTCCTCGATGCCATCTTCCCTTCAAAAGACTGGAGCAAGGTCGACCCAGCACTAAACGTTGATTCTTCGTTTCCTCCAACCTTTATAGTCCATGGTGCTGCAGATACAAAAGTGCCGATTCATCTGAGTAGAAAGCTTTTTGATGTGCTGAAGCAGAACGGTGTTAACTGCTGTATGGTGGAGGTTCCTGGGGAGGAGCATACTTTTGCGGCGAAGATGGAGGTTGGATCTGTTACTTGGAATCTTCAGCGACAAGGCTTTGACTTCCTTGAGTCTTTGATTAAGTAGCTTATTGTGAATTCACTGTTTAATAGTAGTGCCCCTTTACTGGCTGGATTGTTGTTCGATAGTCGAAGCTTATCGTATCTCAATGAGTATATCCTGTCAACATGGTGAAAACTTTTAGTGAACCAAGCATATAGTCTGTTACAGGACGTTTATGAAGACAGATGTTCATACTATGTTCTTCTTCGGGTGTTCGCACTTTAATCCATCTTTCTGTGTTCTCTCCCATTTAAAGAGCCACTTCTGTCGCAAAGAAACGGTTGCTAATATAAGACACTCTGAATAATCTACATAGCCTTAACAAGCTATTCTGTGAAAGGATCACGCTTCACTGCATCTTCAACGACCTCAAACGCATCATACCCATAAAGCCAAGGCTGAACCTGCGGGCAAGTCCACCTGCTTGGGAACGGGCCTTTGAGTTCCTCAGCGCCGAGCTGAGACAGGAAGGTTTCATCGCGTGCCTCTTGAGCTGGTCCATCAGGCATATGGAATGATTCCCGCTACAAAAGAATAGAAAATTAGTTGTGTCTTTCACTGTTTCTGGATGATGGTACGGACCTGCTTGAAGGTTTCTCTCACGATGGCTTCTCCACGAGACTTGCGTAACCTTTCGTACATAGATAAGGCCTTTGGTAGTTGATGCTTCGACTTGACATGGCCTAGAAGCAAACCCAGAACTGCGCCGTCTTCCACGGCGGAGTTGGCACCTTGGGCTAGGTATGGGAGCATCGGATGACAGGCATCACCACTGGAAGCAAGATGTCAGCAGGATGTTTCGTGTGGCGGCGACAAGAAAGAATTACTTACACGAAGACGAAATTTGAGTCGTCGTTGATCCATGAATCAAGCTCTTCTCCTGCAAACATGTCAGCTCAGAGGATACGGACATCAAGGCGTAACTTACTGTGCATCAGTTTCCACTTGTCGACCTTATCGACCTGACTGAGAAATCTTGCCAGAATTGGATCCCAGTCGTTGAACAACTCTCGCATCTCCTCCACTGATCCAGCCTGTCGACTAACGTCCGATGGAAGATCGTCAGGAACAAGAAGTACAACGTTGTACATCTGTCCGCCACGCATGGAATACCCAACAGCATGAGCACCTGGACCGATCCAGAAGTGTACCGTCGGGTGCTCAACCCATTCCCGTAGCTCAGGATCGTGGATATCCTTCGCGTCCAGGACAACCCTGTATGCTAGATCCCCAGTGGGCATAGGCTTGTCCTCGCTTCCAAGAAACTTGGAACGGCATTTAGACCAGAGTCCGTCCGCTGCAACGATCAAGTCGCCGGTGTATCTAGCCCCAGCCTCGGTGCTGACCTCGGGAATGCTGAAGTCAATGTCCTGCACTCTATCACCGAGCTTAAACTGGACACCCAGTTCCTTGGCCTTGTCGTAGAGCGCAAGCTGGAGGTCTACGCGGTGGAGATCGATGAATGGGGCGCCGTACTTCTTGCGGATATGCTTGTGGAAGTCGGGTTCTATGGCGAGCGTTCGGCCAGAGTAGCGATGGACGACGAGCGACGTGGGTTCAGCGGCCGATTGCCACAGTCTGTCGGGGAGATCCCATTTTTGGAGGATGCGTGTGCAGTTGGGGGTGACTTGTAGACCAGCACCGACCTGGAAGGTTTATCAGTCTTTGTCTTGGTAGTAGTGTGTAATTGCGGAGTTGTATACCTCGAGTAGTTCTTTTGCCGACTCTAAAACTGTGACATTGTGTCCTGAAAGAGAAATGGAGATCGCTGCTGCAAGACCCGCAAGACCAGCGCCGACAACAACTACATTTAAGCTGGCATCATCATGCGCTTGACTGGGTTGCTGTCAACGTGGAGTATTAGCTAATGTTACAAACGTCAGAGGGTCTGTCGACTTACAGTGGAACTTGGCATTTTGATTGAGATATGATGATCAACTATAGGTCTCGTGATAAAAGAGAAATTAGGAGAGCATGCAGCTGGCTTCGCCGCGTTACTACATATATGAAACTGACACTCGGAACGTGATGGATGTAGGGTAGTTGGGAGCTCCCTCGGAACAGCCGAGGTCACATTGGCCATGCCCGGCTTTTCCGCAGCTTGAGAGCCTCCAGGCTAGCCATGTTCGGTTTAGACAGAAACCTTCGCAGCCAATGAAACCTCCAGCGCAGGTTTCGCCCAGCTTCGCGTTCGCGTTACCCCAGATTTGCCTCCAAGTTCGAAATTTCCGTCCATCTGGGGTCTCCGCACTCAGGTCTCAACGCTTCGACATTCTGGGGTCTCCATATCGAAGACTTGTGCATATTTTCAGAACCTAGTGCTGCTGATACTCTTGACATGGATGAATCAATAGATTCCCAGGTTCCTCAGGTGAACAGACCTGCAGCGCAGCGCCCCAGGCGGCCAAGAGCTGCCCGCGCGTGCGACCTTTGTCGATCCAAGAAATACAAGTGCGACGAATCTTACCCCTGTTCATATTGCCAAAGTCAGTATCTCAAGCTCAAATGTCGAGATAAGATATTATGACTGACTGTTTGAAGGCCGCAATGTCGAATGTGTGTACAAAGGCCAGGACATGTCGCGCATGCGCATGACATCAAGGTAATATCTGCCTGCAGCATCTCAGTTCTGCTCTTGGCTCACTAGTGCGACCATAGCTATGTAAGACAATTGGAAGAGCAGGTCAAGAGCCTCTCTAGCATTGTGGAGAACTATGAGAAGGCAGCGACCGATGGGCCAAGCAATAGTCCTGAAGGGATAGTGATGAATGCCTCGTCTTTACCAATAGCTCAGCATCCAACGGTAATGGAGGCCTTCCCTACACCGAATAGCATTTCATCATGGCATACGAGAGAACAAGAGGTCTCTGGTATGAATACTCACACGAGAGATGTCGAATTCTACGGTAGCTCTTCATCCGTTGCTCTTCTGTCTCATGTCCGGCGAACTGGTGAGGAAGACAATGATGATGATGATGCTGGTGCACTTCTCTCGTCGTTGCACAATCCTCACTTCGACGCAAGCGGATCCCAGGATACGCAGCGAGGGAGAAGGAGTACTGAAGAGTCTGATCACTCACCTTGGTACCTCCAATGTCGCAACTTTATAGACGGCTTCTTCTCCGCGATTCACTACATTCACCCGATCTTGGACAAGACTTCGTTCGTGCAACGCTGTGAGTCCTTGTGGGCGGGTGAAGGACCGGAAAACAAGAGGATCACGAGTTTTGTTGCTTTGTACTATAGCATCCTCTCGATCGGTGCATTGGTCGGGACGAGAGAGGACGAGCTTATCGATGGAATGACCAATCTGGCCTGGAGCCGGAAGTTCTTTGATCGAGCTAAGGATTGCTGTAACAGGCTGGGGATGGTAACTGACCTTGACATGGTCCAGTGCTATTTTATCCTGGTAGGTCAAGTAGTGACTCTCAGCTGAACGAAACTGATGATTACAGGCCAAAGTCTGTCAGAACGAACTGCATCCCCATTGTCAGTCAGCCATGGTCACGTCTGTGATTGAGATGTACTAACCTCTATTAGTGTCATACATGTATGTTGGCCTTGCCATAAGAACTGCTTTGGCAATGGGCATCAATCGTGAGCCGGGACCCAATAGCAAGAAGCCGCCATCTTTACTGAGAGCAGAGACACGGACGTGGTGGTATGTCAATCCCTCTACTTTGACCTAGCATGAATGAGTTGCTGACGCCCTACAACAGGGGTCTTTACTCTTTGGAGACGTAAGTATCTCTTGACCTACCACTCTTTTGCTGTCACCAACCTAAAATTGTTGAAGTGAAATGTCTTTCGCAATGGGCCGACCAGATACTCTAGGAGCCGACCTCTATCACAATCGACGATTCCCACGTATTAGTAACGGCCAAAGCGAAACCGGGATGGATTCTGAGATGGCCGAACATCCTTGTTGCGCCATCATCGAGCACATGGTGCATTTCTCCAAAATCACAAGGAACATCTGCCTCAGTATTTACCTGCCCGAAACGACGATACCGATGATGGTGGCGATGGCTGGTCAAATTGAGAGGGATCTAGAGGCCTGGACACAAAAGCTTCCCGAGGCTATACGGCCAATGGGATCGTCAACTCAGGTACCGTCCCTGAGAGGGGTCAGGGATGTTCAGTGGGTGAAGCGACAAAGACTTGTACTAAATTTGCGTAAGTGTACTCCGAAGCGATTCCGAAATGCAATACTAATGATGGTTGCAGGATATCACAACCTGAGAATCCTCCTCTTCGGATCCTTCCTCTTGAGGTCAACGGCACAGGAGAGAGCGACTATGAGTGACACAAAAATCGGCATCCAAAAGTGCCTTGAGTCAGCAAAGCAAACTATTGAGACCATCTATCAGACTTACCAACACAGCGACTTCTTCCGAACATGGTATGTTGCATCAAGCATTAAAAGTACAATTTTCTGATGGACGTGCAGGTTCTACAACACAACATATACCGTATTTGCTGCCAGTATTATACTGGTATACATGACCCAAGAAGCAGTTGAAAGTGAAATGCAACCACTCCTTCGCCTAGTCGATATGGCGATCGAGATCCTCATGATCATGGATGAGTGCGTCGTTGCGCTACAAGCGGCAAAGCTACTACAAGGAGCTAGGGAAAAGGCTACACAGAAGTCATCATCTCAAGCTGTAGCGGCTGTAAATCCAGGGACGTCTTGGCCTGATGGAATGGTGTACTTGAATCACTACTGGGGACCTATGAATCTGCTGGATGGGGACTTGGATCAGAACCTCGACATGTCATCGATAGACTTTGATGCTGCGAGCCTGTTTATGTCGATGCCTCATTAGTTCAAGAAGAATACTATGTCTAATTGAGAACGACAGAGAGCATAGTAAGCAAATTAGAGTGACTGTTTGCAATAACTATGAGTATTTGCATATGTCATCGAAGACAGAAGTGAACTGGAGTAGACGAAGGTTTGTTACAGTTGACCTCGTATTGCACAGTCCATCACCGAATGAAAACAACCCAGTCTATACTTAAAACCCATGCACATTGCTGTCCTTGGTCCATCTTCTGAAAGTCTTTCCATAGAAGTAGAACACCGCTCCCAAGCCGCACCAGAGCACAGTGAGTCCCATGTTGGTCATGAAGACAGGAATGAATCTGCAGAAGTTGTTAGTGACGGACATTTCGAAGACCGCAAAATCATGACTTACCCTGACTTGATAGTCCATGGAGTGACGAACTTGCCCATTCCATATCCCCAAAGACTCTTATTGACAGTAATAGCAACGAAAAGCGATCCAGTGACTGGCTTATAGCAATCCACTGCGTATGTACTGGCAATACTTGGGAGGGCAGCAACCTGGATGCCAGCAGATGAGTAGCCAAGGACGGCAATGACTGGCCATGGCCAATGCCTTTCGTATCCGATTGAGGTGATCACATTGCCGAAGATCATAATGACGATGTAGGGGATCATCGCAGGGAGGCGCATCTCTGGTTCTCGGATACCGCCGTTTCGCGTGGTTGCTTTTGCAGAGACCCAATCGCTGAAGGGACCAGCTGTGACAAGTCCGATCAAGGCGCCGACAAGAATGGAGAAATTGAGGAAGCCTTGAAAGGTTAGTATATGTTACTGACTGAGCTGTTATAGAAACTTACCAATGGACTGAGAGCTCATGTTGTACGGAGGAGCTGCAAACACCTGAGACTGGGTAAGGTTGAGAATCAAGAAGTTACTGCAACTCCAGCTGACCACAAAGGAAGCAAAGAGAACAATAGGATAGACGAAGAGTCTCCATGGAGTCCAGATGTCGAGAAGGATGTTTTGGAGAGGCGCTGAGTTGGGTTGGAACAGTCGCCACTGCAACTTTGAAGGTGTTCCTTTGCCCAAATGTGCGTCTGTAGAGGGTTCACCCTGGGCTTGAGGTGTACCGACAGTCTTCTCAGCATCAGCATGGGAGTGCGACGGCTTGTCCTGAGTTGTATCAATAATCTCATTAACCCCACGCTCAGCCTCAATCGAGTCGACGCGTGCCCACTTCGTTTCAGGAAACCCAAATATGCCGAGCACGATGGAGAGAGCAGTAACAGCGACATTGAGCCACCAGAAGTTCTGCCATCCCGTGCGGTCTGCCATTGGACCAGCGATGATTGGCGCGATCATAAGTGAGCCCATGTAAACAACCCAGTATAGCGCGTTCCATGTTCCGCGATCGTGGAGGAAGAAGATATCGGCGATGACGGCGGGTTGAAGAATCTCAGAGGGTCCAGCTCCGATTCCGTTGAGACTGAAGATGTTAGCAAGACTTCGGGAGACTTTTGGCGGTAAACTTACACACAGGCTCCCATGAAGATGCCGTAGGTGGATGCTTTGGCACGAATGATGTGACAGGCGAGGCAGATCACCTGTGAAGCGATATATACAGGTCGACGACCGAAGGAGGTAGAGATAGGTGCCCTTCGAAAGTCAGTCATGGCATCTACACCTCAGTACTAGATACTCACCAGAAAAAGTTGCTGAATCCCAGAATCAGGATAGTAACGCCTGTAAACTGAATAACATCCTCAAGAGTACTGTTATAAGCACGAATCAAATCAGGAAACATAGGCGCAAGAGCCAGAGGCGCAAATCCCTGAGTGAACGTCATGGTAGAAACGCAAAATATGGCAGAGAACTTCCAGAAAGGCGACCAGTTTAGGGGATCGTGAGGATCTTGCGATGGTTGGGGAACGAGAACTTGATCAGACTCTTTGGCTCGGACATAGTGTTCTTTGCCAACGTCTGTCATGATCTCCGTTCCAGGGAGGACTTCGATGTGAAGTTCATCCTGGATGGTTTCACGTGCCTGTTGAAGTTAGAAGGAAGTTTTGTAGATGATAGAGGTTACTGGCCTCTTGAGTAGGCATTCTTGCGGTGGTGCAAGTGTTCAGGCTTGTGCGGTTTTGTAATTCTCGATATTCTGATCTACCAGTATACTCAACATGCCTTCGCTCGCTATTTATCCAATCTCATTTCAAGGTCCTTATCATCATCATAGCTTCGATGATTCCATCTCCAACATCTCCAAAAACCTCGGATGACTTAATTTAGTTAGTTCCCTCCTTTATCTGTATTAAGCTATGAGATCCAGCGCCCGTAAGGTCTCGGTACAGCTCATCGGCAAGTGGCCAGCAGGGATTCATGAGGGGGATCTCCTGGTAATCTAATTGCCATCGGCGTGATGGACCCGAATGAGATGGTTTACGGGGGAGATGGCGGGGTATTAGAGTTTGCGGAGTAGTTAGCGCCGGCAGTTAGTTACTCAGGTGAGGGCATACCATGCCAATCTGGTCACTGTTGATGCTAAGCGAGCTTTACTACTTGGATTCCATCCCAAGTTCTTTAATTATCTATGAAATAATTCCCTGTCGCGTTCTCATATAAACTCTTCGCTGTTGTCAGTAATGAGTGCACAAGTTCAACTTGCCAGGAACCTCGGAAGTAAATTTCTCATCTGCGGCTGATGCTGCAAGAACGCTCTGGACTCACATGCTAACCATGCTATGGAAAGGGGCTGTCCATTTTCAGAATAGCCTTTAAGGTTGCATCCTCAGATCGGCCATCCCACATTCTAAGATCTTAGTCTATCTCGGATACCCTCCATAAGCAATGCGTAAGCAGCGTCATCAAGCCCAACCGCCTCTTCCTGTTGTGTCCAGTCCAGTCCATCTCGGCTCGAAAAACTTCTCATATCGTTAGCTCCAACCCAACTGCTATAACTCGGGCAAATGCTATATGCAGTGTATTGCATCCATGCCCATCGCTCTTATACCAATCCTACTCCAGGCAGATATTTATCCAGCCGAAAGTCTTTCGGTTCCTCAGGGTCGTGTCGGTAAGGCTTGCAGGGGCGTTCACCAAAGCTTTCTGGTTCGGGACATGCGAAGGTTCTGTGCCTATTGTCGGTGGAAAGCCACTCTACGTTCTCTTAATCGATATCCGCGTACTCGTCCTGTTGCAGGATAGCCTTTGTGGTAAGGAATTCGTAGCTCCAATCATTCCTTCCCATGACAAATTTCTTAAGACCTCTCATGCTATTTTTCCATCCTGACAGCACGTGGTGCCACTTTATGCTGTTCTCGAAAATGGATGTGTTCTTGTTCTGTCCTACGCCGTACATAGCGGTCCCTGGGACTGGATATCCACCTATTGTCAGAGGCCCATATTGTCCGGCTTTATGCAAGATCGGGCAGTCGTCAAGATAAAGCTCTTCCAGGCCACCACTCCTATTGCTTCTCTTCAGAGACGCTATCCAGTTAGTCTCTCGTTCATTAGTGAAGATATAGGACCCAAGAGCCAGAACCTTCAGGTATGGCGACGCTCCAATCTGCGAAAGATACATTCTGGGAAACCATCCCCTGTAATGGGAGTAGAATAATGATAGTACTTGTAAGTTTTCAACCACGCTGGGCGACAGCCATTGTGAAGGTAAGACTTGGAAGAACTCGTGCATTTCGTTATGAAAAGTATTTTCACCCAAGAAATCAAAGTCTTTTTGAACCAGAATTTTCAGGTCGATCAAGGTTGGTAGACGGATGAGCTTGTTTCAAGCCTCCGATTTGATTAGTTTGGGGTCAATAGAGTCGGCAAGGTTCGAGATGGTAAGCTCGTCGATCCTTATGCCATTCCTGGAAGACAGGGCTAGGTCATCGCGTGCGTCCGCGAGCTCAGAATCCTCTTTCTGTAATGTGTCGTAGATGTTGTTCTGATTCGTCTCTGTCCACGGTATCTCAATGCAGTGAGAAACGATGTCTATCTCCGCATTGTAGTTATAGTCCGATTGAAAGTATGGGCTGAATCTAAGATGAAGTCGACTCAGATTTCAAAAGAAGACTAGGTACTTAAGAGCGTTGGCAAGGTTTGGGCTTGTACGTAGAATTGTGGCGAGATCATTGGATATTCCGTTTGACTATTGGAGAATTATAAGACTGCTGGAAGGATAAATGAGCTGCTTCGATACGTCTCGTTGACACCTCAGACAACGTTTTCTCGGTAAATTTACGCTTGCTAAACATTTCGGCTCCCAACTACCCACGTCATCTTCTCCCTCATTGGTCTGAGAGTTGACGGAGACTGCTACACTTTAATTTTCCCAACTCAGAAAACACGTAAACCATAGCATATAGCGCCTCAGATTGAACAAGTAGGTAAGAAACCAGTTGGTCAGTACAACGGCTAGCAGATGAACAGTGTCGGCTCAGAGTCATATAGAGAGACATAACACAATTCATCTCCATTACCCTGTCAATTATTGCACTGGGACATAATAATGGCCTATGTGTTCTGATAAAGGGAGACCACCTAACTTAGGGTAGGCTCCAATCTTGAGTGTTGATTGGTTCGGAGTTACCCATCGCTCAGAGATAAGCTATCCCAGCGATAACCGAGTCGCCTAGTTCTCCGTTAGTTGACTAGCTCATATATAACACATTCCCCGCGTCCCCCAAACTTTCATCATCTGTAGATCATGTTCACTAGCTGCTGTTACAATGGAAGACACACGACCTACCAAACGCGCACGGCAAGCTTGCGAGCCATGTCGGTTAGTTTCTCATGTCATCTAGGTAGTCTCAATTTTAACAATGGTCACAGTCGCAAGAAGTCCAAGTGCCCTGGAGAAAAGCCCATATGCTCGTACTGCGAACGCCTCGGTCAGATTTGTGTATATGAATCAGGCTCTGATGGCCAAGGTCAAAGAGTTCGTTCGGATAGATCATTGGTGCGTTAACAACTGATAAGCCCATTTGTCAATCGCTGATATTGGTTGCTTGCAGGAGCTTCGCATGGAAACCCTTGAAGAGAAATTGGACTTGTTTATCGACCGTCTCGAGTAAGTGAAAGTTCTAAGTGTCATAGCATTATGATGTTTTAACGAATGAGCCTCAGTCCAGTGATCAACGATTCACGCCGGCGCTCAGCGTCGCAGCAGGGAGGAGGACATACACCGAGTTCCATGGTCGGTCAGGATGAGATGGCAGAAACTAGTGAGATTGTAGACCCAAGACAAGCGTCGGGGTAAGAAAGTCTTCTATCCTTAGAATGTAGCTGACGGAGCACTCCAGCCCATCATCACTCGTCGAGCCTAGAAGTGATGAACTAGCCTCTCTTTATCTATCCTGGCTCCATCGGCAACCTTTGGTCCTCTTCAACGCCGAAACATTTGCAGAGTCACTGCCGAGTAGAGAGACAGAGTTGATCTTGGTACTACAAGCATTATGTCTCCGATTTCCTCCTAGGCTATTGAGTCAACAATATCGCCAACGTCTCCATGCCATGGCACAAGCCTCGAGGGAAATCGCGATGAACAAGGTCTTCGGTAGCCGGGTCGACTGTTCCGTCTTGCAAACGCTATGTCTACTAAGTCTTTTTGAACATGCAGGTATGCTATTACAGAGCAATGACGTATTGGCCATGGCTGATTAGAACCAGAAGGAAATACTGTCCAAGCAGGCCTATATCTCAGTACTGCGATTGAGTTACTGAGCGGCATTCCGAAAGGGAGTTTTCTCAGCGAAGCTGTCGAGTTCAATAACTGCATCCGAAGTATATTCGTGCTTCATCACTTGCAGGGCAGTGTTTCCTCTAGTGTGTGGCCCACTGCCATGTCACACGGAGAGGACTCATCACTCGGAACAGCAGCGTGCTCGGCATGGTTGCTTCCGCCAGAGAAGTCAGTACCATGCGATATGGATCGAGGGATCATGAAGTATACCATGCCTCTTGCTCAAGTTTGGCGGGCAGTCAGAGTTTACGCTTCCCGCCGCGTTTTCTCGGACACCTTGCCCCCATGGAATCCGCGTTCCGATTACTCTCAGGTTACATATCGCCACCTCGAGATCGATTGTAGTGTACCACTCAAGTACCGGTTCTCTGCCAACCAAATCGACAAGCAGACACCTGAAACTTTGCAACAAAACAGAGGGTATTGGGGTCCCTACCTGTTCACCCAGTTCGTCTATGCTTCCATTCCTGTTATTCTCAATCACCCATTTCTTTTGTCAATGCGACTACGGAACTTCCGACATACCATGCCTCAGTCATTTGTCAATAGCTCCTTTGATGCGATTACTCGACACATCGGATGGATCATGTATCATCTTGAAATATTGGAAAAAATGGATTATCGAGTGTCTGATCCAACGTTGGCTCATATTATTGTGGTAGTTGCCACCATTCACCTGCAACATAGTTTCGTTGAAGACTTAACTCTACGAGAGAAAGCTCAGGTTGGATTTGAGAAATGCCTTGAGTTCTTGAGGTGCATGGGTCTGACATGGCATGCTGTCGCGGTCATGGTAAGTACTGTGAAGCGGTGTGGGGAAAAGATGGAGCACTAACTACTATTGAAGCATGAGAATCTACGAAAGCTGCAACAGAGCATACAAGTTGTACCTCTAGCCAGCGAAGAGCCTGGGCTGGGAAGACCAACACAGCAAAAGTTCACCATCGATACGAGACTTCTCTGGGATATACTGTCTTATGAGCAAGCTGGTAGGCCGGATGCACGCGCCGATGAGTCTGTTTACAGCGGCCTAGCATCGACCCACCAGGACACGGGAAGAGGCGGTAAGGAACCTGGCGAAGGCTATGATTTGGTCGGATCAGCTGGTATTATTGGGCACAAGACTGTTCCAAAGGACACGCCACTATACGCTCCGGGTGAGGGTGAAATGAGCCACCCTATAAGAGGCCGTGTTCCATCTGATGCTTCGGGATTGCTAGGATCTCTCCAACAGAATATTCAGGAGGGGTTTGGATCGGCTATGGAACCGGATAACATATTTCCGCAAGTGCACGACTTTGGAAGGGCTATTGATGAGTGGCTTAGCCTTGAGTGGGGAAACACAATGCTTTGATGTATTGAGGCAGGCATCACATTCTCTGTACAGGTGTCATATGCGTTTAATTAAAATTGGTAACTGGGTCCTAATATCACCACATGGAACTATCCGACCCAGCACATGCTTCTAACTTATTGCAGAAGTCAATATCGTCCTGTCCATTCCCTGACTGCCCATTCTTCGGTGCCGCTGGCCAGACTTCATGTCCTTCATGCCCTTCCTGCTGATGGTGTTCCATGACGAGTTTCCTCGTAGTTTCCTGGAAGAACAGGGGGCCCTAATAAAAAAGGACAATCTCATTAGCAAAGAAAGTATAGATACAAGGGCTGACTCGTACCTTTTCTACTCGAGGATGAAGTTCGCCATTGACAAAAATACCAGCGTTCAGGTTTTTCTGCGCCGCATTGCAGAGATCCTTGTCTTCTTTGAGGATTTGCTTGAAGCAGTTGCTGATCTCATTAAAATCTTCGTCTGAAGCACTGTTGCTTCTGTAGACTTCGTATTCCATCTTAGTTTGCGATGCGGAAATGGGGATGCAGCGCATGATGTAGAAGAAGGTAGGGCTAAACATTAGGAACTGGTTGCAATCGAGGAGTATTTATCTGCTTACGAGATCGTGATGGATGCATTGGGATAGTAGAAAGTACTGTAGATACCCATGCCATCTTTATCGGGCTTGTCGACATTGAAGTGCTGTATATGACCACCAGATGTCTCAACCCAGTATTTTGACAGGTCAGTGAGGGCATTGAGTGCGGGATGTCCAGTTGGACAGTGGTAGCACTGATATCATTGTCTCAGCGCCAGTTAAATGGGAAGGGTTGAAAGGACTCACTTCGTTGTAATTATCTGCTAAGGTCTTCCAGTTGTAGTCCCCAATCATCTCCCACTGATGGTCGAAGTGATAGGCCGCCATGTCGAATGGCTGAAGACGTGGTTGAGTGTCAACGCCAGCAAAGTCGTCGTCCCAAGCGACAGTGGGGGTAGCACTGGCGTCCATATTGACCCAGATGAATCCGAGCTTATCGATATGCACATGTATTGGGTATAGATTGTTGGTTGACTTGTCGAATGATGGAACCTCTTGGTATTTTGGAGCCTTGGCCAATTTACCATCGAGTCCATAAGACCAGCCTTACAACTTTCAACATCTTCGTAGACACGAGTTGGGTGATCTACTTACCATGATACTTGCAAGATAGAATATTGACTCGTCCTGCATCTTGCTCTACCAGCGGAAATGCCCGATGTCGACAGACATTGTGATGGGCCCTGATCTCGCCTTGACGGTCTTTGATCAAGAAGAAGGTAAAGCCAGCCTGGGTGATACGCAGGAAATCACCAACTTCGGCGAATCTTGCCTGGTGTGATACGGCTATCCATTTCTTGGAAAAGATGGCTCGTCGTTCCAGTTCATACATGGCCGAGGAGCGATACCATGACGCGGGCAATGCCCGGGTAGTTTGAGGCTCAACCTCCTTCGTTGTACCGAAACTGAACCAGCGACTCATTGTGGTTTGAGATAAGAACTGATCCTAGGATTGAAGAAGTCTGGTGATAAATTGCCAGAACGGGGGTTAACCTTGGATGTTAACTAGACTATCCTGTCGTGCATGATAAGATTCGTCTCTGAATGCAAGCCTCTAGTCCGGCCCTTATACCCTTCTAACTATCATGCATGATACGTCTTTCTCTCTAGCATGACCCAACACCCATTTTTTACTCCGCACTCTCCATCCATCAATAGCTCCTAACTTCCACTTGGTACACTTCCCATTGAGCCAATAAGACAAGCGCCAATCACGATTTCTCACATCATGTTGGGATCACGGCCCGCTTCCGTACCCACAGCATCTGACCTTGTGATACGGCCTTATCTCGACGCTAAACTGTTTCTATCTAGCGACGTTGTTGTTATTCTCCGTACCCACCAGATCCGGGCCGCTTCCGGCTTTGTGGGCGTTCTTGTGAGAATGCCATGATAAGCAGTGGCCTATGAAGATGGGTTATTGAAGTGAGTTAAATTCGAAGTTATGATATTGCGGGCATAGTTATTTTGAGAACTCATAATACTAGTCCCACTCGGAAATTTTGAGTTGTCCACGAAATTTGACCTCTCAAGCTCGAAAATACAGTAATCATGTCCGCCGAGCAACAGCAAAAGCCAAAGCAGATCCGATGCACCATTATCGGAGCCGGGTAAGTATAATTCGTACCCTTAGAGGAATGGTTTTGGCTGATGCTTCCAATCAGGGTATCTGGTATTCTGATGGGTAAGGTCTTATCCGTTTCATTCACTGAAGGACTACGCTGACAACACCTAGCATACAAGCTGAAACGCCATCTCAATGACTACGTTACCTTTCAGATCTTCGAAAAGTCACCAGACCTTGGTGGTACGTGGTTTGAGAACAAATATCCCGGCTGCGCCTGTGACGTCCCGAGTCATTGCTATCAATATTCCTTTGCTCCAAACCCTTCATGGTCAAAATTGTGAGTTGTCAGCAGTCTAATCAGTGTTCATTGTTAATGATGCGAAGTTACGCATCATCTGATGAGATACAGGGCTATCTGAAGGGAGTTGCTAAGCACTTCGACCTTGAGCGATACATCTCCTTCAACACCAAGGTGGTCTCAGCACGATGGTCTGAAAGGGACAGTACCTGGACTGCACAGTTGGAAGATGGCTCTCTTGTGACATCAGAAATTATGGTCAATGCTGGCGGCATACTCAATCACCCACAAATTCCCAACATTGAGGGGCTGTCGGACTTTACCGGTCCCTTACTGCATACAGCATCCTGGGACCATTCGATTGACCTACGAGGTAAACGTGTCGGCGTGATTGGCGCAGGAGCCAGTTCGATTCAATTAGTTCCCTCGATACAGCCTCTGGTCCAAGACATGAAGGTATTTATCCGTACACCTTCCTGGATTGCACCGCCAGTGGCTCTGCCCGACCCCAATGCTACGAACTACACCTACAGCACAGAAGAGAAGGCTATTTTCGAGGCAAACAAGGATATGTATCTCGATACCAGAAAGGGATTGGAAGATCAGTTCAACGGAATGTTCCGAATCTTCCTCAAATTGAGCCCAGAGCAGAAGAGGACACGCGCCATGTTTGAATCCCGCATGAAACAGCTGATCCCTGACAAAGACCTGCAAAACAAGCTGATACCTCCATTTGAGGCAGGATGCAGAAGAATCAACCCGGGAGAGGGTTTTCTTACTGCTCTTCAAAAGCCGAATGTTGAACCAGTGTTCGACTCGATTAAAAGAGTGACACAAGGTGGTATTGTGGCTGGTAGTAAGGAATATCCAGTAGATGTGCTAGTGGCAGCTACAGGATTCAACACGACCTTCAGACCTCGTTTTCCTATAATTGGTCGCAATGGTGTCAACCTCCAAGATGCATGGCAAGAACACCCTGAATCTTATCTGGGCCTCGGTGTTGCGGGATTTCCCAATTACCTCATCTTCTTGGGACCGAACACTCCAATCTCCAATGGAAGCTTGATGGGTAAGTAAATGGGTTGTCGCCATTGGTAATAGTTATACTGACCTCTGAAGGTTCTGTGGAAGCGACTGCCGATCATTTCATTCGTCTTCTTCACAAAATGATTCGCCAGCGCGTCAAGTCCTTCGAAGTACGCATTGATGCTCAAAATGACTTCAATACTCACACGCAGAAGGTCATGCAGGATATGGTGTGGACTGGAACATGTCGCAGTTGGTGTAAGTCATTTCCGTCTGTCACCGTGGTATTAGCTGGTTGACCATCTTGCAGACAAACAGGGCACAAACGGAAAGGTAACTGGACTCTGGCCAGGCAGCTCTCTCCATTATATTCAGGTTCTCGCTGAAGATCGCTGGGAGGATTATGAGTGGACACATGAATCGGAGAGGTACAGCTACTGGGGTCATGGACTGTCATGGATTGAGGAGCCAGATCTTGATCCGTTGGGCGCAACTAAGCAGGACATGATTGAATCGATGACGACTTTGCCAAAGAAGGACTCTGACTTGAGCTTCTATCTGTGGGAGAGCAGTCCTCTGCCTGAAACTTGTTTTGCAGATGGGCACTCAGAGGAGAGAGTCCAGGATGGCGGCGACTTGGCATGGAGGAAGGTCTTGCATGCCACTACGGCTTCAGATGTCGATAAACATGCCGCAGTAGCTTGCATCACGGTACCTGTTTAGAAAAATGATAGATCTTTATAACGAGAAGTCACGCTTTAAACAGATTGAAGTCCGGGGCCAATGTAGCGTAGTGAATATTTTCTAAAGTTTGCACAAGAACACATCGTGTTTGGTGGTGTTTTAAATGGTGATTTCTTCATTTGTCCGGAGACGGCGGAGAGTCAGACTTGGACGGTTTAGCATACGCGCTTTTCTCTTAAATATAAAAGCTTGTATCAGGGCTTGGTAAGACTAAATGTAAAGAGTAACACTGACCGAACTATCGTGGTCAGTGACGGTAAAGACTACAGAGCCCTGTCAATTACGTATGACTTGAGGTACTGTCAACAGAGACTGTATTATATTACTATCTACAGCTTGGCGCGAGGAGCGTGTCTCCATAGCATCGGCAATGGTCCGTCGGGCCCATACACAGGATCATCTTCCGGTGTATCTACTTCGTCGATAGTGTCCAGAAACACAACCGAGGATTTCTTTCCCATCTCATTCCGCCACTTGGGACACCCCTACAGATCATCAATACTTTATCACAGACATGAAAGAAAAGCAAAACGTACCTTTGGATATACGCCGATGTACCTGTAATCCGAAGAGCTTTCCAGGGATGAATGGGCTGTTCCGGCGGGTAGGACGACAACATCCCCTGCCGTCACGGGGACTTCTACGCCCTTCCCCTTCTGAATCTTCCCTAATAAGAGTGTTGAAGAGCCCTGAAAGATACCTATAAATGATGATGAGAGTCATTTCTACCGAGGCATGATCGGGAAGCGACTTACCGTAGCACTCATGGCTGTTGGGATGGAAATGGCGAATGGCAATATGTCCCCAAGTTCCCTGAGCATAACTTAACACGCGACACCAAAAAGCGAAAACAATTACATACCCTTTTTTCCCAACGGTGCGTGGTCAGAAATCTTGTTGCTGTCTCTTCGGTTCTCGGCTGAGGTAGCACATCGCGGTAGACAAGGATCGGAAGTCGGCTGTTAGGTGCGTCGTCCGTCCGGGGAACAAGGTAACACTCAACGCTTGAGCTCATCATGGTAAAGTTAGCCGATCTGCATAGGAAACGCCAAACCAGCACTTGTCCCGCCATATAAGTTTAGATATTTTACCCCGCGTTTGCTGTTGATAGGAGATGTCCAGGATCACGGGCCGCTTCCGTGTTTGCGGGGTTGATTGGCATCAGCTGCTCGTCTTTTGGCTTGGAAGCTTATCTTAGATATGGAGAGGAGGCGGTCCGTGGTCCGGAGGCTTGTAACTTGCATTGGAATTGGAAAGGTTGGCTTGGTATCTCGTTAGTGTGTTGATAGGGAGAGAGGAGGCTTGCACGAATGGAAGAGCTGTGATTAGAAAGGACTTTGTAGATAAATCACGTCTCTGCATCGTAACAGACTCCACCAGTTTTCGAGATCTCAATCCACATTTTCCTCTTGGAGATTGTTACTCATTCCTCTACATTGATCCTTCCAAGCAGTCATCATGGCGACTCATCAGGACAACAACGATGCAGCATCCATTGATGAGAAGCAGGACGGCAAGATGTTCGAGACATCTCTCGACCACATTCCAAGTCATGCCAACGGAACAGTCGCAACTATCGACGGCATAGATCCTGCAACTCTGCATAACGATGAAGTAATCACCCAGGCGATACAGGCCATTGGTTTTGGCAAGTTCCAATGGCAACTGACTTTCTCATGTGGTTTCGGCTTCCTAGTAGATCAGGTCAATACTCTTACCAATCCATCTTTGAAGCCTGTGAACTGATAATGTAATCAGATGGTCCTTGTCTCGATCAGCCTTGTTACACCCCAAGCCGCCATGGAATTCGGTCCTCGATATGCGACTCTCCTATCTGCATCTTCGTATGCTGGCTTACTCGTCGGCGCTTTGTTTCTTGGTACACTCGCCGATAATTTCGGCCGCAGACTAGTTTGGCAGGCGTCTATATTCGGATGCTCTATCTTGACTACCATTGCAGCTTGTTCGCCTAGTTGGGCTGCCTTGAATGTCTTTGTGGCTTTGATTGGCCTGTTTGCTGGCGGAAACCGTGAGTCACCTATGAGCCTTCCCAGAGAGTGACGCCAAGATGTTTCTTGGTCTTGATACGACACTGGCTAATCTCTTACTTATCTAAAGTGGCTATCGACTTGACACTTCTGGCGGAAGCAATCCCTCAAGAATGGTCGTTCATCCTATCAAGTCTCGCAGGAATCTGGGGCCTTGGAAATGCTGTCACGGGCCTTATTGGTAAGTACCCGAACGCCTCGCTGTCACATTTACTGATCTTTCAAAGCCTGGCCGCTCCTTGTTAACTTCGGATGCCCCAGCGGCTCAGCCCCCGAGACCTGCAGCCGCGGCGAGAACATGGGCTGGCGGTATCTCTACATCACTCTTGGTGGGCTCTGTCTCGTCATGTCGCTCATCCGTGCTTTCGTCTTACGATCCCTCGAATCTCCACGATGGCTTGTCTCTTGTGGAAAGATGAACGAGGCCGCCGAGGTAATCAACCATATCAGCAGGATGAATAAGTCGAACTATCACGTCACTGGTGATAACTTCCTGCAGCCTGAACAAGAGAAAGCCGATGGTGAGGTACGGTCTTGGCGTGCGAATATTGATCGAGCGTCAAGACTCTTCTCTGGTGCTAAGCAGATACGCCTGATGATTGGTCTCATCATGATATGGGCTCTCATTGGCATTGCGTAAGTCTGACCCTACGAGCACAATTCCATATACCTAATAACAAACAGATACCCACTCTACACCATCTTCCTCCCTTACTACCTCGCAGCTCACGGAGCCAACTTTGGCGAAACCAGCAACTACATTACCTACCGCGACTGGACCGTTTCCTCAGTCGTCGGCATCTTCGGCCCCCTCCTCAGCACCATCCTCGTATCATCACGCTACTTCAAGTCCAAGCGCTCAATGCTCCTCACTGGTGTTATCTGCGCCGCTTTCTCCGGAGCTTTCACCTCAGCTAGAACAGCAGCACAAAACCTCGCATTCTCATGCATGATTAACTTCTCGCTTAATGCCCTTTATGCTATTGTTTACTCTTATACGCCCCAGGTTCTTCAGGTTCAGAATCGCGGTCTTGGTATGGGGTTGCTTATGGCGGTTGGGAGGATGGCGTCGCTTAGTGCGCCGTTCATTGCGACTTTTGCGGATGTTACGACTTCGGCACCGATTTGGGTCGCGTGTGCTTGTTTTTTGGCGATTGGACTTATTGCTATGGCTCTTCCGGCGGATACGAGACCTTATGTATCGAAGAAGAGCCACGAGTCTAGCGTTTGAGCGAGTATTGACAGGAGGTTGTAGTATTTGAGCTAGCTGCTACGGTATTGTGTTTATATCAGAGTGGGAACAGAAATTATGCTTCTTCTTCATCCCCAATAGTTCTTGATATCCTTCAAGTCCTCAGCCAACGCAACGGGATTATCAAGGCCCGGGAAGTGTCCACCAAACTCGTGATCTGAGTAATAGCATTAGACGAATAAAACAAACCCCTGGACGGAAAGAGCACTCACTTTTGTACGAAACAAGATTTCCAACTCGGCCAGCTAGTTCCGGGGGCCAAAACCCGACATTATACTTGAAAGCGCTGAAGAGCATTGGCGCATCAGTATTGGCCTTTGTGTAAGTCGTCATAAAGCCTGCAGGGTTTGAGTAGTATATGTATACGGATGACGCAAAGGTCTTGGTGAGGTGATACAATGCAACCGTCTTCAGCATTTCGTTATGGTCCAGAACAGATGGAGGGCTTCCGGCTCGTGGATCAGACCCTTATAAATATCAGCACTATTACCAGATATTATATGGCTTAGACTTACAGGCAATAAGCTTCTCTCCAATCCAGGATAATTGCCCAACTGGATTATCGTAGAGGGCGAGGCCGATAGTGTTTGGCTAAGAATCGGCCTTTAGAACGATACATTATAACTGGCATCTGAACTTACCTTTGTTAATTGCTCCATGAAATAAGCATTGCCAGTTGTAGCCCACTCTTCAGAGAGTTTAGCTTCGAATTCCTCAAGAGGTGACAATTTGATGTCCTCGGCGGCGAGCTGGGTTCTGTCCAAGGGGGTAAACGGAAGAAATGACAAATGAGCCAGCCGCACAGAAGTGTTGAAATTCGCATAAAGACTGTATGTAACACCGGATCCCCAGTCCGTTCCGTAAGCCGCGAACTTAGGGTATCCCAAAACTTTGGTCATAAGGATATTAAAGACCCTAGCGGTATCGTGAATGGTCCAGGTCGGCGGCGGTGCCGATGAGAATGCAAAGCCTGGAAGAGATGGTATGATGACATGAAAGTCATCCTTGAGCTTCTCGATCAATGGGATGAATTCTAGAAACGAGCCGGGCCATCCGTGGTTAAGAACCAAGGGGATAGCTTTGGGGTTATGGGACTTTTGGTGGATGAAGTGGATGGTTTGGTTCTCGATGTCAGCAGTGAAATGGTGGAACCTAGCAGTATTTTTGTCAGCATCAACAGTTGAGACCCGATTTTATGACCAAAAGCATACTTATTCAGCTTTCGCTGCTCAGCTTCCCAGTCGAAATTGTCGATCAACTCGTTCCTCAAGGATACCAAGGTTTGCAAGGGAATACCGGCATCTGGAGCGAGATAGTCGCCATTTGTTGGTAGATTCGTTCTCTTGGCTAGGTCAATCATATGAGGGACTCCATGAGAAAGGTTAATGGCGAACGGCTTCAGATCGAAGCTGCTGCCTTTGCCGTCTCGAGGCGTAGGGGTTGCGTCGACATGGAATAATGACGACGTGAGGAAAGCAATGCTAAGGAAGGACCTCATTGCGAATAAATGGTGAAAATGGTATATAATGCTCTATGTATAGAATGACTTATTTCCGTTTATATGCGACTGCGTTTCTTATTTATTCCTCTCCTAGTATATAGCTGCCGAAGAATTCCACGTCTAAGTAGAATGATTGTTTATAACATAATGCTCTCAAATCACTTGATTCAGTATTATAAATCTACCTTTTGATGATAAAGACGCAAGTAGCACCTTCTGGGTTATTGACCCGCAATTATTCTGCAGGTAATGTAACCTTCTGGATGTTTTGGTGGATATGTCATACCATGTAGCCATTAGTCAACTCCGCAACCCCGCTCTGATCTGACAAGTACTTTTAACCTAGCTATCCCTTCAATCCCAGGACAGATATAAAGTCGTATATTTGTCAGCTTACAACTTCCAAAAGTTATCTCTTCTAAACTCTATATGGAATGAATAAGACGTGTGTAACATCGCGGAAGTTACACACGATAGTAGCGTACTTTTCCAGGAGAAGTGAGGATTCATGTTGCGAAGCGATACAACACTTATTCCTCTATTAACTAATGATAGGGCTCCTTGTTCTTAGGCCGGCGGTCCAGCAGGTCGACCGACGATGCGGCCTCTGTTACATGGTGAATATAGGTAAACTGGAGTCGGATGATATACTCCTCTATACCAACATGCTTCTGCCTTCACCGGTCCTTTGTAAAGAAGAGCCCCCGCATCTTAGTTCAAGTGGCGCTCTTCGCAACTACTATATCTTGGTATTTCTCAGTCAGTCACGAGAAGACCTCGGGTCGGGCCGTTTCATGTACAACTTCTCCCATCGATCCATTATTTTGAAGGGGCCATAACTAGACACAAAAGGCCGGATCACCATCCAGCATACACCGCTCCCTCATACCCTTTCAACGTAATCCCATTCTCAAAAGTATCCACATTATCTCCAAGCAACCTACTCCCCCAATCCCCCTTAACCTTAACCTTCTGCTCCTCCTCCGAAAAGCTCAACAAAACAAGTGCTTTCCTCCCATCATAACTCGTCATGGTATACGCAAAAACATCCTCGCTATCTTTATACTCATCCAAAATGTCAAACCGTCCATAAACAAAGACATCCTTCTCCTTCTGTCGCAGCTCAAGAACCTGTCTGTAGAAAGCTAACACGCTAGCATCATCCTTTTCTTGCTGGGCAACGTTCCATTCATCATAGTCGTCGTTGACGCGCATCCAGGGCTTGTCACTGGTGGTGAAGCCTCCGTTGGTGTCGGCGTTCCATTGCATTGGTAATCGACCGTTGTCTCTGGCCTTGAGTCTCATTTCCCTCATGATGTCTGACATATCAGCTCCGGGGCCTCTCTTCTTGAGCACGCTGTTGTAATAGTTCAAGCCTTCAACATCGATGTAGTCCTCGATCTTCCATGACTCAGGCACATTAGCCATGCCGATTTCTTGACCTTGGAGAAGGAACAACGTTCCACTGAGTGTTCCGAGGTAAATCGCCAGCATCTTAGCAGCCTCCTTTCGGAACTCGGGCTTATCAGATCCATAGCGTGATAGAGAACGTCCAGAGTCGTGGTTGTCCATGTAAACTGAGTTCCAGCCATCAAATTTCGGCATAGCCCCTTGCCAACGACTCGTAATGGCCTTGAGCTTGGACAGTCTGAAGTCATCACGTTCGTATTTATGATTTGGACCAAAGTCCATATCAACAATATCTCCGGTGAACAACATATTCAGCTCATGCCTGTCTTTGGCAACATAACTAGCCACACTATCCTCATCCTTTGTGAAGCCTAGTTCTCCGACGGTCATACAATCATACTTGTCGATGACTTTCTCCCTCATCTCTCTTATATACTCGTGCATACGTGGCCCGCTAGCAAAGTACTTATCGCCCGGTTGGAACTCGGCGTCTGGTCGAGTGATAGGTGCGTCGGGAAGATCGGGGTGCTTGGACATGAGGTTCATTGAGTCAATGCGGAAGCCATCAGCGCCCTTGTCGAGCCAGAACTTCATATCGTCGTATGTTGCCTCGCGCATGTCATCGCTGGCCCAGTTGAGATCAGGCTGCTCGGGCAGGAAGAGTGAGAGATAGTATTGCTCTGTCGTCTCATCGTATGTCCAGGCGCTACCACCAAAGATGGAAGCCCAATTATTAGGCGGTTTGCGATTACCGTCAGCGTCGAATTTTGGATCGCGCCAGAAATACCAGTCTCTCTTCGGCGATGTTTTTGAGGAGCGTGACTCTTTAAACCATTCATGCTCATGGCTAGTATGATTCACCACGAGGTCAAGTAGCACCTTGATACCTCGCTCATGGCACCCTGAGATTAGCGTCTCAACATCTCCAATGGTACCATACGGACGATGAATGTCGCGATAGTCTGAGACATCATATCCCATATCAAGCTGAGGACTCTTGAAGATAGGCGACAACCAAATAGCTGAAGCGCCTACGGAGCGAATGTAGTCAAGCTTTGAGATGATGCCAGGCAAGTCACCCAGCCCGTCGCCATTGGAGTCAAGAAAGCTGGCTGGGTAGATCTGGTAGACAACTGCTTCTTTCCACCATTGGCGATCGGGAGGGGTTGAAGCTGACATGATGTTTTGGCGGCGCAGTCTGGGATGTTCGATTGAGGAGAGGTGTTGTTATGAGGAGATTATGACCTTGTATATGAAGTTTCTTATACCCGACTGTTGCTTCCCGGTCCGACAATTGTTGTGTTTAATAATTATCATGTAACATCGAAGATGGGAAGCGGGTGAATTCATGACTTGACTTCTCCACGTCGATCTCGTGCCCATTCCCTCTGGGCTGAACTCTCAAGGCTGAATTGTGATTTGTTGAAGACTTACCCGACACCCAAGATGTGCACCAAATGCATCGGACCGACAATAGCACCAATAGTTGTCTTCTCCAAATGCACGGTCCTTTTTACTCCAGAGTTCAAAGAGCCAATGGAAATTCACCCATTTCTTCCATGGGTCCACTCTCCCCGATCCGGTTGTGAGATGGTGACATGCTAAAGTCTTCTCGGCCGACGAGATGGGGCGATTTTTCGCTCTCGCTGTTCCCCATGGGGCTCCATCCATCGGGAAATGTTCAACGTCTCTGGGGAAGATTCTCCAACTCTGTATAGTCATGAAATAATATATAATCCTGAGGGCATTCCCTCACAATAATCAGCAGATCATCACTACCTCAATCACTTCAACCACCCTCTACACATTCTCACAATGACCACCAAAGTCGAAGTCATCGCGACAGTGTCCGACCATGTCGAAAAGGCACCGGACTCTGTCGCCATCCAAAAGGCCATTGACGCCCAAGACCTCACCCCCAAGCAACAATACCAGCGCCTCTGGACAAATCTCAAGAAAGACAAGCGCTTCGTCCTATGGTCCATCTACATCATGTCCCTAGTTTTTGGCTGGGGTTATGACGCTGGTCTCTCAGGTGTAGCTGTTGCCTTTCCAGAGTTCCGCAAGGTTTATGGAGAGTACTACAGTGTTGGTGATCAATATGTCATCCCGGCGCTTTGGCAGTCGCTTTGGAACGCTGCTAGTACTATTGGGCAGATCTTTGGTGCTTTTTTGGCGGGCCAGTTTGCGGATTGGGTTGGGCGCAAGGCTGTTCTTTGGACTGCTGTCGCTCTATCTATTTCCTCTTCCTTTGCGCTGGTCTTTGCTCCTAGTCTGCCTATCCTCTTTGTATCCAAGCTTCTTCTTGGTCTTTCCGTTGGTCTCTCAACCGTCACACCTCCTCTGTACGTCACAGAGAATGCACCCGCCGCTCTTCGAAGCTCTCTCAGCTCCCTTACCAACGTCATCATCGTGCTGGGCTTCTTCCTCTCCTCCATCACTGGCTGGGGCTCTTCCAAAATCAAGGGAGAATGGAGCTTCCGACTTGCTTTTGTCATGACCTTCCTCGTCCCCACTCTGTTCGCCATTGGTCTTCCTTTCCTGCCCGAGTCACCTGTTTGGTACGTCAAGAAGGGCCGCGACGACGATGCCCGAAAGGCCATCTTAAAGCTCTACGGTACATCTATCGATGTTGAAGAGAGACTTGAGTTCATCAAGTCTGAACTCGAGGTTACTGCTGGCGAAGCCAATATGGCTAAGCAGACTAGCTGGAAGGCCATTTTCTCAAAGGAGCACCGAAGCAGAACACTTATTGCTGTCATGGGGCTTCAGTCTCAGAACTTCTCTGGTGGATACTTTGCCAGTAAGTAACCAGCTACTGTTCCTATTGACTCAAGTACTAACTGTTGCAGACACTTACCAGACCTACTACTTCGAGCTCATAGGCCAATCCGACCCCTTCGGCCTCACAGCCATCTCTTCGACACTCCAGTTCCTCTCCAACTGCGTCGCCGTATGCGTCTCCGATGTCCTCCCCCGTCGAAAGTCCCTCATCGGAGGCGGTACACTTCTCTGCTGCTGGTCCATCATCATCGCCGGAACCTCCCTCGCAAGCACTGCCAACACAGCCGCCAACACCGCTCTCCTCGCCTTCATGATTACCTGGTCGATGCTTTACACTGGCACAGTTGGTTGCTTCGGATGGGCAGTCGCACAGGAAACTGCTGCTCAGGCTACACGTCCCAAGACTATTGCGTTCAGCCTTGTTTGCCAGCAACTTACTGCGCTCATGCTGTCTTCAGTCTTTCCCTTCTTCATCAACCCTGATCAGCTCAACTGGGGTGGAAAGGTCATGTTCCTGTTTGTTGGTGCTGAGGTCTTCATTCTGGCTACACTGTTTTGGTTCCAGCCTGAGACGAAGAACAGGACTTATCATGACATTGATTGCCTGTATGCCGAGGGTGTTCCTCCCAGAAAGTTCTCCGAGTTTGTTGTCAACGACGGTGCTGTTGTTCGAAAGCCCACTGCGGAGAAGGAGTGATCGATCCAGTAGGGTGTTGAGAAAGTGATGGGGGTGACGTCTAGAAGTGTCGTAGATGGGCGTCGTTGGGATTGGAGTTTACATTTTGGTTATAGTATTTTGTGTAAAGAAAACAAAAGGTGTCTTGTTAAAAGAATGACAGCATATTAAATGAATCTTGTTCACTCTATCAACTCGCCCTCTCGCTAATGTCTCTTGCTGCCACGTTGTAGCATCATCCCCGTCGTCTCTTCTTTATGAGCCCATTCTAGAGCAGTTAGTGCGCTAAATTCAGTGGACCCAGTGGCGTCCAGCCATGACGAAGTGCTCTGTTCTCCGCATTTATATAAAACCCAATCCCCGCAAACTTCAAACCTTGTCGCAACTGCTTCCACTTAATCGAGCCATGTCAAGTCCAGCGCCGCCAAAACCCACCAAGATCCGACAAGCTTGTGATGTCTGCCATAAAAGAAAGATACGCTGCGATGGCTGTCGGCCATGTCACAATTGCCAAAGCTTGGATGTAAGCTGTACTTATCTGGCGGTACCGAAAAAGACGGGACCTAAAGGGCCGCGATATGCACGGAGGCCCAGACAGCGACCTGCAGCAACGGCGTTCCAAGCCTCTACCAGCCCTGAAAATGACGTCCCCAGCACCAATTCAAACAACAACACGGCATCGCCACCAACCCTGAAACAGCTCTCAGAGTCGCCGCAAATAACAGATTCTGTCATTCGATGGTGTCTCGATGCATACTTCAAGCACAAATACCCGCTTACTCCAATTCTTCATCGCCCTTACCTCGAACAAACACCAAGATCAACTGAGCAATACGGCTTGATAACCGCATGTTGCGCTGTCATTGTACTCTCGCCAGAAATACTACCGCCTTGCCCTGTCGAGGACAATTTCACGATTCCATCAGCAGACTTCTTGATAGCAGAAACTCTTCGCGCAAGAGAGTATTGCAATCTGATCGAACACCCGTCATTAATGCATATACAAACGTCTTTCTTCCTTCACGCTGCATTTTTCTCAATGAATAAGGATAACTCGGCTTGGTATTACCTGCAGGAAGCTATAACGATGCTCCAGACGTTGCGCTTGCACGAGGAGACCACATACAATGATGATGATGCAAGCGACCCAGTCTTTGTGAAGTACGCTCAGCGGATGTTTTGGGTTCTCTTCATCACTGAGAGGGCATACGCTCTACAAAGGAATCGCCCGATCAGATTGCAAGACACGTTGAAGCTTCCAGACGTTGATCCGATGTCCTCTGACGCAGAGATATTGCGGGGCTTCCTCGACCTTATCTCCCTGTTCCGTCCGTTTGGTCAAGACTTCATCTCACAGTGGAACTCCCCAACATCATCCACATCGACAGATTTCGCAAACCTGTTCCGACTGCAGTATCTTCTCAAACATTCGCTTCCGAACCTTTCAAATCACTCCCAAGTCCAACAAGCAGATCTTCTCATATCGCGTCAATGGCTGAAGATTGTTGTCTGGAAACTCTGCGCTTCAAAAAGGGTTCTCTCAACGGCGAATAGCGAAGATGTCATGTCGTTGCACTACCCAGCCAGCATAGCACGCGACATCGTATTGGTGTCGCAGTTAGTGCCGACGCAGGCCTTTGAAGCTAATGGCATCGGAATCGTTGAGAAGGTGTTTGATGTTGGCTGCTCGTTGGCGGATCTGCTGTCGTTGGTACCGCTGGAATATCAAGGTTCAACCATGGATGTTGGGGTTATTGATACACTTATGGAGACAGTGAAAATTGTCGGGACGAGATTTGGAGGTAGTTATCGACATTTGGACATATTGGTTGGCAAAGCGAGCGGGTGTCTTCTTATGAACGTGGATCGAAGTCTTCCTCCGCTCGATCATGATGAGTCAAACAATGTCGAGGAGATCTAAAGTAACCGATAATTTCCTATATACAATGAAGTATTTATAAGGAAGGTAAACCCTATTTAATGTCCTTATAATCTTGAAGAGCCGCCCAATACCTCATCATGCTCCATTAACAGCTGTTCGATATCTCGATATCCATTTTCAGATGCCCACTCCAAAGCTGTTTTCCCATGTTCATCCAAAGGCCTGTGTCAGCACCATACGCAAGGAGAAGCCGTAATGTAAATATGTTACCAGTGCGAGCTGCATAAATTAAGGCTGATCCACCTTCGATTCTAGATTCAATTTCTGGCTGCGGGAGAATTTTTCCAAACAAAGAAGAAAGTAGACCGCTTCTCGGTTCAGGCTTGTCAATGACTCTGAGTCAGCACCATGATCTATTAGTTCTTCGACTGCCCAGTTGACTCCTTGGCTAGCTGCAGCATACAAGTCGGCTTGATAAGTCAAGCTGTCCAAGATGAAAACAGAGACTGCAATTCTACATTAAATATCGTCCTTATTCATCACGAAGGAATACAAATCGCGATTTAGAGTGCATTAAAACTAGTAACATCACTATTTAAACCTGAATACTAGACATTCATCCTGTCTAACGTACCAGACTGTCGAGTCAATGCTATTAATATACCTAGTCTTCCAGCTTTGATTTGACGATTATATCGGTACATGTGTCCAATGTCCTATGTTGTGGATGTTCTGATCGCCAGTTTGTAAAAGTCCTTCTTTCGTTCAAAGATGCATACTAGTCGTCCGCACCTAGCGAATCTGCGTGCGTTATCGCCGAATCCCTCAAGAATGATCAAGCTCAAAGAACATACAGCAAAGCCCTAGTCGAATAGAAAGGCCCTCTGTGCCGACTGGGTCATCTTCACTCTCGTCCTCAGTCTTCTGCGATTCCATTTTCTCTTTTCGGCGAGAAGGCTCTGTGGCAGCTTGTTGATGACGACAGTTGCATTTGGTAGTTTTGGCAGTCTTGTTCTGGTCGTTGCGATGCTGGGATTGGCTGTCTTGATCGTTGCCCGCAGACTTTTTGCGTTCGCAAGATTGCAACTCCAGGTCCTTCGCGTTGCCAGGTTTCTTTTCATCTGGTCTCCCATACTGATTGATTGACCAATCTCGATGTTTGCCGTTGAAACCGTGTTGCTGGACGTCCTCGCCACTGAAGGGGTTGGGCGGGTTGTCTTGATGACCGAATGACATTTTGCTGTTTATCGCCGACTGTGGATTACTATTATGTGTGAAGCCTGGCTCGAAGGAAACGGAGGAGGGAGCAAGCGGTGGATGATGGGCGAGACTTATACATGTGCGTTGGGTCTCGTGGCCGCGAATGGATTTGTGAAGAGTCTTTTTATTGGAGAGTTGAGGAAAATCTACTCTGCGATTTCACAATATGATAGGCTGATTCAAGCTGGCCAGTCAGGAGTCGGGTGTCTCTATGGTACATGCGAGTGCGATGGTTTAGCTCGTGAATTTATAAGGCACATCGTACCCCGGATTGTGAGGCAGATGTGTTATTTGCAGCTGGGACCTGCGGCTGAGAGCTGGTATTCGTACCACAGAACTTAGCTATAGGACGAGAAGCAACACTGGGGATTAATCTTTGAGAAGATAAAACTTAAAAGTCTAAAGTTAATAGTATTTTCACAATTTCAGTGTATTAAACTTCAGACCGAGATAATGGACGAATGATGCTCGGGTTGATTTAAAGTTGAGATCAAATTCGAACCTATAAAGTGACCTTACGTGTCCAACTTGAGCTTCATTAAAAGTGCTTATCCAGCTCTACAATTGATGTCTCTCTGGGAGATATTGACCGGCTGGTGAAGCTTTCTATTATGACACTTGGAGGGCAAGGTCACATTGTCGGTCCACATTTCCCAAAGGAGCGACGGAGTCAGCATGAGGAATAGACGCAGTCATCGTACGAAAACGAGCCATACCCATAAGAGGAATCAGCCGAATTGACATTGCACTCCGTCCCTCCTTGGGGATATGTAAGAATGGTTATCGCAGAGAGTTAATTATATAAACCCCAAGCACCCTTCCGTAATGTTTGAAGACCAACGCAATCTTGATCACTCTCAGTAGGCGCCGAGCAGCTCTGTCGTATCCATTTCACACATAAACATATAATTCGGACTTTTGATCTTCAAGATGGCAACTTCTAAGCCCAAGATTCTGGTAGTCCTGACCTCTGCGGATAAAGTCCCAAAGACTGGAAAACAGATCGGATGGTATCTGGTGAGTGCAATACATCCTCGATCTTTACCTACATACCCACAGATTGTCTTTTACAAGCCTCAAGTGATCAGTGCTAACATAGTCAGCCTGAGCTTGCTCACCCATTTCACGTCCTCAACCCTCGCGCCCAACTGGTCTATGCGACTCCCAAGGGCGGCGAATCTCCACTTGATCCTGTATCGGTGGAGCTCTTCAAAGATGATCCCGTGTGCAAGGACTTCCTCGAGAACCACGAGTCAGTTTGGAAGAACACTCTCAAGCTAAGCGACGTTGCCGGTCGAGCCTCAGAGTTCGACGCGATCTTTTACCCAGGCGGGCACGGTCCAATGGTAGACCTTGTCCATGATGAGCACTCCAAAGACCTCCTTCGCGATTTCCATTCGCAAGACAAGGTTATTTCAGCAGTGTGTCACGGACCAGCTGCTTTCGTGAATGCGACGACCGCATCAGGAGAGTTGATCTTGAAGGGCAAGCAGGTCACTGGTTTTGATGACGTGGGCGAAGAAATGTTCAAGTTTACGGAGGATATGGACTTTAGTCTTGAGAGGAGGTTGGGTGAGGCTAGTGGTGGAAAGTATGTCAAGGCTGAGGAGGGACCTCTTGCGGAGAAGGTTGTTGTTGATGGGAAGATGATTACGGGTCAGAATCCAGCGTCGTCGAAGGGCGTTGCCGAGGAGATCGCCAAGGCGCTTGGAGTGTATTAAAGTGCCAGGATTTACATCGGTTTACCTTGCACTGACGTGTATATAGATGTTTTCTCATAAAATGCAAGATGTGCCAGCTTTCTGTTTGATGTTAACTTGCCGCAGCGATTGAGGAATCCTGGTGATGGGTAAGCCCAGACTCGAATTCATGCTTATCTCCTACCGTACCAATCATGGTCGTTATCGCAAGCGATATGGATCCACATCTACTACCAGGATCGGCTTTAGCCAGCTTCTTCTAACTCCGATTCAACGGTTCGGGCGGATATTAGTGCTGACAAACATCACGAACCCCTCTACATCAGTCTCAATTGCTTCATATCCAGATGTGTCGAAACAGAAATATGTTTGGAACCTTCTCTGCTTCCAGCTCACCCACTCCGTCAAGAAAACCCAAGCGCAATCAGGTATCAAAGGCCTGTGACTCGTGCCGACTGCATCGCGTCAAATGCGATACCGAATACCCATGCCAGAATTGCTCAAGCAAAGGTTGGCAATGTAATAGCACGAGCCGACAGAGTCCAGGCTGGAATCTGTCCCGCGCTATGAGGTATATGTTAAATGCCGTTGACCCTGTACTGACTTCAATCCCCTGGCTGACACAACCCATAGCGAGATCGACAGATTGAGAGCTCAAGTGAAAGAGCTTGAGGGACAGCTCAAAGATACGAATATCCCGACACCGCCAGATGAAGATATTTCGGGACTCATATCGCAAGATTCGTCTCCCAGCTTAGTCCCATTTCACAACGAGGGAGTTCAATTCGATACCGCGACAGCCAATCAATCATCAGCTCCCAGCACTCAGTTTTACGGGCCTTCATCAACGTACTACTTCATTCATTGTATCAGCCAGCGTCTCAAAGCAAATGGTTTAGCTCTGAACGCCGATCAGGAGCCTCACAGCTTGATACCCAACTCGGCAAGCAGATCTATGGTTAACGTCATCAATACTCCGGATGCCGAGTTAGATGAACACCAAACCTCGGATAACGCGGTGCCGACCAGAGCGGCTCACGGGTTGACTGAGAAAACTCTTTCCGGAAAAGACTTGTCTGCAACCCAAGAGGCCTTCTTCCTTGACCTCTTTTGGGACTCGTGGCATTGCTGTTACCAGCTTCTCGACGAGGAAGAGTTCAAGGAGCACTACAAGTCATTATGGAATGAGCCAATCGGCAACACAAGAAAGGACTCGCCTCTTGTTGATATCGTTTTGGCATTGTGCATGCAGTTCGGCGTCACATCGCTGCCTCGTCAAAGTGGTTACAAGGCAGAGATTAACTCTCGCGACGCGGCCGTTGCGGGCCGTTGGCTATACCAGCGCTGCCAAAGGCTGATATCGTGTGACTTGGAGAGACCAACACTCGAGACCTTCCAGTGTCAACTGTGGTCGGCGGTTTATCTAGCCAATGCCTCTTATCAGAATATGGCGCAGAATGTGCTGGGTGTTGCAGCGCGCACAGCATATACATTGGGACTGCACATTGAACCAGGGAACGATCTACCCGTACAAGAAGGAGAAGCACGAAAGAGGGCATGGTGCATCATGTTCATGTTCGAAACTAGATCATGCATTCGTTTGGGGCGGCCTTGGGTCACCCAAACACAGCCGATTTCACCATTATTGCCTACCAGCGACCAAGGCCATGTTACAGCTGGCGTTAATCAGCTGAGATACACCACTGAGAGAACTAAACTCACCGAGATAGCCCGATCAGCCTTTGACAGTGCCTTTAATCACCGACCGAGCGGCGAAGCTTGCACAACGACTCCCGACAGTCTACCAAAAGCATCTGCTTCCAGTATGGATAGAATCCGGGCTTGGGCTGAATCTCTACCTTATATGCTGAAGACGGAGAGACGGAGTGGTGGAAAGCCTCTCTCAACTGATCTCTCAGAAATTGAGATTGAATATTTTGCGCCAGTCTCGTTGCGAAGACAGCGCTTGATGTTGGAGCTGTTCTATCACGAACTGATACTGACACTTGGACGTCACTGCATCAGCCAGTCTTTGACTCGTTCTGGGGGCACAGGGACCCCCTCATCTCATGAAGTAGCAGACACATCCGCTTTACACGCAGCAGCAACAACGAAACTTCTACATCAGGTCTATCAAGAATACGACATCTTGAATGGATGGTACGAGCCGTTCAACTGTCAATGGAACGCTGCTATAACACTCGTTGGATATCTCTTGGCATGTCCCCAAGATAGCTCAGCTAGTTCAATCGCACGCACGGCTCTGTCGGAAAGTGTTACGGTGCTGGAAAAGATGGGGGAGTTCTTTGGAACAGCTTCAAGCGCGGCTGGCGTGATACGGACACTCCACCAGAGGCTGAACATGCCGGTCGAAGCTCATATGGCGACAGACAGCAACACCGTCACACCTAACACAGTCCAAGACATCGACTTCAATGACCTTGGGGCTTTGGACCTGTCGATTGAGGGTATACTGGGAACCTTTGGGACCGAATCTGAGTTTGAGAGACTTGGGTTTGGCATTGACATGCAGGACTTTCTAGCTAATGATGCTGAGAATATGGGTGCAATGTAATTGCCGCTCAACAGAACTGTCTTAGCTAAGCCCCAAACTTTTCAATGTTCTCCAGCACCATGTCCTTCCATCCCTGTACCAGCTCCTGTCTCTGACCCCTCGGCGATATCTCCGCAATAGCCCACAAGAAGTCAACCGCTCTCTGCATATCGTCCTGCAGTGTTGAGGTGTACTCCGTCTCCTGGAATAACGTGCAGCCCTTCTCCTTGCAACGCTGCTTGAAGACTTCCAGCAACCTGTATTTTTCATTCAACGATTCCGAGGTGTCGATCCCGTTCCAGAGAAAGGAGCTTCTTGGGTTCCACTGAGGGTATGGCACGACGCCAGCGAATTCCCAGTCGAGAATGTCAGTGATTTTGCCAGGCAACGAGTCGAACATCATGTTAGCGAAGTATAGATCTTTATGGGCGAGGCGTAACTTGACGTTGTTGAGCTCGTTGGCGTGTTTTGGGAGGGAGGCTACGAATGCCTCGAGGCGGGGGACTATATCTCGCATGAAAGCCAACTTTTCATGGGTTTGGATGAGTCGTATGTACTTTGCTACATGTGCTGTTATGTATTCGACGTACGTCTTGTATGGTCCTCCGATGTTCAGAGTCGCCACTGGCTCCTTCAGGCCATAGCGCTTCAATGTCTGGGACCTGCCAGAAGGTCTCGTCCACCACTGGGCCGAGCTGAACTTCACCTTGATCATCGAGGGTCAACCCTCCGATACAGTCCCATGGATGCGCCTGGAGCTGGGTGAGTAAGTCGATCAGCTGGTCGAGAATTTGGTTCATTTGCTCATCACTTAACCTGTCGTAAACATCGCTGAGTGTGACGCCCTGAATGTGTGACAGCAAGGTATACTCGTGACCGACCGGGATATTGGTGAAGCTATCATAGGCAATAACATCTGGCAGAGGAATGGTGGTGTTCTTGGAGAGCCAGGTCATGACGCCGATCTCATTTTTGGTCTTGATGTTGGGAAGGTGATTGCCTGCGACGCGAAGGACAAGCTAATAGTGACCGCGTGACAGCTCAATTGGCGGAAGAGTGATGAAATAAATAGAATGGTATTGTGCTTTCATCTTTGGATCTTCTATGGCGCTCGCTCGAGGTAGGCGCAAGACCTGCAAAAGTTGGTTGATCGCATCCTCCGAGATGGGAGGTGGGAGGTGATCGGCTGGCGCACCCATGGTGGGCGATGTTGATGTGAAGCTGAAGAGGAGAGGAAGAAAGTGATTGCGTAGGAAATCGAGAATCTTTTCAGGTGAAAAGCAGGCAAAAGAAAGTGATTCGTGCCGATAATATAGGCAGCAAAGACCTTAATGGATCTCCGTAATTCAAGCTTTTGCAGTAAGATTTTAAGGTTAGGCGTCTTATGGCTTGGCTTTCCTCACAAAACTGTGGTATGCATTGCTGCAACTCTCTCCTACGGATCAGTCTCTCACAAGCAGCGAATCCCAGTGACTAGAATGATTGAACATTTGATAGAAATGTATTATTTGCAGTTGAGACCTGAAGCTGGAAGTTTATAATCGCCACATCAGCCTGGAATCTTGAAAAGTAGAGCGTCTATTAAGCAGGTACCGAGGTTTGCCGGCAACTACCATGCCTTATTATTATGGTAAAGAATCACTTAACGAACTGGGACATGAGTAAATTTAAAACCCTATTGCCTATTGCCTATAGTCATTAATAGTTATACCCGGGGATAGCACTGCCGGATGCTCGGCGCCTCGGCCCTTCCGAGATCAAAGTAGATCCCGAGCTACGGCTCAAGTGTTAAAGCAAAGAGAAAAAGGTATAAGTATGTGAAATATCAAGTCTCTTGATTTCTCATGGCTCCATCCCAATTATCCAACATAACCTCTTATCTTGTGAGAGCTCTCGGAAGAATCGCATACAATGGCTGCCTCTCCTGAGCCTTCCTTCAACCAGTCATCTGCCAACATGGCAGAGAAAAAAGTCGACATTGCTAGCGATTCGTAATCCAATCCCTACCAGAAACCAGCACTCTATTTCACATCTTGCTGACATCCACTACAGGGAGCCGGGGGAGATGTTCCGTCCTGGTTACCAAGCTGACGACACCTCGTCTGACACTGTCGCCGAGGGGGTAGACCATACAGTTGTTCATAACGTGGAATCGCAGCACGGCTACTACGAGACGAGAGACGTGACGACCAGGCAAGGCCAAGCCAAGACGTGCAAGATAGTCTACTTCAGCGCCAATGACCCGACCAACCCCAAGAACTGGTCCAAAGCGCGAAAGTGGACCGTCACTCTCACGTTGAGCTGGGTATGCTTCTCCGTGGCTTTTGCATCAGCCGTCATAACTCCGGGCATCGCAGGCGTTGTTGAGCGCTTCGATACGTCGAGTGAAGTTGCTTTACTGACAGTGACTCTCTTCGTGTACGGCTTTGGTATTGGACGTAGGTCAATTCTTTTAACCTCTTAGTGCAACCTTATTGACAAAAGAACAGCTCTTGTCTTCAGTCCCTTGTCGGAACTCTATGGAAGACGCATCATCTATGTACTGACATTTGGCGTTGCGGTTATTTTCATAATCCCATGTGCCGTCGCTAAGAATATCGAGACGTTGCTAGTGTGTCGGGCCATTGATGGCATTGCTATGAGCGTGCCCGTTGCAAATGTGAGTCTTGACGTAAAGCTACATCTCTCTGAATCTGTCTGATATGTCGTCTCGTTAGATTGGCGGTAGTCTTGCGGACATGTGGCGACCTGAAGAACGCGGAGTTCCCATGACAGCGTTCAGTGCTGCACCTTTCTTGGGACCGATCATGGGTATGAAAAGCACAGCGCTCACGGTTCCCGCCCAAAGCTAATCCATTTCTAGGCCCGCTGATTGGCGGCTTCGTGTACGAGAACAAAGGATGGCGTTGGCTGTACTGGCTACAACTCATTATCTGCGGTTTTCTATTTGTGTGTCTCGTCGTCCTTGTCCCCGAAACATATGCCCCTGTCATTCTTGAAAAGAGAGCCAAGAAGGTACGGAAGCAGACCGGGGACGATAGCTACATTGCGGAACACGAGCTTGCTCAGCACACGTTTGGAGAAATTGCCCAGATATATCTTGCCCGCCCTCTCAGGCTTCTGGTGACAGAACCAATTGTCACGCTGTTCGCCATCTATGCAGCTATACTGTATGGCCTTCTTTACATGTTCTTCGTCGCGTATGTTTGTCACTTTCACCCTTCCCATCCTAGCATGCTGATAGACTCTAGGTATCCGATCGTCTTTGAAGAGGGCAAAGGCTACTCGGCTGGAGTTTCGGGACTCATGTTTATTCCCATCTCAGGAGGCATTGTCGTCGGCCTCGCCGGTGCACCCTTCGTAAACACACACTACAACAAACTTCGGTCCCAGCACACTGGCCTTCCACCACCTGAGCTCCGCTTGATCCCGATGATCTGGAGTTGCTGGTTAATCCCCATTGGTGTCTTTATCGTGAGTTTGTACCTGCCCTCGCCCTGCTGACCGATGTATGGAGTGCTCAGCGCCTGGTCTTCACTGTATGTCCTGTTATCCTTCAATTCACGCTGACGCGCCCTTACTTCTAGTTTGCCTGGACTTCTTACGATGACCTGACGTGGGTCGGACCATGCCTCGCCGGTCTTCCAATTGGCATTGGATTCGTTTTTCTCTACAATTCATTCAACAACTATATTGTAGATGCATATCAGCACACAGCGGCTTCGGCGCTCGCGGCCAAGACGCTTGTTCGATCCATTTGGGGTGGATCGACAGTTCTATTCACCACGCAGATGTACGTCGATAGCCGCCATGTATACCACCCATTCCGACCAGACACTAACCAAGCGAATAGGTATCACAATCTGAATCCCCGATGGGCATCGACTCTACTTGGCTTCCTTGCTTTAGCTTGCTGCTTCATTCCTATTGGCTTCTATAAATACGGGGCCGCCATTCGCAAGCACTCGAAGTATGCATACTCGGGGGAGTAGTCAGAGAAGGATGGCACAAAGGTTCAAGGTCAAGCTGGGTCATCTTCATGGCCTTGGCCTTGGAAACAAGGAATGGACAGCGCCTCGACTGGACCGGCGGTCAACTAGGAACGGACCTGGGTGCTCTCAGCTTTTTAGAAGTTGATCCAAGCTATAAACAGGGCTAGACACTCGCGCCTACAGCGCAGCCACAGATCCTTTCAATGACTGGAAAGTGACATGGCTATACACATAACTAAGCATACAGAATATAGAATGCCTAAATAAATAGACGTAATAGATCAGACTGTTGAGAACCTCTCTCAGTCTGGACTTTGCTGTATGTTGTTGCATGGCACTCTATTGAGTAGGTGATGCGAATCAATGGCACCTCGGCTGTTGCATCGCGTCGGCTGTTGGATAACCTCCGACGCTCCGACGCTACAAAACCTGACGTATCAGAGCGTCGATCCTTGTCATTAAATGCGGATCGACGGACCTACCATTTGCATTCGGAAGCTCCGAATCGCGACAAAGCCGAAGCTACCTTTTGTTTTACTTGGAACCGAAGAGTAATATTTTATCTCTGTTAGAGAGCAGAATCGTGCCAAAAACATAGATTGCCGAAAACTGAAGACCATACACCTCCCACGGTCGCCTAATTTTCAACATGGAAATGTCCAGGGAACCGCAGAGTCCACATTCGACACGTGCATGCGCAAGCTGTAAAGCGAAGAAGCTTCGGTGCCTCATGAGTAACGGCCCGCCGTGGGCTTGTCAGAGGTGAGTGTAATAGCACCGCCACAGCGTGTTGCATAACACATCCTATCAGTAGTTTGTGTCCCTTCCAAGTGCTGACTGTTATGTTTACAAAGGTGCCTGCAGAAGAAACTGGAGTGCGTAATTCCTGAATCACGTCCTCGGCGGCGCAAAAAGAAAGGTTAGAAGACCTCGTCCACTCTGCCTTGAGATCAAGACAGACTTTTTCTGACATTCTCCTCCCTAGTCTATGAGTCAAGACTTGAGCGGCTCGAGCGGGATGTTGGGAGGGTCATGTCGTTACTCCCCGATAACGACCAAAGCTCACTTGCGTCTGTCCTCGCTGATTCGGAAGCACCCCAAACCTCGGGGGCTTTCTCTCCAAATTTCGAGCAACCTACTGTTGATACCGTGATCTACGATATTATCTCCGTACAACGGGCGGACCTTTTAGTTGCAGACTATCGTGATACCTTTGCTGCGAAGTTCCCTTACGTGATCATACCAGAGGGCGTAACGTCACTCGCCCTTCGACAAACAAGCCCCATGCTCCTCTTGGCGATCCTTGCCACAACGTCCTGGAAGCTACGAGGCCAGCAGGACCATCTCAATCAAGCATTTCTCAAGGCACTCGGTACTAAACTAATCCTAGAAGGTGACCGAGACATGGACCTGTTGAGGGGATTAATGGTGTACCTTAATTGGTCAGCAAACATGACTTGTAAATAACCTTGCGTCTGCTTGCTAAAGCGTATTTCTCTTTAGGATCCACTTGCACACGGCACCAAAGACACAACAAGCCTACCGTCTTGCGTCCATTGCAGCATCGATAGCAGTCGAATTTGGCATTACTCAGCGGCCCGGAAAGAACAAACACCAGCAGTTGAATGTCGAGACCTTCAATGAAAGACCAAAAGGCTTGTCGGCAGTTGATGTCGAACTTTGGGATCCCGGTGCTAGGCGAGCTTACCTAGGCTGCTATCAAATTACTACCTGGTTAGTAGACGACCCTTTCCGAGCTTGGCCTGCTTATCAATGTATAAAGGTACTCTATAATGACTCGGAAGTCGAGTCCGTTGATCTACAACGACTATTTATACACATGCGCCCAGTCTCTCGCTGCCGCTAAGGAAACACCGTCGGATCTAGACCTCGTCTTCCATCTCGAGGTTGCTCGTGAGGCCGAGAGAGCATATACTTTCTTCAACTACACCGACGTCCAGCAGACTCAGTTCATGGGTGAACAGCAAATACAGGTTTACCTTAATGCATTCTCCATCAAAGTGCAGGACTGGCGATTCCGCTTCCCATCTTCACTTACCCAAGATTGTGAGTACAATATTGAAACGTGCTCGGCAGTGAAAGTCCAGTTAACCACCAGTCAGCCTGCCAACAAATCTGGCCCTGGCTTTTAGAAGCTTTCGTCCGGGAGTTGTGCCTATCAGGAATGACACGAAGTACTGATTTCTCCATGGCTCGCATTCGCATTCTCGTGGACGCGCTCCTAAGCACAAAAGGCTATTTCGACACATTCTTAGCCATTCCTCCGGAAAACATCTCCAGCCTACCATCCACACATTGGGCTCTTTTGGGGTACTCTATTCTCCTTACAGCGTCGATATCACTATCGATACAGACCCAAGGATGGAACATTGAATCCGCGCGTTCTATTATAAAGCTTGATACATATATTGATGCTATCTCGCTTCGAGTGAAGGACCTCTCGTTGGAGATGGGTTCATCGGAACACCTACGGAACTGGTATGGCGACGCACTCGCGGGCTGGGAAGCGGTCAAGATGCGTTACCTCGCCGCAGGTCAAGAGTCACTATCCGAAACAGAGTCATACCCTCAATCAGCTCCCTCACATGTCCCACATAAGGCGGTGGAGCAGAGTGATGATCTTGGCCCTCATAGTAGTCTTTTGGCCCAGCTTCAGGGAGACCCTAGTCAGAAAGATATAGCTGAGAACTCTATAAGACCTCAGAGCGGACTTGAGGCATTTGACTTCTGTGCAGATACTGGGTCATGGATTATCCCAGATTTTAAACATCTATAACAAGTAATAGGTAGCTTTTAAGAATTATTTATCTTAAGACATATTACTTAAGTATTCTCTATTTATATTACTGGTGCGTATCATGTAAAACGAAGTCCTGTTTGGTGATTATAAGCTCGCGGCCATTGGCCTCAATTGCAAATAAGACATTTAGCTCACTATGTAGACATTATATTGTCTGATCAGGCAGCAACATGCACCTTGAAAGTGCAACATTGAATTGATTGGTCTTACATGCATTCACACTTCTGCCTGGATGTACTTAAATAGGAACGAATGCCCCTCATTTTCAGCCCCAAATCAGCATCCCCTTCCTCACCTGTCAACAGCATGCAGAGTCATAATTCGACTATCATTTACCCCAACGTCCCGCAAAATGAAGCAGACCCGCGTTCTCGTATCAATGTCATGATTGACATCTTCAACGCTGGTCTCTCATCACGCGCGGGCGGCAAACTGGACCGAGGACTATACCACGAGATCTTCACTGCATACAAACTTGTCCAGGATTATAAAATCACGCATGGTAGTCAGATCTCCAGACCCCTCACTGAATCAGAGAAGCGAGAGGGCCTCAATGGCAGCTCCCAAATGATCACGGTGCCCTTACAGGGTAACAAGTACAGAGAGATAGACATGGTCTACAACGAGGGTGGGATTACCCATATCGTCGAGGCTAAGAACACCAAGACTGTTGATCACAGTCAGCTCCAGCCCAACATCCAACTGGCGCAACAAATCCAAGGAGCCTTGGTCTATGCGATCGGCGAAAAGGATGGTCAGGAACGAGCTCTCAAAGAGGCATACAAAAAGCTCCAAGCTCAACACCAGTCTAGCAGCACTGGGAACTTCCCTCCTCTGCATGTCCTGCGTATCCCGGACAAAGTCTCGAACATCATGTCGGACAACAAGCCGATGAGCTTACTGTCACTTTCATCGACGTTTCAGGTTTCCCAGTTCAATATAGCTGAGGTCACGGGGGAGTTTGATCACGAAGAACGTGGATTTTCGCTATTTAGATAGAGCGGGATGCGGGAATCGGTGACGTTCAGGCTCTGTGAGATAGATAGGTGGATATATCAGAAACATTTAACGGTGCTTTATATGAACGTTTATTCTACACCTCATTCCATTGTTTCCTTTATGCCCAGCGAACTCCAATCAAGGGTAGGGAGACCTGCCACTTCCTCTCCTCGGTATCCGTGGAAGCAAGCTCCATGCGGATCTGATGAGTTGCCCCAAGATTTCTCGAAGCTCTCTCAACAGATCTAATAGTGCATTGGTGCCATTGCGTTGTCCCACAAACCACGCCACGCCGATGACCAGGGCATAGGTGAGGAGAGGCATAATGATGAAGCTGTTTCGAAAGGATGAAGGCACTGGCACGATGTCAGTGCCCTCTGTTGGGTTGTTCAAGAACGGCAATGCCCAAAAGGTCTGTCCTGTTAGCTGCGATACTGAAGACTGATGGAGGATGTCACTTACCGCTAAGAAGCTAACTGGTGTAAAGAGTACCGTCACAACGGTAAAGACGTAGATTGCCTGGTTAAGTGCCATGGCTTTCGTTGACTCTCGAAGAGACGTAGCGTTAAATAACTACAGATGGTGGTTAATAACTTCCTCCTGCAGCATTAGAGAATAGGAACATACCCCATCTCGCAGACTGTTGACCTCCTCGACTTTCTTTCGGACTCGCTTTTGGATTACAGCAGTCCGTTCGTCTATACTTCTAATTGCAGCATTGAAATTATCCACTGTTTCAGCCGCACAGATGGAAGTAAATCTCAGATATGGGTCCTTTTGTAGTTCCTTAACACTAGGGGCAACTTCATCCAGCCACTCGTCGACAATCCTAAGTAACTGGAGAGCAACAAAGTAGTCCTTAGAACGGTCGAAAGACTTGTCAAACATCGGATCCTCCACTCGCGACTGGCCATCAAGGTCGTTCAACTAGTCGTAGATGTTAATATGACTACTCGTTGAAATAGAACAAAAGGCAGACGACGTCTCTCCCACTTACATCGACATGAACGAGCCCATCGATGGCATCGAGTGCCTCGCCCCAAGCTTCCATGCATTTTTCGAACACTCTACAGATCTCGAAAAGATAATGTGTGATAGGGATCACTTTCTGTCTTGGCTTCAGGCCATATCGTTCCCAACCTACTTTAACGTCATCGATCTCATGAGGCACGTCTGTGCCTATGAACCTCCAATCATCGACTAAGACGAATATGCTGAAAAGGCGCGGATTTCCTTTTAGCACTCTAAAACTTATTCGTACTCGTTTCTCCTCTAAACAAACTGCCTCTGGCCCTTTTCCTATTGTCGCACTTTGTCGTTTGCTTAAAAGACAATTGAGATCATTGCCAGCATTCGCACTGATAGGTCTATAATAACGAATTTGCCAATGGATAATACCCTGCGAAAAGTGGTCGAAAGGCAAATTGTATCCTCCTCTAAAGGTCGAGGAAAAGAAGGATGCCGAATATCCTATTTCAAAGTAGGGGCTCCGATGGTTATGATGTTGGCTGAAAGGCGCATCGAAGGTTAACGCACAAGCAAAAGCGTCTATAGAGAAGTATTGGACTCCCTTTTGATGTCCACTCGATGTACAATAACTAAGAAGATCTTCAGCCTTAATCGTACCTCGTACGTGGGACCAAACTATGACACAAGCTGTAGCCCTTGGTCTACTTACATTATTTTGCCTTTTGGCTGTGAGCCCTTTCCTTGTTAATTCTAATAACGCAATACCGGTGACATAAATTTACCTTTTGTCGTTTATATCTCTCTCTCTTGGCTGCATAGCACCAACTATGCCAAAGGCTCTCAAATCCGCAGGAGACGATATTATCCCTGCGGGTTTCAGCAAGCGGACCTTTATCAACGGCATTCAGGTCATCTTGATACGCCTTCCCAACAGATGACCACTGAACTTTGATGGCGGGATTGCGACCATCACTCTCAATTATGTCTTGCGATACCCATCCGCTCTCACGGGTCTCCGGCCAAGCGTCAAGAATGGCCTTGTTCACCTGGGCGGCTTCAATGCCATCCGCAGATTCCGACAGGCTCTCCCAGCCAAATTTCACAGGTTTGCTACCCCTGACGTCAAACTTGAAATGCATCGTTTTGAATCCATAGTCGCTTATAGAGATATTTCCAGGGTCTTGGTTGGTAGCTCCTAGCATGAACAGCATTTTATCTCTAGCTGCGTCAAGGAGCATGCGTTCTACCTGGGGGGATAGTCGCTCATTTTCAACGGTAACATTTTGACTGGTGTGACCTTGGACTGCAACAGCAGCGCCTGCTTCAAGTCCAAAGTCTTCTGATAATGGAGGCTTGCTGGAGCTTGATTTTGCAGGACGGTTCGTGGATCCCATGTCTCGGACTTGCGTGTCACTAACTTGATCGGATGTCTGTGCCAAAGATTGAAGACGCTCTGGAGTGGAGGATTGTGACGCAGATGATTGGCCGTGGCAGATGTCACCTTGTGAAGGCCTTAAGCTTCCTTCGCCATTGTGCCCCTCAGTTACTGCTATTGCCTGAGTAGTCGTTCGCGGATAAAGCTCAACTTCCGTTGTACAATCATGTGTCGAGCTATGGTCTCGAGAATCTCGTGACATTGTCGAAGTTTAGCTATAGACGCCCCAATAGCCAAAGTAAAATAAAGAACAAGGAGATGAAGAGGTCAATGCGACCCCAAGTTGGGTGATTGTCGCCGAGTGGCCTTTATAGGCGATGATCTGACTTACTGTGTGGAGGCTGTGGGGCAGTATTACCTGTAGGTGAACTATTATAGCCGCCTGTGTAACAACCCAGCCCTCAGCTCATGCATCTCACAAGATGTTTCAATCAGTTACCCCGAATCCGATAGGCTCCCCAACCTAAAAGTGCTTTGACCTTGCCTCCCATTGGTACGACACATCACTCAGCATGACCTGTCACTCCGTTCCTCGTACCAGCCCCAACATTAGAGGTCACAGTCGCGGGGATAAGAAGAATTAAGGCCCTGAATTAGGCTGTGATGGCATGGTACTAAAAAGTCTCACTACAGCATCCAGAATTTCTAAATGAACTTGTTGCTGAATACCAAAGTTTAAATTATTCCTATCGCTTGAAAAATAGGGTTACACGCCATGTCCTATTGAACTTGCAAGTCCTTTCTAGCAACACACAGAACATCATACCATCATCGCTATACCTAATATTATAAGACAATACATGAATAATCATATCTGCAGCTCTTGCAGCGCCCCAACCAACACCTTAGTGATATTCCTCGACATCTCCGATTTCTTCCCCAGACACCAAAGCGCTCTAATACAATACTCCGCCCTCCTCAAACTATCCTGAAAATCCTCACTATCATGCCCCAGTAAATCCCCCTCGTGCTGCTGAAAGTCATCCGCCATATCCAAATGAAACAAACATGCTTTCGTAAATCCCCTAATGAGGATAACAGTCCAAGGTTCCGTCAATAGTGGTCCTTCGCTGACTGCGAAGTGGTAGTCTGGGAGTTGAGCGGCGTTTATACCAGCTTCTTGGAAAAGGCGCGATGTTGTTACTTGTGCGAGGTCGGCGAGTTCTATGGCGCTGGCTTTGCGGATTCGTGCTGCAACGTTACTGCTGAGTCGCTTTTGGCGGGCTTGGTCGAGGCCGTAACCGTTTTTGTCGATGAACTCGAGGACGTCTGCGAGCATTAGGGCACCGAGATGCCATGGTACTGCGATACAGAAGAACCAGCTTCTAATTCGTGGTGGGACAGTATCGTAATGTCTAATGAGATCTCGGAAGAAGGCACCGTGCGTCATGTTCCAGTACCGGTATAGGAGGGTCGTTTGTTGGATGATCTCCTCGATTGCTTGGGGACACTCTCGTTTTCGCAGAGCATTCTGCAGATATGACAAGTGTCGATAGATAAGGATCTTGACGGGTGCTGACTTGGCAACCATTTGCATCGCGTCGTCATACGAGCAGGGCCATCTTGTCCCGACTGTTGGTTTCGTCGCATCATCTTGGATAAATAGCTCCATCTCCCATCTTTGACTTCCTCTTCGGCTCTTCTGGGCTGCCCTCATGCTGTCGGCTAGGATTTGGTCAGCGTCTTCATGTTGGCAATCTTCATCAGCCAGTGCCACTGGCCGTTCATTCATAGATGAAGAGACTGTATCAAACATGACAGCAAGCCAGTAGAGCAATCCGATGGTCCGTCTATTCTCTTCAGTCAATCGCCGAGGGGAGTGTTTTTTGCTTGTCTCCATGAAACCAGATTCACTAGCTTCAAACCTGAATTTGAGCGCGTGAATCTTCCTCGTTGCCCGCTCTAGGTAAATATGAGGTCCTTCTTGCGACATGATCTCAATAATCTCTGGCATCGCGTTCTCTTTAATGCCTCTGCCACCCTTTTCTTTCTTGGATCCAAAGGACTTCTGTTGGTACTCATCGCTAGCCCATGGCTTTTGCGTCAGACCAAAAATGAGTTCAGCGTAGATGACACGGTAAGATTCGACATCAACAACGTCCTGCAGTGCTCGTTTTGCTTGCTCCCATACCGATTGTTGTAAACTCTCCTCAAACTCTTGATTTAGGGCATCAGCCAAGTCGTCTGCTTCAGTCGCAAAGTCGCTTGCCCCCATGGAGAACCTTTCTTGTCGACGGTTACCTTGGGCCCATTGTGTCGTAAAAGCCATAATGACAAGGTCCAATACTCGAGATGCTGCTTGATTCTCAGAACGTGTGAGGTTGATCAACCTTGCGGACTGTGCAGCGCGATCTAGTTCCATAACGCGACGATACATCCTGTTCGACCATGCCGCGCCCCATTCTGGCGGGAGGTTTGGATTCTGTCGGGAGGGCCCTGGAGTTGCACCCAAGCTGGGTTCAGGCGCTGGACTAGCGCGAGCGACAACTTGCAACTTGTAAGGGCAATTCTCTTCAGCTAGCCAACATGCTAGGTTATTCTCAAGGACGTCGTGATATATCTGAAGAAGACTCTCGGTGATCATATACCGATTGGAGCTCTGCATGATGAGAGAGTCGCTAGTGAATGGCGATGGTGAGAAGTTGGGATATCCGGACAAGTCGTTAGATGGCAGACGGGCTCTGCGTTTCACTTGAACGGCGTTGTGTCCGTTGGTTGGAGATTCCGTTGATGAAAGCGTGTCGAGAGGCGCGGAGTTGATGTCCGAGAAGTCCAAGTCCCAGAGATTATTAATGTCAAAGTCTTGTGAGCCTGAATAGGATGTCGAGTTGTCCAGGGCGTCAGTTGCTGCATGTGAGGTCTGCTTTATAAGTTCTGGCAGTGCTTCATCGATAGTGTCCTGCGCCACTGTATGGGAAGCACTCTCTGGGCTTGAGAAGCTCATCGCAAGGCTTTGAGCATCGAGGGTTGGGCCCATGGACAGAAAGGAAGGGATATCTGTGCTGACGAAGGGATTGTTCCAGGATAGACCTTGTCCTGGTGTAGAGTTCTGAAGCATCTGCAGCATATTCGCCGCGGTGATGTCGCAATACTTTGCGTTGAGTGAAGGGGCGGTTGTCGTGGCGGGAGACTCATTACGCTTTCTCTTGCTCTGAGAGCTGTCGTTGGAGGTGCTGGTGATGCTTGACCCTGTCTCGCTAACTCGAGACCTTGATCGAGTCTTTCCCCACTGTGGGTTCAGACTGCATACTTTCTTGGTTCTGATACAGTACGAGCAGGACTTGAGCCCTGGTTCCGATCCTCCATCTAACAAAGCGACATGGTCAATGCCTGGTCTCGAGGTGGGTAGTATGCATGGCTAGAACTTACAGATTTGCGAGCCAGAAGCGGGTGACGTTGCATCAGGTGAAACTGCCGGTTTCTCATTGCGAATATACCCATCGCACGCCTTCTTGGACTTTCTGCAATGGTCGCAAGAGTGGTTTTGCCTCCTAACTTTCGGTTCCGACATGCTGCACCTGAGAACAGACGTCTACTACCAGGATAATAAAAGAGGGTCTAACAAGGCTAGGATACCAACAGATTGGGTAGAGGTAGTGCGAGATGAGTGTCAGTGGAGAAAGAATAGAGGAAAGAAACAAGATGAGAGAAACCGGTCCATAGATATTCAGGGCCGTTCCACCGACCTGCCCTCTTTCCCCGCACGGCGCTAGCCCGTTTACGAGTCAACGACATCGTTAGTGAAAGCCTCTGCAATTGGTGTTGGTGTCATTGGTTAGTGGTTGGGTTTAGTGGACTGGGCGTTCCCCAGTCCTTGCGGGGAATGGGATGGGGGTGGATCACGCAAACAAACTGTCGGAACTGACACCGTTTGTCCGTGGACGGCATTCGAGAATGAATGTGACAGTACAGTGCAACTATCTTTCATTCTTTGAGGGAGTATTGACTTGGATCGCGAGAATCGTAGCATTAAACTTAATCCTGACCCTTGGGGTTTGACTTGCATTACTACACTGGCTCGAATGGTGCGACTATCATGTAACATAAGGTGAACCTTCTCGAGCAGTTACAGTATCAAAGAAATGATAAGCAAGCTTCATCCTTGGCCAATATCTACTACCAGATGTATTCCAGCAGTTGTGTTAACGTTGTATGTGTCAAACTATTGCTAAAACCTCTTTCCATTTTGTCATTTCCATCATCACCCAGGATTCAGCATCCTGCAAACAAATTCGATCCAGTCAAAGAGCCACCGGGAAGCCACTGTGCTACCTGTATACCAACAAGCCCCTAGACCTTCTCCTCCTCAGAGTGGGTATCTCTCTTGACCTTGGTGGCACCAGGGATTCTGGAAGAGAGATCACCAAGCGGGAGAATATACGGGAAGTCGACCGACAGGAGAATATGGCTCAAGAAGATGTACCACCCCAGCAGCGATACAACGAAAAGTATCGCTGCACCAGCGTGTTGATATGTAAGCGCTTTAGCAGACTCTCCATTTGCAACAGCGAAGAAGGAGGCGGAGAGGCAGCCGACTGTAGTGAAAAGCTGTCAGTGATAAACGCCTAGCAGGAGTGTCGGGAGCTTACAGCAAGGAACCAGGATAACCAGGATAGTAAACAACACCACGTTCGTGCGGATACTGGCGATGGCGAAGACGGCACAGAGAATACCCATCGAGATCAGGAAGAACGAGAAGGTCGCGTAGAACTCGCCTTCCTTCAGGCCGTCCGCAACAGCATCAGTTTTGGAGTAGAGGCCGTAAGCATTATAGTCTGGAACAATGGTTGAACCAAAGGTGAACCAGAAGCCGCCGAAGAGACCGAACAGGACTGAGGGGAAGGTGTTTCCTAGAATCTTTTATCATGTGCTTGTTAGAAGACTGTTTGTAAAATTCGCTCGAGGGGTGACTGTACCCATTCGCCGATGCTGCCGAGAAGCATAAGAAGACCGCCGAACCAGAGGTAAGCGCCGCTATGGATTGATTAGATCATAGATGTTGGAAGAAGGGCAGTGACACTTACACGTTCGCACCAGCTCCAAAGCCTCCTGCACCCTGCCATCCAAGCAGTGCCATGGAAGCAGGAGTCGTGCAGAGCAAGAAACCTCCCAAAGCTAGTCGTCGCGTCAGTAAAACACAAGCGACAGATGTAATAGTGTCTTACCCAATGGCGTCGGATTGCCCAGCTTCTGCCGCAAATCCCCCTTTACTCGACTGTGAGGCGCCAAGTACAGCTGCTCAAACAACTCAGGAGACATCGAGATACTCCCAGTAGTATGGGCCCTCTCCAGATGATCGGCGCCCTGCTCAGTGAACGTCTTGATAGGTGAAGTAGACATGTTGATCGGTGATAATACTGGAGCAATGTGTGGGTAAACAGTGGAGTGAGAGATCCAGAAAAACAAGAGAGAAGATGGCACGACCCAGAATATGTACTCAAGAGGATTCTCCCCACCATTACAATCTGGGGTAGCTGGGGTTGGAGATTAGGTCGAAGCTCCCTTGCCCCGGAAATCATGTACCCGGCTTGACGACCTGTACCCCGCTGGGATTCACGTATCCGGCGGGAGGACATGTACCTTACTGAACAAAATGTACTTATTGGCAGTCGGTTCCCGATTCAAGCTGTGAACAGGAGGCTCTTTCTACGGAAGGGACGGAAAAGCCACGTTCTGAATCAAGCTTAGACGAGTCAAGGGGAGGGGACTGCTGTGAAGCTCAACAGTTTCGGCACCGGGGTCTGTTTGGATGCGCTATGCCTACCGTGGCCAGTGCATGGTCGGCTGCGGTGCTGGTCCTTGTTGCAATGGCGCCTGGGTGGTGTTAATGGGTTGGGATCTAGAATAGAAGCACCGGATTTGATCCCCGTGGGGGAGATGCAACCCCACGGGGAAAGGTTTGGGCATACGCAGAGCTTGGGCTTGAGTTAACGCTTGTGAGGCCACATGGCGGTATGGAAGTGTAGCAGTCTAGTCAGGTCAATGCATTGCATATGCCGTGTGAATGCTACGTGATAAGGAACAGGGATCCTGTGATACGAAATTGCCCTCCTCCTCGTCTATGTTTCCTACAGCTTACAGCCAGCCCAGTCTATATCGTTGACATCTTTACAGTGCATATGGATCAACTGCCCGTTTCTGCGTCTTGTTATTGATCTGCACATTAAGGTTTCTAGCTCATAGAACATAGCATGGAGCAAGGCATTCAAGGCAAAGTCGGAGCCGACTCACTGAATCCAACAACTAGCTCAATACAGTAAGGCTCGTGCAGATCAGCATGGTTGGTAGGGTTTATGAGTCGGCTCCGCACCACAGCTGCCGACTGAGAAAACGTGCGGGGTAGAATGCTTGGACGACGAGTCTGGGGAAATACGGATACGGACTTCTCCACTTGCTGTCAATAATCCTTATTCACGGTCATGAGTAGCTGTCGAAGCTTCTGGACATGAAGGACCGACGGCAGTATGTTTGGCGTCTCGATTATGAGCATTTGGGTGACAAGGTTGCGGTTCGGGAGAATGGAGGGCGCTCATCAGTGTCAATGCTACCAACTCCTGCAAGATTGTCGGGGTATCAAATTAATCTACCGATCGGGTGGCATTATACGTTGCTGATCCGCAGTGAATCACTAGGAAAGCCTCACCATTGCGAGTCGGAAAACATTAGTGTTGTTGGGAGACTTCGCGGATGTATTGTGTCGGAAGCAAGGACGATGCAGCGAGCAACTGGCTTTCCTGATGATTGAGTTTTCAAAACATTACCATGACGAGTGATAGTTATCTTTTCTTTCTGACCTTGCCATCAAGTAGTAACCGTGAGCCCTTCTTCCGACGTTAGCTGAGCGAGTTCGCAGACACTCGCGATCTCGTGGCACTTACCCTGGGCCGGATGAGCTGTCATGAACCGGATTTCACAGTGTAACACATGCTCCCTTCTTCGTATGCTTTTCTTGACGCGTAGAATTCGAGTCGAACTCTTAGACGAATGACGCATTTCGAAGGACTAAGGAGTATTGTTGATTAGAGAGGCTAGAAAGTCCGAAATCACAATGATGTAGACTAACCCTTCCCTCAATGATCACGGCCACATTTGAGACTTGATGTGCAACGGGCGAACTTCTTCTTCTTTTGCCTTCCTATCTCTCCAACCTAGGCCCTTGCTAACGAGTCGTAGTACAAATCAATCCGCGTCTTGGGCACATTCTTCTCCTTATTCTCAAGAATGGTCTTGACCCCCTTGACAAGAGTTTCTTCCAAACTCGTAAACCCTTCCAACTTCCCCATCTGTCTCAACACCTCAGCACTCCTCTCATTATCCACCTCTCCTGCATCCACAGCTGACTCTCTAACATTTTTGAGCAAAACCTTGCCCGGAAACCGTCGATGAAGAATCTCCAGAATCACAGTCCAGCAATATCTCCCACCGAACGCAAGAAGTCGCTCGTTATCAACATCGTCGAGTGTCAATGCAGCCAGGTGTAGCAGTACCGTATCCTCGACATCGACATACCACTGCGATGGTAGAATAGACGGCGCATCGGGATATCCTTTCACAACAGCGTCAATGACGGCGGCCGAACTGCGGTAGCTCATATTCTCGGGCGATATAGCGATACCGAAGTTAACATTTGGGACAACCGTGTTGAATGAGAAGGACGGTTTGTTTTCGAGCACCCAAGCAAAAGCGGCTTGTTCGCCACGTGCTTTGGCCGCTCCGTATAACACGATCCCATGCCATCGCGGGTTCCCTTGCTCATCCCATGGCTCAGCTGTCTTCTCAATTGCATCGGTGTTCCAGGTCGTTGAATCGATCTTGTACGGTTCGCCGGTCGTGGGAAGAGCGCACGCAGCTAGTGACGAGGTGATGACAACGCTCTTGACGCTGGGGACTTTTGCCGCCGCTTCAAGAAGGTACAGATTTGAATTGATGGTATCGCCTATGACTCCTTGGTTCTGCGGGTTCATGTCCATGTTCATAGCGGTATGAACCACGCCATTCACGTCTTTGAGAGCTTCATCGAAAGCACCGGGTGTCGAGATGTCGGGAACCTGGACAAGCTCGAAATTGGATCCGAAGAATGTTTTCATCCAGGTATTGGCAGTGATAGAGCGGACTGTGCCACGGACACGATAACCGCGTTGAAGAAAGACATGGACAGCGACGCTTGCTATGTACCCATTGGCGCCTGTGATGAGGATCAGACCTCCTGGCGGGACTGAAGACATTGCGGGGGATGTTGCTGGGTTATGGTGGGTGACGGGGGTTGAGGGTTGATGGGAACATTTTGAAGAGGAATAGGTAGGGATGGTTTTATATAGAGACAGATGTAAGCATATTTCCAAGAAGCAGAGTAACAGCTTCATATATCACTCCGAGTCTTACGAAGTTGGAAATGCACTAACACGCCAATTCCCCGATCGTTCATCTCGCATCCCCAAAGAAGTCTAGCCCCCTTCGCATTCCGCATCAGGAAAACGAGGTTCCACTCTGACTCCCTCCGCCTAATGAGATGCGTCAAAACCAGGCTCTCGCACTCTCCCACTTCTCCTCGTTCTCCCAAAACATATCACACAATACCATGACATCCCCGCGCTTTTCCAATACCATCCTCGTTCCAGGAACGAGCGGCCAGAGCCCTTCCCTACAGACGTTGGGAGCGTTGGATCAGCCAAGGAAGAAACGACCCCATCGGAAGAGTCGGAAGGGATGCGATGCTTGTAAGCGACGGAAGGTCAAGGTATGACTACCCTTGGTGATATGAGAGGCTTGGATTGACAGCGTGTAGTGTGATGAGAGAGTGCCCTGTACGAATTGCCTGCAGCGCAATGAGCAGTGTTTCCAGCCACATCATATCTCTGTTGCTATTCCCATCGTGGCCAAGGCAATTGACCCGGTTCCGTGGATCAACCTCATGCATCTCGAGTTGTTCCATCACTGGGATAAAGAAACGCGATCGACCCTTGCATTTCCCCAGATCTGGCCCGTCGTCATGCAGCAAGCCTTCCATGTACCGCTACAAACCCACATTTGTTATACACTTGCTGACATACAATAGGAAGATTTCGTCATGTCGGCCATCCTCTGCACTTCAGCAATGCATTTCTCTTCCCTCTGCCCCCACGAACCCAAATACAGGGATGCTTCAGGGCATCTAATGGCCAAAACCGTGCAATTGTTTCGCAAAAACTTATCCCGCCCCTTTAACAAGCAGAACTGCGAAGCACTCATGGGAACAGCCCTCCTCGTCAACTACATATCATGGTTCGACCTCGACTTCCTCCACGGCCAGACCAAACTAGACCTTTCGAAAGACCAATTATTCTTCCTGACCCCTGGAATCATTGAGCTCTGGTTTCGGTCGATGCCCATCTTCATTGATCAAGGGAGCATCCTCGCTGACGTCGCGAGGCATTCTCCGAGATTTCATATCGAACAGGCTCTTGTTTCCTGGGGTCATGATCCGGAGCGTTTTGTTGGTTTGCTTATGGACATCTGGGATGATCCTCGGTATCAGGGGGAGAGTGGCCCTCTGAAGAGTGACGAGCCGACGTCGTGCGCTTGGCGACTTCTTCTGGGCATGGAGAATCAGATACCGCATGCTTCCCCCAAGTCTCCTCTAGCAGAAGAATCGTGTGAGGAGGACACACACAACCAGTCACTCACTCATCTCAAAGAGGTCATCACCGATGTCACTGACAAGTTTACCTCCCCTACTCACCCCGCTGCCTCGATGGTTCTATCTTCCCAATCCGACCGCTCAGTCTTCGAAACCCTCTTGCACCGGATATCTCCTCTTTTGTGCTGTGCATCACTTGTGTCAGGCCCCATGCGCTGTGACATGACTTCTATCAGTGCCGACATTGAGGAGCTGTTCTTTGGGGTTCCGGTCCTTTGTTCTGGACCGATTGCACGCTGGATCAGTGATGGAGACTCGAGAATTCTCGTGTTACTGTGTCACTTTTACCGTGGTGCGCAGATTCTACTTTCAAAAGAAAGAAATTGGTGGGGATATACAAGGAGTTGCGTTATGGAGCGCTTGATACTGGATGAGCTCAAGTCTCGTGGTCTTAATGTTGACTTGTTAATATGATGATGTCTTCGTGACTTTGTAGCTCGCGAAACTGTAGCGAAAGATGTTGCCCGTCACGTTGCGGAATCATATAATCTGTTGAGTGAATGATCAGAATGGTGACATCTCACAATCCTTCAATGCGATGAGGCTCAGACTTCACGACAAGAGGCATCAATGAACCAAAACTAGTAGTAAATGGATATCGCCATGCAAAACTCTAAAATGCAAACTATTCATACATCTTCATTATTTATACCGCTAAACTCCCCAGTCTTTTTTTTATTGATCCCTTGTCTCTTGAACATTAGGATTTCGCTCATAACGCCAACGCTTTCCGTTCTCCTGCACATGCCACCTTGTCATGAAAGCACCCTCCTCCACCCACTGCGCCCACTCAACACCCCATTTCTTCTCCACAGAGTCCAAGAAGGAGAGATAGTCAAAGGCCTGGATGGGGTCCTTTTCTAAGGGGTCGACCGAGAGGTCGCTGAGGCGCCACTCGGTGTTGTCGATGAGAGGGACGCTGAGGTGACGGTCGGGATAGCGGACGTCGCGCACGTTGAGCATGGCTCGGCCGGGGTTGACGACGGTGAAGTGCCATTGGGCTTGGCCTGTTTGGTTGTTGACCATTTGCATGGGGCGCAAGAGGGACTGGCCTTCGTAATTTCCGACGAGCGACTCAGCGGCCTTGCGACTAACGCCTTCGAATGAGCCACTCTCGAGCATGAGATCGAGGATGGTCGGTAGAACTTGGGTGGAGTGAACGGCGTGCTCGACGTTGAAAGCGGGAAGAGATGGGTGAGAGAAAACAAGCGGGACATGATCTGATCCAACGCTAGGGTTGTAGTAAGGAGAGGCCTTGCCATTCTCAACCAGCGAGACACCGTGATCACCAAGGAAGACGATGAGAGTCTCATTTGCAACACCTTGATTATCCAACATCTTGAGAACCTTGCCAATCCACTTATCATCATAGCTCTCAGCGTTGGCGTAATGCGACATCTCATCAATGTCCTTGCCAGCTCCGATAGCAGTGTACGTCTCATTCTTAGGGATACCATAAGCGTGATGGCTCGTGCTGGTGATATGCGTAAGGAAGACACGACCGTTGTTCTCCTTGGCATCATTAAAGGCATCGCGCATGTAATCCTCAAGAGGGTCCTCCTGGAAGCCAAAGTAGTTAATGTCCTCCAGATCAACACGGTGCTTGGCGTTCTCGCTGCGAAGGGAGTCTCGGTCCTGGGTGTTCTCCTCGGGGTAACCGCAGGCAGCCATGAGCTTGTGATGGTTGTCGTAGTGGATCATGGCGGTCTGGAAAAAGTATGACTTCCACTTGGCAGCTGACTCGTCTTCGGCCTTGTTCATGGCGTCGAAGATGTGAGGGAGGCAGGGTTGGTAGATGTGACGCTTGTAATCGAGGTTGAAGTCGGCGATGAGGGGGTTGAGACCGCAGATGGTGCCGACGAGACTCTTGAGAGTGTAAGTACCGGAGGTGTAGGCGTTGCTGAAATGAGCACCGCCACGCTTAGGTGTCTTGTCGTGCTTGAAACCATCATCGTAATCGCCAGTGACATATCGGGCATTAGGCATCAAGTTCTTGAGTCTCTCTTCGACATCCTCAGGAATCTTCTTATCGGGGTAAGAATCCTTGAATTTCTCCCACATATGACCACCCTTCTTGAAGGGGAAGATGTCGTTCCTGGTACTTTCGAGCAGGAAGAGCATGACATGCTTGACAGAGACATCCTTGAGCTTATCCTTCAGCTCCTCCAGCACAGGCTGGTCGAGGTTGGAGATCTTCATGGGATCCTTGGCGGCGTTGTAGTGAAGCTCGTTGGGTGTATACCAGTCCTCAAAGCCAGCCAGAGGCTTACCCTTGGGCAGCCAATCCATCTTTGGGGGCTCGCCAAGGGCTGACTTCTCATCCCACTGGTGCTGGATGCCGACTTGTTCAAACTTGGAAGGGAGTTGGTCGAGGAGTGGTGCGGTTGATGAGACGTCGACGAAGGGAAGGAGACCAGTGGTCCATGAGAGGAAGAGGAGAGAGCGATCATCGGGGCGCTCGAGTAACAAGACCATCATGGCGATAGTGAAGAGAGACCAAAAGAAGTATGGCATGCCGTAGTGAATGCGCCTCACGGTGGAAGGCTGCACTCGGACGCCAAAAGTGCTGACTCGTTGGGAGATTCGAGAATACAGAGTTTGCGATTTGCCATGCTCGACAAAGTCCTCCAGCCAAGCCTCATCATCAACATCGTCGTACTGGTTCTCCTCGGCAATGACAGGCTCAGGATCGGGAAGAGGACTGTAGATGTTTCGCTTTCTCAAGAATCGGTTTGTCGCAGTTCGCGCCATAGCCCAAGGGAAATGGAGCATATCCGCACCCCACCCAAACACTCTATAGCACACATTCTGAAGCAGCCAAGCAAGGACGATCAAGCAAGAAGCGACCAAGATGAAGGTCACGAGACCAGAAAGGAAGATAGCTCTTGAAGTAGGGTCCGACACAAGGTTGAGGTTTCGCCAGTGGATCTCGGCGCCGGAGACGAGGTAAAAAGTAATGGATATTAACGATAGAGCGACGTTGTATAATATTAATAAACCAGCGACTGCTGTAGTGGCGTAGTGTAGTATTTGGGTCCTGGGCGACCATTGATCGAGGAGGAGTCGGATTAAAAGAAGGACGAGAATATCTTGCACGAAGAATGTACTGAAAAAGGTGAATAATCGACCGGTAGCGACGGCGTTTCGGTGGCTGTGGATGTGGGCGAGCTTGGATGCGAAGAGGGCTGAGACGGCAAAAGTAAAGATGAATGGGCGATTGGCAAGACGAGCGCCCAACCTCGTGAGCCAAGAAGGTATGCAGACCATGTTTGATAGACAGCCGTAGAGGCTAAAAAGAAAAAAAGATAAGATAAATGAATGAGAGTATAGGAATCACACTGATCACATATAATGCTTATAAGAAAAAATGTCACCTCAGAGCTGAAAGCCAAGCACCATGATCGCCGTTTTGTTCTAGAAGAAAAAGACAAGAAGCTCGAGACAGGAAATCGAAAATGTGGAGAAACAACCGGGAACCCGGGACTGTTATAACAGATTTTCTGCCATCATCGTCTATGGCTTTTTAATTAGCTGCGGCGTCTACCTAAAAGCTCTGACCGAGCGTAAAAAAAGCGCCCCCCTTTACGTTATGCAAAATAAAAAAGAAGAGCTCGCGTGCGTTGTTTCCTCTTTGCTTTGGTCTAGCCTAGCTCCTCTGGCCTAGGTAATCTCGTGTTACGGATTTCCGGCACCGTCTGCTTATGCTTTGCCGGCGCGTGATTGGCGGAGACGCGGAATTCACCTGTTTTTAGGGCGAGCCGAGGAGCCGAGTTTCAACTAAGCCCACTGAGAAAAAAAGGGGGCAGTGTTGGGCTACTCTAGTGGTGTACACGGAGGCTAACATGTTATGGTACGATGGACCGTAGGAGCTCGTTTAATCTTGTTGTACCGAGGTCGCATCACGAGACCAATTTCTTTCTGCTGCATAGTGGCCGAGACTCCGTTGGGCGCTAATAGAGAAGGAAGAAGAGGAAGAAAACCCTTGCTCGGTTATTCCCGAATCTGGACCTGAAAATGAGAGGAGGAGCTGCAGCCCTAACACTGAATTGTCAAGTCATGTCATGTCATTGCACCCTTTTCACTGACTCTTTCGTCATACCCCAAGGTACAGTTCAGTAGCATGCCAGATGGCAACAAGGTTTCCTTCACATGGTTTAGGTAGGGGTTTTCCAAGCCGTGATCCGAATTGTAAACTCAATGCTCATCTTCGTTCGGTATGTCACAGCATCATGGGAAACAGAACAAAGCCCATTATCCCTCGTTTCAAAGGACATTGCATAAACGAGCGAAATTGGTGGGGTCATCGCTTCCCAAATGGCCTGAGTCATAATAAGTTCTGCCTACCAACAGCTTCAGCCTAACCAGCTCAGCCTCTGCGCTGGCAATCCTTCCATCCAACGTCAGCCACTTCCTCTTCGTGTAGATCATAAAAAAAAGGTCCCCCTTCTGCTCTCGCGAAGGAAGGTGCCAAGGTGGCTAAAACCAAGGGACCGGCTACATCGGAAATGTTGTTCTTGTCGTGGAATAGCGGCTTCAAATTTGCAGGGGATGTCCTGAGAGTCTGGGCCCTGGGGCGGTGGGGAAGCGTGACAGTGAAGGGTTGCAGTAGATCATCCCACTAAGAAGAATCGGTGCATCGCGGCTAAACGCCAGAATCTTTGTGATTTGCTCAGGTTTTTATCCCTTGTTTCGGTATTGATATCATTGGATAATTCTGTACGGCTGGGAAATGCGATGGAAACTCTGTGCTGCTCATGAGTGTCTATTTGCGCTGCAGTGAATCACTAGAAAGTTTCTCCGGAGCGACTTTAGACTTTACCGGCCGGATACACGGGAGATGAAACGTCTCACGTGTGATTGGCTGCTTGAACTGTCAGTCCAGGGTAGTCAGAACTATTCCTCGCATTAACACCAAAACAGAAAATGATCACGAGCTCCAGCTGGGAATACACTCTGAATGGCCCTCTCGTATTTAATGGTTCATGATGCCATGGGTAACTATCATTCCGCTACTGAGCTTAGCGCATCGCGGTCCGCGTTTTGTGGATTCGGGATCCCGGAAGGTCTGCACTTACCGAATTTTGGTGGTTTGACATGCAGGCTGTCAAATCCAGGGGTTCGGAATTGCCTTCACATGTTATACGAGAGAAATGACAGCTCCTTCGGAATCTATACATAGGTCTAGCATAAGTGGTCTTATGCAACTTCGACAAGGAAAATATGTCTAGAGTTCCAGGTTATGTTGGACCCCGCATGGCTTTTCGGTCATCGTCAAAAAGACAATTACCTTCATCACAAATCTGGGTTCCGTGGCTCAGCATTATTGTACAGCGCATTGCCATGTATTTCTCTTGCATTGTCAATACCAGTACTGTCACTTCGTATTGACCCATTCCGCCCCAGTAATAGAAACCGTCTGATCCAACACTCGGCCGACCCCGTATTCCAGCTGCATGTAAGATCACAGTTACGAGATCCTTCCCACTGCATTATACCTAGATAGCAAGCGCTTGTTTTTAACCTTATTGTTCTTGCAAAAGTTCCATTCTTGCTTGGGCAAGAAACCCCGAACTCTGTCTGCACTCTTCTGGGGACTGTGTTCTGCCCCTTAAATCCTTTCATTACACCTGTCACTTCCGACTATCCTTTTTCTCCCCTTAGAGACACAAACAGCAATATCCCTGAGTAGCACGCGACCATATCTGAGTATGCCATGGTTGCTAAAGCCGGCTACAACGGGCCGTTCGGCCACTTAGCGCCCGAGTCGAGTCCAACCGCGATATTGTTCACCTTAGACAACTATCGGGATCATTCCTCAGGAAACACATGCAACGATTTACCAGTAATCTAATATGCAAACACGCCTTCCACGTCCTCTGATAGGCGGCCATTGAAGGCTCAATGCAAAGGCACTATTGACAACTGCTGTCCCCTTGCCCTGCTCGCTGTCAGCAGCATACCTCTCTGCATATGCTATTGCTTCTGTCTCAATCACTTCTATACTATAGGTCAGCATAAGTGCTGCATCTCTCGGAGCTCCTGCCTCTACGTACCAATATCATCGGCAAGAAAGATCTCTCCTGTTTCGTGTAGTTCGACTAGAGCATCCTTGACCCAAATTCGGCACGTGAATGCCGCTCCAGTTCGACGAGATGGCTTACCATCTGCAGGAACTGACTGGATGATCTGCGTGGCGCGTGGCAAATTGGAGACGCCGCTTGCTTTGACCAGTACGATCAGAGTTAGGTCAATAGCCGATTCGTTCCGTCTCTCCTCGTATTCCCAAGGTCCCGTAAGGTTCGTCGCGTGATGAAGAACGGGCCGCCCAATGTTATCAGTGACAATTAGTCCCCAGTGCTATTGGAGTTACCTTAGACAGTAAAAATAATTACCGAGAAGAAGAGACTTGTCCTACATATTCTCTTGGAGAAGGCCGGCTCTTCATGGCAATGTATATCGAGGAGCTCTCTAGATTCCCGTTCAGCGACATAGTCACCTCCCAGACTGTGTTGATGTTAGGAGCAAGCGCTCTAAAATGTTGTCACTTCGAAATGATGTGATTAGGTATAAGATAACTTTGAGTCAGTGGGTAGAAAAACTTAGGCAGGGATCATGAGATTGTAATACTTCTCTAGGCAGCAGTATTATATAATGGCTTTTGGGTGCGCGACATCAACCAACTCTCCCGCTTGTCTTCACGATTTCACCATCATCCTTCGATTACCAACTGAGGTCCTTGGCAATGGCAGAAAGTCAAAGCAGACGTGAACAGACTCTCGCTGTAGTCCGCAGCTCCCGCCTCCAACATCCTTCCTGCACGGCTCAGTTGACCCCGAAGCAACTGCCCGATTCATGCTCCAAAGATGCATCGATGGACAAGAAGACTAAGATTTGATGCCACTGTTATCGGAGTGGAGAAAGCTAGTTGGAAGTGGTAGGCACCTTCAGCGTTATCCTCACAAGAGCCTATACTGAGCATATCAGTCATTGACCAACACGCACAACAAGCAAATCCGAGCGAAAGCATCATCGCAGATGTATCAGAAAGAGATGATTTTAAATGTTGTATCTGGTTTCAAAGCATCATTCATGGATCCGCTGGTTGTGACACCAATCTTTCCTGTGACTAGGCTACAAGATGTGAGCTGTATCCCTAAACCTCTCCTCTTCTCCCAAACGAGTTTCAGCTAATCAACCGGAGCCGCTGCACGAGCTTTTTGGCGTCTTCCTTGGCTCTGATATGCAAGAGAGACTTCTTCATGGCACTTCTAGCCATGATGATGCCCGAAATCACTGACTTGTACGCCAGCCTGTAGCAGAAGCTGTATCTCAAGGTTACTTTCGCTTTACTCCCACCAAAGTCTCCAACGTAAATACTTCTTCATTCCCGCACCGAACGTCCGCTCACGCTGCTGCAGTATCGTGTAACGAAGGTTACGATTGGAGGTCCAAATCAACCTCCCCTTCTCGAAAGGATTCCCAGGATACAGTGGTGTAGCTTTACGGATCATTCCAACTCGGGCATCGAGACCCCAGACGTCAGTCTATTACTAGCTACATCAAGATTTTCCAAATCTATACGATGGGCTCTTGTTGCTCGAGAGATTGCAAGTAGACACGAGCTCCCAGCTACCAGTCTGCTATCTTTCTCGCCTTGGCATCATTTATCGGAGTATGTCGCTCCAATGATCCCCTCAATGTGTCGCCTTATGCCAGTCTCTTTCCGTATACGCATCTACCACTTTTTAAGCTCTCTGGGATCTCGTGTTTACGGATCATCTTGTAGCCTGAGGGTTCAACAGCTCCCTTTTGGCGTGTATCTGAAGACGAAGAGCGTTGAAGACCATCAAGCACTGAAAATTGAGTTCGGGGCACTACAGCTTGTACGAAGCCAAACCCAAATTCCAGTCCCTCGTCCGTTAGATCTATTGTCTGATACTGAAACGTCTTATCTGCTGACCACCACCCTACCGGGGCAGCGCTTCGGCTCGTACATTGACATACTGAGCGATCATGATCTCGATCTCTTCACGCGTGATATGCAGAGATACCTGACACAACTGCGCTCAATCTCAAGACCCAGAACGCCAAAGTATGAAATAAGAAATGCTATTGGTGGGCCATATTATGACTACCGGATCATTGCGGCCCACGACTATGACAAGGAATGTGGTGATTTCTTTGGACCTTGTACCGATGAAGAAGACTTCAACAATATACTGCGAACACCCGCGCTACCATATGTCTTTCACTCCACGGGCCATAACATTGTGTTCACGCATTCCGACATCAACATGCGGAACGTTTTGATGCACAACGGTCGGATTTCGGGTATCGCGGACCGGGAGAACTCTGGATGGTTTTCGGATCACTGGGAGTATACCAAAGCGCATTATGTTACCAAGCTACACAAGAGGTGGTTGGCAGTGGTTAATCGGATCTTTGAGAGTTTCGGCGATTTTACACTTGACCTGGAAATTGAGCGCCGCTTATGGGAGTATTGCTTCTAGCTGGAAGACAGTCGAGCAAAGAGAGTACTGTTACTTCAAGGTGTATAATTCACAGGGAAGGAGAGTAGAGTTAAACAACGCAGTTCATCCGGACGAGTTATTAATAACTAATAGGCCAATAAAGTACAAGAAGAATATGTCAAAAGTCCATCCATCCAAACACATATCTAACATCCCTCCAGAATCTCTCATAAGTCAGAAGTCCAGCGCCGTCCTCTCGCTATGCGTTTTCACACACAGGTCATATACCATGATCGTGAATCAGCACGAGTCACCCACTCAATAACCAAAGCACAAACAGCTACTATCCTTCATCGTCGAAGAGCGAATCTAGTAGTGAGGAGCCTGGTAGGTAGGAGCCTTGTACTCAGGCTTAGGAGCAGGCTTGGGCTTCTCGGTCTTGGGCTTGGTGTACTCAGGCTTGTGAGGCTTAGGAGCGGGCTTGGGAGCCTGGTAGGTAGGCTTGGGGTGAGGCTTGGGCTTCTCGTGGTGAGGCTTGGGAGCAGTGTACTCGGGCTTGTGGGGCTTGGGAGCCTTGGGCTTGGTGTACTCGGGCTTGTG